CCCTTCTCCTCTTCATCAGACACTGTCAATTTAACGGAAAAGGGGAGAGGGGAAGTTACTGAGGGAGGATTTCATGGGGGGCTCTTAACAATTTGTCAAGTCAACAAATATCTGAAAGCTTTTCTATTCCAAAAGCCAGAAATAAGTGACCTACCCCCAGGCACACTTTTCTTTCAGAGTTGATTCAATAGTTTATTCAAAGCCCACAGGTTCTCAGAGCTCAGATTCTTTCGAAAACATGGGGGGGAGGGGGGAGGGGTGGTGGTAAAAAAGCTGATTTTTCTGCAAGGTAAACACAGAAATAAGCCTAACCAGCTGTATTGCAACATGCTAAGCAAGGGACAAATCCTTTTGCAAGAGCCAATGCAGATATACATCAAAACAGATCTAAGCAAGGCTCAGGGCATATTGAATGCCTAGTGTGGTCAGACAGAATTTCCAAAGGCAGGTCAGTTCGTAACAAGAAAACCAACCTTGGCTGTTTGAGTGGGCTGCTCCCGGGTTGGAGCATTTAGAACTGTAGAGCTGGGGATGGAGAGATTGCAGCTATTTTCATGTGAGATGATGTGATCCCCGAGTTCAGACTCATCCCTTTCTAAGCCACAGAGAGTGTTGTACTCCATGGTTTCTGTCCCCTTCAGCGTTACTTTCTTTGCATATTTCAGTGGGGTACTTGTTTTGAGGACAGTTCCCTGAGGTACGTGAAGGATGCCAGCAGAGCAGCCAGAGTGTTGGTGATACGGTATGTTTTTATTTAATATCCCACTGTATTAGAATCATGTCTGTTTTCACAAAAATACGTTTTCCTTAAAAAAGCAAAAGATGCAGTGATGCTTATTGAGGGGGGAGCGACAAAGAGGGAAAAATGATAGCAGTCACCTGCACCTTGAGGATGCTCCACAGCACTTCATTTTCCTGTGCTCCTGGGGGGAGCTGCCTTTTCTGGGAGTCCCAGAAGTTGGCTCTTGTTTCCCCAGTGAGGCCAAAGCCCCTGTGAGTGTGCCCGTGCCAGGCGGCTGGGGGTCCCTGCTGCTGTGGAGCCATCCCCAGCACCTATGGGCAGCTGGCAGCATGCTGCAGGCAGCAGCGGAGACCGGGAGGAGCCTGGCTGGGAAGGGAGAGGGGCTGCGGCCCCCTCAGGAGCAGCAAGGGCCAAATCCTTTTGCAAGAACCAATGCAGATATACATCCGCTGGCAGTGTTCAAGCAAGGCTGGGCAGGTCTAATGCCTAGTGTGGTGGGAACAGAATTTCCAAAAGCAGACATATATAAATATTCTGAAATAAATATTATATAAATAATATATTTATATAATATAAATAATATTATATAAATATTCTTATTCTTCTTCACACCTTCCAAGGGAAGGCCCTGTGTTGAAGCAGCCTCAGGAAGGATGAAGTGTGTGTGAAGGGGGGGGCTGTAGGGTAGGATGTTTACATCCCACCTTCTCAGACCTATTTCTCCTCCTATTTCTGCTCACCCAGAGCGCTTCCCTCTTCCAGCCAGGTGCTCTCGGAAATGACAGAGCCTTTGCCATGCTCTGCCCCCAGTTTGGCACAGGGCTAGCCCACAGGACACACGCACCCCTCTTTGGTGTAAACAGCAGCTGCCCCAGGCTCAGTGCTCACAAGAAGGTGAAGGTCATGGCTCTCACGGGCCTGGAGATGTCTTTTTTTCCCCGGACTTAGTGCCTGGGCTCTCCTTCAGAGATAGGGTCATGTTAGCACCGAGCTGAGCACACGGAGAGGCTGGGAGTGCAGCAGTTAGCACAGAAAGTGCCAGCGAGGGAAAGCCAGGCTGATGGCACGCTGCTCTGCCTGCAGGGCCCTCGCCTCCCTGCTAAGTCTAGGAGCCAGGCCCAGGGTACTTGGGACACCAGCTCTGAGCTCCTGTGCTTGCCCTGTCCTCACTGCAGCTCCCTGGAGCTGAGCCCAGCTTGCCCTAGGTTGCAGCTGAGCAGGTGCTCAAGGCACAGAGGCAGGGCTGTGCCCTTGGCCACTCCTGGATCTTTCCTTTGGGACGAGCAGCAACTTTGTCTGACAATTCCCAAAGATCCTTTTTCTCTCTCCCAGCCTCCTGCTGGGCTCGCTCAGCTGATGGGGAGCCCATGGGCCTGGAGCCAGAGGGTTGGGTGCCCCACGGGGGTGCAGGGGTCTCTGGGAGTGCCAAGACACCTCGATGCCTCCTCCTCAGTGTCCCCTCGCAGCCGATGTGAGCTGTGCTTCCAAATGTGCTGCAGGTAGGGAGCAGCAGCAGGAGTCCTGCAAGGGAGGAGCAGTGCTTGGTGGGGTCTGAGGAGCAGTCATGTCCCAGGCAGAAGAGGTGCACGTCGAAAACGGGTGAGGGAAATGCCTGTGAAAAGCTGAGGCTGGGTGACCAAGGATGGTGAGGCCACGATGTTCTCCAGGGGTAGTGTATGGGCTCCTGAAGTTTCAGGCAGGTCCCAGTGCATAAAGGAAGAGTTTCCATGGGACTTGACTGAGTTCCCACTCCTCAGACACCTGCAGCAGCTGATGGAGGTGGATTACAAACTGCTCGTCCCAGTACATGCGCAATTTTGGGTTATTGTTAGCATTAGGGTTAGGGGTTAAGTTTAGGGTTAGTGTTAGAGTTAAGGTTAGGGGGTTTAGAGTTAGGTTTAGGCTTAGGGTTTGGGTTAGGGGGTAGGGCTACGGTTCGGGGTAGCTTTAGCGTTAGGGGTAATGTTTAGAGTTCGGGTTAAGGGCAGGGATTGGGTTAGTGTTAGGTTTAGGCTTAGGGGTGTCCTGGGTTTAGCAGTAGCAGTCATTTTTCTCCTTCTTGGTAGCTGGTGCAGTGCTGCGTTTTGACTCTCAGCCTGGGAACAGAGCTGATAAAAATGATGTTTTGGTTTGGCCAAGGACTTTGTGAGCCTCATGCTGTGCCAGGGAGGAGGGGAAGCCGGTAGGAAGCAGAGACAGGACACCTGACCCAAACTGACCAAAGAGGTATTCCATAGCACAGCACGTCATGCCCAGGAGGTAACTGGGAGCTACCTGGAAGGGCTGGGACTGCAGGGTTGGAGGAGGTATCGGTGGCTGCTTGGTCGGGCTGGGGGGATGAGTTACCGGTTGGCTGGTGCTGAGGTGTTGTATTCTCTTCCCTTGTTGCTTCCTTTGTCATTACTATTATTGGTGGTAGCAGCAGTGATTTGTGTTGTACCTTAGTTACTAAACTGTTCCTATCTCAACCCGGGGGAGTCGCATTCTTTTGCATTCTCCTCTTCGTCCCTCCGGGAGTACGGGGAGATAAGAAGGGGGGAGTGAGTGAGCAAGCTGTCTGGCTGGGTTAAACCACGAGTTAGGGTTATGTTTAGTGTTCTGGTTAGGATGCACAGTTTAGGAGTTAGGGGCAGCTTTAGGGTTTTGGGTTAAGGTTAGACTTAGGGATTAGGTTTTCGTTTAGGCTGAGTTTTAGGGTTAGGGGTAAAGTTAGTTTTAGGATTACAGTTTTGGGTTAGGTTTAGTGGTGAGGTTTAAAAGTTTGTCTCTCCATCATACCCAGTTTTCACCCCCATGGTGGCACGTGGTTCTGGCAGGTTCAAGCCATTCCCCTTGGCCTGTCCCTACAGGCCCTTGTCCCAAGCCCTTCTCCAGGTTCCCTGCAGCCCCTTTAGGCACTGGAGCTGCTCTAAGGTCTCCCCTTCAGGGGCCTTCTCTTCTCCAGGTTGAGCAAGACCAATAATCATACATAAAGTTATGTCTGCTCTGTTTTAATTGCTGGTGCTTAATGGGTTTTGTAACTGGAATAAAATAGTGCATCCAAAGAGTGAAGGTGGTAAAACCTCCTGGAGAGGTACAGAGTAGGTGGACTTTTATCTAGAAGACAAGCTCTTTCTTGTCAGTTTGCTCTTTCGGGTACTGGTGGGTTTGTGACCTTTGTTCTGATAGCACAGGTTGAATTAGTTGAACAAGCCTTCAGTGGATTTTATCTGGAGAGAAAGAAATTAGCAGAAATACATCTCAGCAAGCCACATACCACTGAACTAATTTGTGAGAATTTTACTAACTGAATTAAAGATGAAGCAAGGCTGTAGTGAACTTGAGGTCATGCCTAAGACCAAATCAGTACTTCAGGAGGTTGAAGTATTCAAATCTCCAAATCAAGAGCAGCTGATCTCAGAATGATGGGCTGAAGTTGAGAGGAGTGCGGTGTAGGAGAACTTGAGGGGTTGCATCCACTGACCAGGGATCACTGCAGGGCATGGAGGTGGTTGATGCTACTGACCAAGAAGACCTCAGCTTCTCTTGCAAGTAAATGACTGAAATCATCACTGCTCACCTCTTGGCTTCATGTACAGCATGGCAGGAACACTTTTCCTGCTCCAACTGGCTCTCCTTTGGTCCATTTGCTGTATCAGTTGCTTGGGAAGGGGCCTGAAGCAAAAACCCAGTATCTCTGCTGACTTAATGCAGTTCAGTCTGAGATGAAAGTGTCTTTTGAGAAATGCCACTACTAAATAGTGACTAGTTCTGAGTGTGCTTCCAGGAAGCCATCAGAAAAGCTGTTTCCCTGAAGCCTCATGTTCCTGCCTGTTCATACTAGTGATCCGCAGATCTTGGCTGACCAGTGTGCGATGGGAAGCTTCTCCCTGTGCTTTATCCAAGGGATGCTTGTGGTGCTCATCCAATCCACCTGTGTGTGCTGGGTACTTCTCACCCCATGGACTAGCTGTCTTTAGGTACGGATAGAACATGCCAGCTCTGCCAACCCAGGGGAAATGATGAGCACTGGGGGCTTTGGGGCACATTGAGCAATGGTGCCTTTCATTGGGTGTCCACAATCAGTGCAAATCAATCATATAACAAACCCTCTCAATGTTCCCTGTGGTCGTTGGTGATTCCTGCAGCTATCAGTGTTTCACAGGCTCTTTGTGGAGTGGTGGGGTTGTAGAAATTCCTCAGCTGTTCTGGTGGCCTTTGACCAAAACGACCCAAGATGCTTTTTAATGTCAGTTCTATTCAGCACTAAAGAATAAGAGATTCTCTAGAGCACCATCCTATGCCTGGATTTCCAGCCTCCCTGTGCGTGTCCAGGAGGTGCAGGCACCCATGGACTTTTTTTCCAAGCAGTTCTCAGTATTGATGGAATTAATTTAAGCAAAAGATGGTAAGACTGAAGTGAGCTGGAGGGAGTTTTTCAAAGTGCCTTTTTGGGTGTTTGCTCATATACTCAGCCCTGAAAAATAATCTGTGTGTTTACTGACTGTGTTTGCACTGTCTCTACTGTGCCAGTATTTTCTTTGTACCTGGGCCATGGCCCTCGATAGCCAGGGGTGTTATTGAGCAGTTTGGATGAGTGCCCCCAGTCTCTATTTATTTGTGTTTTAACAAGGGTCTGCAATGCTGAACTCTGAGCAGTCACCGTAGCATCACCTTATGTGAGACCTGGGGCAGGGAGCAGAGAGGAGCACGCTCAATATCATCCTTAAAATGTTGCTACCCCCACGCAGGCATTTGGTGAGCAGCCTGCAGACCCCCATGTGAACAGAGCTGCTGATGCCAAGGCAGAGAATTAAAGACTACTCTTGGAGACTTTGCCCCGTTCCTGCCAGTGCTCAGGGGTCCAACCTGGCCTTGAACACTGCCAGGGATGGGGCAGCCACAGCTTCTCTGGGCACCCTGTGCCAGTGCCTCACCACCCTCATAGTGAAGATGCATCATAGTGACTTGTTGCATTGGTTGTTCATGAGACTTTCTTCCAGGCATCTCATGTTTTAAAATCAAGGGATCTTCTTGAAGATCCTTTGGTAGCTCAGGAGCACGAGCATCCTCCGTTTGAATACATTCCAATGCATTATCCTGCTTTTGCAGGATAAAGACTGACCTGTGTTTTGCTGCTGGGGAAGACTGGGCACACATGGTTTGGTGATGTGTCACTCAGGGGGAGACCAAGTTTTGATGCCATCTCCAAATTTCTACCTTTCCATAGATACAGAGTGAAGGGGGGACAAGCCAGGTTGTCCTCAGGGTTTGTTGCTGCTGATGTGGCTGCACTGCCCTGAGCTTGTGAAAGGTCAAGCTGATGACGACGGTGTCCATGTTTCTTCTCAGGGTGTGACTTACTGCGGTAAAAGCTCGGCCAGCAATCTCACCATGGCCAATGTCCCCTGGCACGAGGAGGTGGTGCACTTCGTCCAGGAGCTCGCCAACCTTATCCCCGACTATGAAATTGCCTGTGAGCATGAGCACTCGAACTGTCTCCTCATCGCTCACAAAAAGGTGAGGCTGTGCCAGGGTGTGATGCCAGGCACCGTGCATCTCCTTGGAAATGCTGGACAAGTGCCTTGTTCTAACACACTTATCTCTAGAGTTAGCTTGGTGCTATTCTGGGGGGGGAAGCATACTGCATATATTTCAGAAAAAGCTGAAGATGCACCATGTTGCTGCTGGTCATAACAGCTCAGTGCTACCACAGCAATGCAGGCAGGAGGCATGTAACAGGTCCAGGAGAAGCTCAGTACAGTATAGAATCACAGAATGGTGTGGGTTGGAAGGAACCTTAAAGCTCATCTAGTTCCAACCCCCTGGCATGGACAGGGACAGCTTCCACTGGAGCAGCTTGCTCCAAGCCCCTGTGTCCAACCTGCCCTTGAGCACTGGCAGGGATGGGGCAGCCCCAGCTTCTCTGGGCACCCTGTGCCAGCGCCTCAGCGCCCTCCCAGGGAAGAGCTTCTGCCTAAGAGCTCAGCTCAGTCTCCCCTCTGGCAGGTTCAAGCCATTCCCCCTTGGCCTGTCCCTGCAGGCCCTTGTCCCAAGCCCCTCTCCAGGTTTCCTGCAGCCCCTTTAGGCACTGGAGCTGCTCTAAGGTCTCCCCTTCAGGAGCCTTCTCTTCTCCAGGCTGGCCCAGCCGAGCTCTCTCAGCCTGGCTCCAGAGCAGAGCTGCTCCAGCCCTCGCAGCATTATCGTTGGTGCCATGCTCTCTGAGCAGGGGCTTCAGTTGACTTGAAAGGGTTGCTTCATCCAGGGGTACCTGGGCATCATCTCAAGCTTACACATTTCCTTCAGGGCTCTTCCCCAGACCAGAGTCTTTCAGGTATAAGTGACAGCTGGCAAGGGCAGAGAGACTTGGGAAGGCTTTGTGATGCACTGTGAAAGTGGGGCTGTAGTGGTGGGACTGTGAAGGGTTCAGGAAAGCACCCAACAGTCAGCCCTTCATGGACATTATCTGCTGGTAGACAGTACTAAATGACTAAAGCTGTAAGAAAAACAGCCCCCCTGTATCTGTGTGTTTTCAAACCCTGTGGATGAATGTAGCTGAGAAACAGTAAGTTCTGGGTGGTTTTCACCTGAATTTTTGTTTTTTTCCCATCAAAGCAGTTACCCTGCAGTAGCTTCTGGATGGCTTCACTCTGGGCATGGTGGTGGCTTAAAAATTAAAAACTACTACATCTGGTAAACCAGTTTAACATTCACCCAGCTTGTCTTAGCACACGTGTGGTGTTTGGTATGTCTCATTGCTCCCTGGCTCAGGACTGTGCTTCTTTTCCTTCCAGTTCAAGATCAATGGCGAGTGGTGCACATGGATCGACTACGACCGCTTCCAGGAGCTGGTGCGAGCACAGGAGCAAAGTGGCGGCTCCCAGACTTTCACAGCAGCTGATTATGCAGCCAGAACTCCTCACTGGGCACTCTTTGGGTCCAGAGAGAGGGGATTCGATCCCTTGGATGTGAGATACCACATGCCACTGCGGTCCCTTCCATTCTTCTCTAGGCATGCTCAGGATCCCTCTGTTCCTTTCTGTGGTCTCTCAGTTACTCTCTGTTCCCTTGTGAGTGCTCTTTACCGGAGGGCATTTTGTCTTTGGCCTTCCTTTTCTGGCTGACATTACCTGTGAAAAGCCCTTATTATTCTTCTGCCCCTCTCCCACTGAACGGCCCCAGGGGAAACAGCACCGCAGCTCCTGGGAGCTGGTAAACCCCAAACGGGTGGGGATGGGCCACAGATGGAAAACAATTGGGATCTGGGGAGGATCCCCATCCTCTCTGGACTCCCCAGCTGGCTCCAGAGCACCCAAACATGGGGAGGGGCACCAGCAGAGAGGGGAAGAGAAGGGAGCAGAGGGACTGCCAGGGCTGGAGCAAAGGTTTGCACCTTAGGAAACACGGCAAAATAAAGCCAGGGAGGAAAGGCTGCAGAGCTGCAGAGACGTTCATCCAGCCTTGGTGGGGAAATCTTCCAGTAGGAAGAGCTTGGTTCACCCCACGCCACCCTGGGAGCTGCCACCCAGCACGGTTTCTTGCTGGCAGTAGAGAATGGGCCTGGCCCCATCTCTCCTGTCCCATCTCAGGGCTGCTCTGGACCAGAGCCCCACAGGTGGGGGGCCAGCAGCACTGGCCATTACTTATTATGGGAATGATGGATCCGTGCCTTTAGCCGCTTGTGAGTTCCCTGGCTCCTGGATCTTGTCTGCGTTGAAGAGGCAGGGGTGGATGAACCTGGAAGCACAAAGTTTAGCTCAGGTCTCTGCAGCCGCACTCCGAGCTGGCACCGGGGCTACCACAATCCCTACCCCCGGGGGAATGGAAGGTTTTACATCCCCAGAGCCCAGCAGCCACCACCCGAGCCGGCTCCTACAGCACAGCCTGGCCCTTCCGCCATCCCCCAGCCCAAGGGGACAACACTTGTCCAAGGGGACATCAGCTCCTCGAGGCTGAAGCACCAACTCCCTCACTACCAGGGGAAGCGATGCCTTCTCCAAGGCCTGAGGGGCGCTGGCCAAAGAAAGGTGCAGGAGTTCCTGGAAGGCAACACACCACTGTGAGCCGGGGTCAGCAAAGGAGGAAGAGCCTGGCTTTAGGGAGCTGGCAGCACCCGCAGGAGCCGATGCATCCGGTGCATCCAGAGGGGCAAGGAGCGACATTTCGGATTCCCCTCCAACCCCCAGGCCTAGGGCTGGGGCTGGGGCAGTGAGTGAGGGAAGCACCTTCCCTTCGCATGGCAAGGCTCTGCACAGCCCCAGTCCCAGCCCCAGTCCCTCAGGGCTGCCCAGCCAGGTCAGGCAGGAAAGCTGCTGCCTAAATCTAACCCTGCCCTTCAGCCCCGCAGAAGCCCCGTCCACCCCAACTCACCTGGCAACACGGGCGCGCTGCCGCTTCTGGGCTGGCTGGTGTCAGTAAGGCCGGCGGTGGTGGAAACGTCTTGCCCAGAAGCGACCGATGCTGTGGTCCTCTTTGCTGCCTGTGTGCGGCTGGTGCCTGAGCAGCGCTGGGGGATGGCTGACGGGAGGGAGCAAGAAATCAGGACCCGCAACTTGCCGCATGGGACTAGCCCTTAGCATCGCCTCCCAGCGTGAGCAGCTCACAGCTCCAGCGCTGGGCAACCTCGCCCACCAGCCCGGGGACTGCAGGACACGAGTCTTCACAAGTCTCTGAGAGCATCGGAGCCGATGCAGCACTGGCCCAGGAGCTTCCTCAGCCTGTGCTACACAGGCGCCCACTGCCCTGCCAGCCCGGGCCATGGCTTTCTCCCCCTTGCCGTGCCCTTGGCATTCCCCCTCTGCCCTTACCAGCCTTAGCTCCCAAGAGCCGTCGAGAGCGCTGCCATGCTGCCTCCCCCTCCTCCTCCAGGATCATGTCGGCGGTGGGGTACTCTGGGTTAAGCTCAGGGAACTGCCAAGAGAGAGCAGTAGCTTAGTTCCTTCTCAGGGCAGCCAGCAGAGCCGCTCTCAAGGAGGTGTGGAAGCAGGCCTGTGCCAGACCCATAAAACCGTGGCTCTGCCACAGCCACCGCAGAGCTCTGGACCCCATTCATTTTGGCACTGGCTTGGGGCTGAGGCCACGGCAGCCTTGCCCAGGCCGGTACCTGCTCCAGCAGCGGGCAGCAGTCAAGCACAGCTAGCACACACTGGGGCAGGGGAGAGCCTCACTTCCCACCCAGCCAAGGATGAGAGCTCCTGCCCCAAGGCAGGCAGCTCAGCCTGCCCCCAGCCCTGCAGGGACTGCACTGAGCACATTCTATCCCCAGAGGAGGGCAAAAGAGGCTGTGAGACAGCAACGTACCAGCACCAGTGGGTGGATGTCGCCAGGCACCAGCAGGCAGATGCTCCTCCTGCGTGGCCTTCCTTTCCCCAGCGATGGTGGTGGGCTCGGGGACTGCCGCCGCTCCTCCTCAGGCCTCTCGACAGCTACAGGAGGAGACAAGTCAGGAGCAGCTCCCAGCAGGGGCGCTTGGCCTCTACCGAGGGGGTTGTCCCTTCTCACTCCTCTCTGGATGCCCGTCTTGGAGGGCAGAGCCAGGGGCACGGCCTTAAGCCGCGGACAAGGCTGCGATGCCCTGGGGCAGCAGCTGGCCACAAGAGATCCAGGGGGAAGCTCTCACAAGAGCCCGCTGGGGCTCCATGGGCCAGCGGCCCCTTCCCACCTCCACAGACGCTCCTTGCACGCTGCCCACCCGAACCACAAAGCACACAAGCTGCCACACGTGGTGGCCACATCTCGCACTGTGCCACGGGACCCTCTCCGCGATGGGCACACGGGGTTTCCTCTCTCTTTCAGCTGAGGAACTGTTGGAATGAGCTGCGCCTGGCATTGGAGCACACCTGCACCAGTGGCCCATCCGAGCCCGGCACAGAGCTGGGCCCCACCTACACTCACCTTCCTCGGTCTGCACAGCCTTGCTCGCTCTTCCCGGAGTGCTGTCTTCCCGTGGCAGCGATTCCCATGCTCTGTGCAAGTGGGAGAGAGCCAGTTAGGGTCAGCGCCAGGCTGGGACAGGACATGCCAGCGCCACACGGCAAAGTCACCGCTACAGCCGTCTGAGCCCTTCAAGCTCCAACCCAGCCTGGGCACAGGGCAGGGATGGTGCCGGTCAGCGCTGCCGCCAGCACCGCTGTGGAACAAGGCAGCGGGGATGCTGACGGACCCAACAAGGGGGCTTCCCCACCACTGGCTGACCCAGCAGCCATGTCTCGCGGGCCTGGAATATCCCAGCTCCGGTGGAGAGCAGGCCTTGGGCACCAGGTGAGCTGGGAAGGCGGCTGCTTTCTTCCTGTCTGGCACTGACAAGCAGGCACTGGCTGGATGAGCAGTACGTTACCTTCCCATCCAACGTGGCACTTGGCAGCAGGATCCTTTGCCGGACTGCGGGCACTCCCTCACGCACATCCTCTTCTATCGGAATGTGGAAAGAGACCAGGAGTAACTAATTTGGCTCAGGGGAGCACAGCCTCCCTTTCTCCTGCTCACCACAGAGTAAATCCCATCCCCCAGGTGCTGGCTGCCGAGCCCAGAGCCTCTCTTACTTCAACGCTGCTCAGCTCCCCCTTGCAATGTCCATGGAAGGCAAAGTCTGAGCATCCTAAACTGAATCCACGCTGGGAGCAAGCAGCCTCCAGGCTCTTTACCGGCCTAGGCGACGGGGAGGGAGGATGCTGCTGGCCCAGCCAGAGCAAATCCTTCCTTACTGATCCGCCCCCGGTGAAACCTTTCCCTGCACAGCTGCAGAGCTCCATCAGCCAGGACTACATGCCACTCTCCCGTCTGCAAGCCCGGCCCAGGATGTGAGCAGTGGTTTATTACAGCTCAGCAGGTGCTGAGTGGGAACACAGGGCTCCCACACGTGCTGCTGCCTCCAGCTGAAAAGGCGGCAGCACAGCAAAGAGATTTTGTCCTTTCCTTTCCCCTGGATGTGTCCCCCCCTGCAGACTGGCCAGGGCAGAGTGGCGACAGGAAAAGAGCTCTGTGCTGGGCTGTGGGCTGCGGAGCTGTGCTGGCTGTTGGGCCCCTGGGGCGCCCCGGGCATCTGACTGTCCCAGCGTACCGGGGCAAAGATGTCCTCAGGGCTCCGGTCCTGTGGCAGCGGGTGCCGGTGACGCATGGTCTGCGGTGGAGCTCTGCTGGGGCACAATGGTCACAGCACTGTTAGTGGCAGGAAGAGCCGATCCCATCCTCCTCCCAAGCTCACCAGAGGCAGTAGCAGCAGGACGGGTTCTCTCAGCACGGCTGAATTCCTGCGGTTGGGCCACTGTAGAGGCCATTTTGCCGTGCGGGCCACACAAAGACAGGAGCGATGTGGGCTGGCAGGGTCGCATCGCACACTAGGACCCCGTGCTCCCAGCAGCGATCCCTGCAGCACCACGCAGGGCAGCACCAAGGGCAGCAGTATGGGCCCGGCACTGCCATGGCTAGGCCACCCGAGTCCTTATCTCACCCGTGCCCTGTGCCACCTGCAGCCCTCACAACCTATGTCCCTGTGCCACCTGCCTCTGTATCCCACCCGTGTCCCTCTGCCACCTTCATCCCTGACAACCAGGGTCCCTGTGCCCCCCGTGCCCCTGACAAGGAGTGTCCTACTGCCACCCGTGTCCTTATCCCACCCGCATCCTACTCCCTCGCTCACCCAAGGCAGTTGCCGCGGGTCGAGGCGCTCACCCCTCGCCCGATCACAGTGGCCGATCTGCTGTTACTGGCCATTTTCCTCTTCAGGTGCCACAGCTGCACCTCCCAAGGGGTTGGAAAGTGGGCTATCAGGCTGTGGCTGGGCCTGTACGGGGGCGGCCGCAGTAGGGGATAGTGCCTGGGGGGCAGGCACCGTGGTGGAGAGCGCAGGGGCCGAAGGCGCTTGGCGGACCTGCGGGACCGCAGCACCCACCAGGTGCTGGCAGCCCCCGCGCCCAGCGCCGCTCCCAGCAGCGGTCCCTGCAGCAGGCAGGTGCCCGTCACCAACAGCGCCACTGCCAGCGCCGACGCCCAGCGCCAAGGGCAGCGCCAGGGGCCCGGCAGCGCCATCGCTCTCCCTCTCTTCTGCAAACCGGCCCGGAACGCACTGCGGGAGCCGCGCCCCGGCACCTCGATAGTCGCCGCGTTCTGGAGCTCGTGGCCCTGTTCCACCGGCCCCGCCCATCCACCCGCCTTCTATTGACAGCCCTGGGCCACCCGCGTCCCTGGCAACCACTGTCCCTGGGCCACCCCTGTCCTGAGCCCACCCTCGCCTCTGTGCCTGCAGCTCCCAGAGCCCTGCTGTGTCCTGCCGGGCAGGCACCACGGCACGGACCATGCCAGGGACCGCACAGAACACGGTTCCCCTGAGCATCTCCCGTGCCGTGGCCCTGCCGTGCGGAGCCTGCAGCCCAGCTGAGGAGGGCAGGGCTGTCTGCATGGCCTCACCTCGCCAGAGAGGGAGAGGGCGGCTGGGGCAGCCAAAGCCCGCCCTGCTCCTCAGGACTGAGCAGGGGCCACGTCCTGGTCGCCCCCACAACACTCAGCAGCGCTGGTGTGCAGGGTGGCCCCTTGCACCCAGCGCTGCGGTAAAGAATGCCCGCTTGCTAAAACTCCCCGTCGAGTCTTAGAGAGCTCTTTCAGCCGCACTTTCAGTGACACAGAGAGGGAGCAGGGGCACACAGGGAATGCCCACCGAAAATAACAAACCGAGTGCAAATGACCAGGTTTCTGATCTCAGCACCTGCCAAGCTCAGAACTGGACGGGCTTTTAATGCAGGCAGAGCAAGCTTTGCTCATTACGCCTAGCAGGGGCATCGTGGGCTCCTCCTGAGCTCTCAGGGGGACAGCCCAGCACTGGCAGCCCTTGTAATCTAGGTCGCCCTTGCTGGAGACAAACGTGTTGTATTGAAACGGGCAGCCCTCATGGCCCTTCAGGTCTTTCTGGTGAGAGAGAGAGAGAGAGGTGTGGCCAGAGAAGTGTTGCTGCTGTGCTGCAGTTTCCGAGGGGCTTTGCAAGGGTCGCTCGCTCTCCCGCTGGGAGGCGGGGCTCCGTCTCCACCCGGGTGGCTTCCCCGTTCCCCCATGGCCCGTGCTGCCATGCAGTGGGCACAGCTGTAGGCGCTGAGACCACAGGGTCCTGGGGGCTGCCCAAGGGAGCCTTTTTGGGGGGCACTCCCCAAGGGCTCCCTGCTGCCTGCCCCTGGGCTGGGCTGGACACTCCCCACGGGAAACACCGACTCAGTCCAAACCACAGCGTGTCCACCTGACAGCCAGCTCTCAAAACTGAGGTCCTGCACTCAGAAGCCACAACGTGAATCGGCTCTCAAACTCCATCAACTCGGCTTGGTTATCAGGTGGGTCATTGCTCCTCCACCGTTTTTCTTCTCACTTCACATGAGGAATGGGGAAGCAGGAAGAAACATGTGAATTAAGTGGGTTCCAGCAAGGCACTGTCTGTAAAGCGGTTTTAGTATAGTACAGTTGTGATCGTGAAATTAGCCTCAGTGACCAAAGAGGCTCTGCGTAAGAAGCAGCTATTTGGCCATAGACAGAGCAGAAGCCAAGCAGCCCTGCCCGTACCATGCTTTTAGGATTCCTGTTGGGATGACCCAGAGCAGAGTTTCTGTCTCTCCACCGTCCTTCGCAGCACGTTTGTGCAGCAGCAGTCTTGCCCTGAAATTGCCACTGCTCGGAGCAGAGGCAAAGTGGAGGAAAACTCCAGAAATAGTAATAAGAAACAGTAATAATAATAACAATAACTGTTGTTCAACCACACAGCTGTGTTTGAACAGGGGAAGCAAGTACCCACAAGCAGAGGGTGCTGGAAAGCTGCGCCCTGTGCCCTGGTCTAGGAGTCAAACACAGGGAAGGCAGATGTGAACACAGTCTGTTTATTTTAAGCGGGGGGATGGGGAGTGAGGTGGAGGAGGGTGGGAATTGCATCTTGACAGTAAAGAAATATTAAAATGATAGTAAATTTAGGGTAAAAACACTGGTTTGCTATTGTTCTAAAAACCAAAACAAGAGTATAACAACAACAATTCTACAAGAAAACAACAAAACAACTACAGTGTGAGACCAAAACAACTACAGGATAACAAGATTAAAACAGAACTGCCAACAAAACATAGGAGGCAAATAAAAATCCTCAACGGCTCTGCGTAGCCGCTGATGTCACTGGTGGTGCAGAGGCCACTTGGCCTCAACGTCCCTGGAAGCAAGGCAGTACAACATTCGCACCCAAGTGCCTTCCCAAGAAGTGTTCACAGTCACATCCTCCTTCCTGTCTTTAAACAAACTGGGATTTAGCCCTGGCCAGTGTTCCCAAGTGTCTTTCCACAGCCGTGTGCACCTCAGCTCTTAGATGAATTGCATGTCTCTAGGAGGCACGGTGAGCCGGTGCCCTGGACAAGCTGAGCCCTGTAAAGAAACAGCGGTACCCACATTCCCAGGGCTCCAGGGACAAAGGCCGTGGCAGTCAGACCCAGCGAGGACCAGACAAAACTCCAGCTGAAAGGCAAAGAAGGAAACGAGAGATATTAGACATAACAGGGTGTGAGGAACAGCGACAGCCTACCTCGTTTAGAATTCTTATCATCAAAATGCACTCCCTTGAAGATACGAACTTTGATGAGGCTTTATCTATGAACAGAGAAATCCTAATTAGAGTGAAGAAGAGTGTGACCCACTGATTTCATGTTAAATCCCAGTGCTGGTCGCCTGCAGATTTCATTGCCGACTTTTGCTAAAGGAATTGCTGGGAAATTTCGGGTAGTAGAACTGCAACAGCTGAGAGCCGGCAAGAACGTTCAGTAGCTGAATTCAAGTGTTACTTTTAAGCTGCAGTCTGCCCTCAGCTTTGGCTGCCTGCTTTAATAAAGAGTATGTGTCCAAGGCACAGGAAACCCCTTCTCCTCTTCATCAGACACTGTCAATTTAACAGAAAGGGGAGAGGGAAGGGCCAGTTCTTCCTCGGGAGGATTTCATGGGGGGCTCTTGACAAATTTGTCAAGTCAACAAATATCTGAAAGCTTTTCTATTCCAAAAGCCAGAAATAAGTGACCTACCCCCAGGCACACTTTTCTTTCAGAGTTGATTCAATAGTTTATTCAAAGCCCACAGGTTCTCAGAGCTCAGATTCTTTCTAAGAAATGGGGGGGAGGGGGGAGGGGTGGTGGTAAAAAAGCTGATTTTTCTGCAAGGTAAACACAGAAATAAGCCTAACCAGCTGTATTGCAACATGCTAAGCAAGGGACAAATCCTTTTGCAAGAGCCAATGCAGATATACATCAAAACAGATCTAAGCAAGGCTCAGGGCATATTGAATGCCTAGTGTGGTCAGACAGAATTTCCAAAAGCAGACATATATAAATATTCTGAAATAAATATTATATAAATAATATATTTATATAATATAAATAATATTATATAAATATTCTTCTTCACACCTTCCAAGGGAAGGCCCTGTGTTGAAGCAGCCTCAGGAAGGATGAAGTGTGTGTGAAGGGGGGGGCTGTAGGGTAGGATGTTTACATCCCACCTTCTCAGACCTATTTCTCCTCCTATTTCTGCTGACCAGAGCGCTTCCCTCTTCCCAACCAGGTGCTCTCGGAAATAGCAGAGCCTTTGCCATGCTCTGCCCCCAGTTTGGCACAGGGCTAGCCCACAGGACACACGCACCCCCTCTTTGGTGTAAACAGCAGCTGCCCCAGGCTCAGTGCTCACAAGAAGGTGAAGGTGGTAGAAGGCTCTCACGGGCCTGGAGATGTCTTTTTTTCCCCCGGACTTAGTGCCTGGGCTCTCCTTCAGAGATGGGTCATGTTAGCACCGAGCTGAGCACACAGGAGAGGCTGGGAGTGCAGCAGTTAGCACAGAAAGTGCCAGCGAGGGAAAGCCAGGCTGATGGCACGCTGCTCTGCCTGCAGGGCCCTCGCTCCTGCTGGTCACAGGCCCAGGGTACTTTTGGGACACAGCTCTGAGCTCCTGTGCTTGCCCTGTCCTCACTGCAGCTCCCTGGAGCTGAGCCCAGCTTGCCCTAGGTTGCAGCTGAGCAGGTGCTCAAGGCACAGAGGCAGGGCTGTGCCCTTGGCCACTCCTGGATCTTTCCTTTGGGACGAGCAGCAACTTTGTCTGACGATTCCCAAAGATCCTTTTTCTCTCTCCCAGCCTCCTGCTGGGCTCGCTCAGCTGATGGGGAGCCCATGGGCCTGGAGCCAGAGGGTTGGGTGCCCCACGGGGGTGCAGGGGTCTCTGGGAGTGCCAAGACACCTCGATGCCTCCTCCTCAGTGTCCCCTCGCAGCCGATGTGAGCTGTGCTTCCAAATGTGCTGCAGGTAGGGAGCAGCAGCAGGAGTCCTGCAAGGGAGGAGCAGTGCTTGGTGGGGTCTGAGGAGCAGTCATGTCCCAGGCAGAAGAGGTGCACGTCGAAAACGGGTGAGGGAAATGCCTGTGAAAAGCTGAGGCTGGGTGACCAAGGATGGTGAGGCCACGATGTTCTCCAGGGGTAGTGTATGGGCTCCTGACGTTTCACAGGGCCCTGGTCGGACCCACCCTGTCCTGCTGTTCCACAGCACCGCAGGGGAGCAAGGCTGCAGGGACGCTGATCAGCACAACACCAGGGCTTCCCCACAGCTGGGTGACCCAGCAGCCAGGTCTCAGGGGCCTGGAGCATCCCGGTGCCGGTGGAGAGCAGCTCTTGGGTACTGGGATGGCTGGGAAGGGGAACGCTTTCTTCCCGGCTGGCACTGACAAGCGGGCGCTCGCCAGATGAGCAGTACATTACCTTCCTGTCTGCTCTGGCACTGCACAGCAGACTCCTCTGCAGCACTTTGGGGACACCCCCACACATATCCACTTCTCCTGGAAGGCAGGAAGAGACCAGCAGTAGCTAACTTGGTGCTGGGGAGCACAGCCTCCCGTTCTCCTCATCGCTGTAGAGTAAATCCCATCTCCCAGGCACTGGCTACCAAGACCAGAGCCTCTCTTGCTTCAGTGCTGCTCAGCTCCCCTCCAGAACGTCCATGGAGGGCAAAGCCGGAGCACCCCAAACTGGATCCACTCTGGGAGCAAGCAGCCTCCGGGCTGTTTCTAAGCAAGGCGATGGGGAGGGAGGATGCTGCTGGCCCAGACACTGCAAACCCCCCCCTGCTGGCCCACCCTGGAGAAAACCCTTCCCTGCACAGCTGCAGACTACATCCCCCTCTCACATCTGCGAGCCCAGCCCAGGATGCGAGCAGGGTTTTATTACAGCTCAGCAGGCGCTGGGGAGACCCGTGTCAAAGTGGGCACACAGGGCTCCCAGGCGTGCTGCTGCCTCCGGCTGAAAAGCTTTCAGCACAGCAAAGAGATTTTGTCTTCCCCTTCTCCCTGGATGTGTCCCCCCTGCAGAGTGGTCAGGGCAGAGTGGGGAGAAGCCAAGAGCTGCACGGAGTGGGGCTGGGCGTCGGGCCCATGGCGAGCCCCTGGGCATCTGGCTGTCCCAGCGTACCGGCGGGAAAACAGTCCTAGGGCTCCAGTGTGGCGGCAGCGGGAACCGGCGGCGCACGGTCGGTGCTGGGGCTCTGTGGGGACACAACACATGCAGCCCCACAGGCAGAGCTATGGGCCCAGCACCGCCACAGCTGTGCCACCCATGTCCTTATCCTGCCCGTATCCCTGTGCCACCTGCCTCCCTGACAGCCCGTGTCCCTGTGCCACCTGCAGCCCTGATAACCAGTGTCTCTGTGCCATGTGTATCTCTGTGCCACCTGCGTCTCTGTGCCACCTGCAGCCGACTACCAGTGCTCCTGTGCCACCAGTATCCCAGACAAGGAGAGTCCCTCTGCCACCTGCATCCATATCCCACCCTTGTCCCTGTGCCACCCATGTCCCTGTGCCACTTGCAGCCCTGACAACCAGTGCCCCTGTGCCACCCGTATCCTTGTGTCACCAGTGTTCCTGTTCCACCTGCATTCCTGACAACCTGTGCCCCTGTGCCACTCATGTCCCAGACAGCCAGTATCCCTGTGCCACCCGTGTTCTTATCCCACCTGTGTCCCTCTGCCACCCACGCCCCTCTGCAAGCTGCATTCCTGACAACCAGTGTCCCTGTGCCACCTGTATCCCTGTGCCAAAGATGTCCATGTTCTACCTGCATTGCGAGCAGTGTCCCTGTTCCACCCGTGTCCTTATCCCACCTGTGTCCCTGTTCCACCCGTGCCCTTATCCCACCCACATCCTACCCCGCGCTCACCCCAGGCAGTTGCCGTGGGTCAGGGCGCTGTCCCTGCGGCCGACTCCTGTGGCGGGGCGGCCGATCCCGGCCCTGCTGAAGGTCGGGCGCCGGTAGGCCTGGGCCCATGGAGGTGGGAAGCGGGCAATGAGGCTCGGCCTGTAGGGGGGAAGGAGAAGTCGGGGAGGGCGCTGGGGGGGCACGAACCGTGCGGGAGGGCGCCTGGCGGGCGTGCGGGACCGCAGCGCAAACCAGGCCCCCCCGCGCCCAGCGCCGCTCCCAGCAGCGATCCCTGCGCCAGGCAGGTCAGCATCACTGCCAGCGCCAGGGGCAGCGCCAAAGGCCAGCGCCAGGGGCAGCGCCACCGACTCGGCAGCGCCATCGCTTCCGACCGCAGCAGCAACGGCCACCGGCCCGGAACGCGCTGCGGGAGCCGCGCGGCCGCACCTCGGCAACCGCCGCCTTCTACAGCTCGTGGCCCTGTTCCACCGGCACCCCCGTTCCACCCGCCTGCTACTGACAGCCCTGGGCCAGCCGCGCCCCTCACAGCCACTGTCCCTGGGCCACCCCTGCCCTTAGCCCACCCTCGCCTCTGTGCCTGCAGCTTCCACAGCCCTGCTGTGCCCCACCAGGCAGGCACCACGGCAGGGACGATGACACGGACCACACACAACACGATTCCCCTGAGCATCTCCCTGGCCATGACCCCCACGGGCCAGCTCAGGGGCACCCGACTTCCCGGGAGGGAGCGGGGCACACGGGGAATCCCCATGGAAAACAACAAACCCGAGGCAAATGACCGGGGTTCCGATCTCACCAGCTGCCAAGCGCCACGGTTGGGATTCAGGGGAAAGCTGTGCTTAAACTGGGCTGGGTTTTAATGCAGCCACAGCAAGCTTTGGTCTTTACAGCTAATGAGGGCTTTGCAGGCTCCTCCTGAGCTCTCAGGGGACAGCCCAGCACTGGCATGCGCTGTAACCTAGGGTATCCGTGCTGGGGACAAATGTGGTCTATTGAGACGTGCAGCCCTCATGCTCCTTCAGGTCTTTCTGCTCAGAGCTGGGCACAGAGGAGGGTGCTGCTGCTGTGCTGCCATTTCAAAGGGGCCTTGCAAGGAATGCTCACACTCTGCCCACGGGAGGCAGGGCTCCATCTCCAGCCCTCTGGTTTCCCCTGTTCCCATGCCCAGTGCTCCCATGCAGTGGGCACAGCTGTAGCACTGGGGCTGGCTCAGGTCCTCGGGGGGCTGCACAAGGGAGCCTTTTGGTGGCAGATGCCAGGGGAGCTGTAGGTGACCAAAAGGAAATGGTGATGCAAGGGCAGGAGCTCTTGCATGTGCAGCCTGTGGCTGCCCCATCCTGCTTGAGCCTTGCCCCCACCTTCCCTGCCTGCCCTCTCCCAGCCATACAGAGGATGCTGCGGCTGTTTGTCCATTGGCCGGGGCCCCAGCGCTGTTTGTCCATTGGCCGGGGCCCCAGCGCTGTGCTGTCATTGGCTGAATCCGCCCGGCCGTGGCTCCTCTGTGGCCGTCCCTACGCTTTCCCCGCCTCCCTGCCGCTCTGCAAGCTGCCTCCGGAGGGAAGGAGTTCCAAATCGATGTCAGACTCGTCTGTCGCGTAACATGGGCGAGTTTCCTGAGGACGAGAGTTGGGGCCCCTTGGTGTGGGTGCAGGGGGGGCCGGAGGGGTCTCCCTTTCCCCCACCTGTGAGGGTTTCTGCAGAACTTTATCAGTTTCCTTGGCCACTTCTTCAGGTGTGTCCTTAATAGGGATATTAACACCCTTGGCTGTATCAGCCAATAGACGGTCAAAAACAAGTGTATCAGGCGGGGGGGGGGGGCCCTTCTGATCCCAACAGCTTAGTAGCTGCCATAGCCATCCTCTTCTCTGCCACCATCTGCTGCAGCTCATTTATGACCTCCCTCCAGGTGACCCCCAGGTCTTTAGCAGACTTATTCCCCTCTATGGTAGCATCCCACAAAGAGTCCCCAGTTTCCCTCCATTCAGCAATGATGAACATTAGCTGTGGGTCCTTAAGGTGCCCTTTCTCCTTTGCCCACCGACATAGCTCTCTGAGCTTTTTCATGCTCACACCAGCCTCTTGCTTAGCAAGTAATTGTTCTAACAGTGTGAGTGCCGCCTCTCGATCCATGGTGGATTTGAGAGCGCGGTCTTACCCGTGCAGGTGTGGCTGCGCAGGCCACATCAGCTGTCCCTCCTAGCCGAGCTTCACTGCTTTTGCCAGTAGCCGAGCTGCGCCGCTTTTGCGAGTAGACGCTTCCTGCACCGCCGGCTCCTCGCTTCCCCCGTCTGTGCCTTTGCTGCAACGGCCGGGCACAGTTTGGAGAAGTCCGAGTCCAACCTCGAGTCCCCGTTCGGGCGCCAAATGTCGGAGGAGCGACCCGAATCAAGAAGAGAATCCCAATATGAGTTACGCTTCTTGTTCCATTTATTGCACAGGCTCACCTAATTTATACCATTGGTGATAGTTTACGTGACAGCTGTACATCTTTCATTGGCTACATAAACCTGTCCACACGCCTGTCTATACATTGCTATTGGCTAAGCTAAGTCTTACACACATATCTCTGCAGCAGCAGGGTGCGTGCCTTGCGATAAGCGGTGCATTCCTTGTGGCCAGCAAGCTCCTGTTGCAGCGTTCTGCTTACATTTCTTCGACTCCAGGCCTCCCCAGCTCAGCTGAGTCAGAGAGAGTTCAAGGCTGTCTCACTCGGCTCTAACCCTGGGTTGTGCAGGCCCTCCTGAGAATAACCATTGCTCCACATCCAAGATAATCCAGATTTTTAGGCCTCTGTGTTTCTGGGTTTAGACTGTTCCAGTTTGCACACGCCAGCCCAGTGCAAGGAGAGCAAGTGCAGACTTTGGTCCTCAGGGGGGTATCCGTGTGCCAAGCTCCCCTAGGGTGACTCCAGATATACAGAAGCCCCTGGGGGACCCTGTTGTCCAGGTCTGTGGGATGCCTGGTGGTCACTGGCTTTGGGGGGGCTCCAGCATCGATGGGCACACCTGGAAAGCGGAAGGAAGAATGGAGAAAGGAGGGGGGAGAATATTCCCATCGGGGGGGGGGGGAGAGTATCAGGGAGCATCTGGGGGGGGCCCAAGGGGAAAGTGGGGGGTCCTGGGAGTGAAGGGTGATGGTATGGGTCACCCCAGTTGGGTCAACTGCCTGTAACTGGGGCCCCCAAAGGGACATTGGAGGTTATAGGGAAAATGGGGGAAAGTGGCAGGGTCTGAAGGGCAAGTGGGGAATCAGGGGGAAACAAGGCAGCCCGGTGCTGAGTGCAAAGGAGCGGTCCTGGAATGGGCCAGAAGACAATGGGAGTCCTGGGGGAAACGGGGCCCTGTGAGTTTAGGAGTCCTGGCAGGCTATGGTCCCCCCTGTGTGTCGTGTCCCATCCCGTGTCTTCCCCCCCCCAGTATCTATTTGTAGGGAATTGCAAGGGACCGAGGGTCCAACAGGGTTTGGCATTCCCATGGTGGTCTGTGGACAGCCTCAAAAGCAGGGGTATTTGCAGAGTGAGGTTTACCAGGTCAGGACTTGCAGCAGCAGCAGCACAAGCACCATGGAACCAAGCGCCAGCCCCAGTGTCAGGAATACCATGTGGATCCCAGAGGTCCTGCCATGGGGCCAGTGCAGCACAGCCCTGAACTGAGCCTGGAGTCCTTGCTCTGCCTCCACGCTTCCCTCTGATACTGCAGGGACCACGTACCTTGGGTCATGGGGCACTGCCCCCCAGGGCCCACGTGTCCCCACAGCCACAGACCTCAGTGCCCCACAGACCCAGGCATCAGGGGTATCCGCTCCAGCCCACATGTCCCACTGCCCCAGAGGAGCCGGGCATCAGGGAACACCCACTCCACCGTGGATCCACCCTGCTCATGCTCCCCACGCACTCCCCCCCATGGGATCCGGCTCTGCAGGGCCCCACTCCACCCCACACCGCTCCCTGTGCCCAGGGCACTCAGGTGTCTGGGCGCACCGTTGAGGTAGAAGTACTTGCGGGCCAAGGGCTCAGAAGGGACTCCCAGGTGACAGGCGACGGTTCCTGGAGCGGGGTCCTGCACGGTCAGGTTGAAAAGTCCCTCCACAGCCACCTGCAGCTCCTCAAACAGTGCCAGGTCCTGTGTGTGCGCCTGAGGCATGGGGGAACACGTCAGCACAGCCTGCTCCAGCAGGTACATGAAACGGCAGAAACGTGCATGCAAAGGCACTCATGTCCCGCTTGTCATGTCCCCTTCGCACTTGCGGTACTCTTGGCTTGTGAGTGTGCATGCAACTCCTGTTCCGCATGTGCCTGCCGTGCCCTGTGTGTCTTCACACACGGATGCACAGGCAGAGCACGTCAGCACACGGAAGCCAGTGGTCACATTGCTGAGAAGCCCCCCATGTCCTTGCCACGCGCACTTGAGCCCAGAACCCACCTATCTCCTGTTTAGCAATACCTGTAGCTATTGCTACTCCTCACACCAAAGAGAACAAGGGTGTGCATGCCCAGTCCCCTCATGAATGTCTGTGTACGTGCACGGGCAACTCACATCCTTGGCAAACATCCAGGTAACGGACAGGTTGGGGGGGGTGGCAAAGGGTACATCGCAGAGCAGCGTGATGGCTTCATCTGTGTGCACCTGCACGTCCTGCACTGGAAGGAAGCATTGACAGGCACGTGAGGCACATCTGCTCATGCACATACAGAAGGTGCTGCTCTGCAACTGCACATGCTTGAGTGCTTGCAGCAGGGCTAGGCAGGCAAGCAGCTTGGCACGCTCCTGTGCAGTCATGGGCCCAAGCAGGCACGGCCACATGTCAGAAAGGAGGCACCCAGATGTGTGCGGGGGGCTCTGCCTGGGTGCCTGGGTCCTCTGCCCCATACCTGGGCAGTCCAGGGGGAGCTGGCACTCCTTGAGGCGGCAGGTAGCACACTGGAAGACGTGGGCATCAGGCTGATATCCTGGGACAGAGACTTGGTGGTCGCGGAGGGAAGGGAGATGTACTTGGAAGAGGGGGTGGCAAGACAGAGGGACGCACACTCACCACAGGGGGGGATGCAGGCTGGAGCTGGTGGGGAGGAAGCAGCATTAGACTGGGGCTCACTGGGGATCCACATCCCTGTGATGAGCTGTCAGGGCTCAGCCCTTGTCCAGCCCTGATGGGATCCCTGGGGGTTTCTCCACCAGTGTGGGTCCAGGACAGTCCCTTTCCTGGGGTCCCGAGGGCTCCCCCGGTGCAATTCTCAGGGGGGTGTCCCCACTGGCCCCATACCTTCCTCCAGCTGGCTCAGCTTCACCCAGATTGTGTTGACGGCTTCCTGCAGAGACACCTCAAAAGACTCTGGGATATGTCCCAGATAACCAGGTCAGACACTTGCCCGCCACCACTTTTGATGCCCACAAACCTTCTCCAGCCCTCAGCACATCCCCTGTACAGCTCAAGTCAAGTCTGTACATCCATCCCAGAGACCCATATATCCCCAGGTACTCCTCTCAGAAACCCACAGAAGCTGTATACCTGGAAGCCCGTACACTCTCAGGGTTCCCTGAATATCCCCTTACAGCCCACAGACCTCCATGTACACTGGATTTCACCACAGCCCCCCTTCAAGGCCTCCATGTTCCATCCCCCATGCCCCAGCCCTAACCCCTCACCCATCCCATGCCCCAAGCTCACTCTTGCCCTTCTCCTTCTCCAGAAAATGCAGGGCATCCATTACGATCTCCTGAAGTGCCTTGCGCTGCCCCGACCCTGGGACCAGTACAGGGGTGTTGGGACCAGTAGAGGGACACTGGCACCAGCACATGATTGGGGTTGCAAGTTCAGGGATGGCAGGGTCCAGTAAGGGCTGGGGGTTCCTGGGCCTTGTGGAGTCCTGATCAGGGTTTAGGGATAGTGACCTTATTAGTGTATATAAATATATAAAGGGGGAGTGTCACGAGGATGGAGCCAGGCTCTTCTCAGTGGCGAACAATGAAAGGACAAGGGGTAATGGGTACAAATTGGAGCACAAGAGGTTCCACTTAAACCTGAGAAGAAACTTCTTCTCAGTGAGGGTGACGGAACACTGGAACAGGCTGCCCAGGGAGGCTGTGGAATCTCCTTCTTTGGAGACATTCAAGACCCGCCTGGACACGTTCCTGTGTAACCTTATCTAGGTGTTCCTGCTCCGGCAGGGGGATTGGACTAGATGATCTTTTGAGGTCCCTTCCAATCTCTAACCTACTGTGAAGATAGTGGCGAGGGTCAGATACCCTCAGGGTAGGGCCAGGAGTCCCCACTGTGTTCCCGATTCTCAGGGTCTCAGGCAGGGTTGGGGTTCCCAGGGGTCCCTGGGGTCCAGATCAGGACTGGGGAGACATTGGCATGGCTGGGAGTTCCGAGGGTGCTCGTCTGGGGAGGGTCCCTCGGGGTCCTGTTTAGGAAAGAGGTCCCCAGGTGCCCTGGGTCCTGGCGGTGTCAGTGGGAATGCCTTGGCTGAGGCAGGGAAAGCCAGAGGGCTCTGGGCTCCTGGCCAGGGTGGGGGTCCCTGGCAGGACGGAGGTGGCAGTCAGGAGGGGGGGGTGTCCTTGGGGTCTTGTCACGCACCCACAGTGACGGAGGCGAGCGACGCAGCAGCCTGGTCAATATCCTCAAGGCAGTGGCGGTGCCGGGGATCCCTCACAGGGGCCCCAGTAATGTCCTGGCAGAGGCGTACCTGCCGAACGTTGGGCCAGAAGCAGAGCAGACAGGGGTGCACCCCGGGGAGCCAGAACACCAGGGCCACCCACTGCCACAAGCCAGGTCCCCTTGCCTGCGTGCCTGGGCTTCCAGGGAGCCAGGGGGCCATCACCAGCATCAGGGGCAGCTGCCACCACCCCATGGCTCCAGAGCATAGCACCCAGATGCCTGGGTCCCCAGGGAACAGCAGGGTTCCAAGGCAGAACCTGGGTGCCTAGGTCCCCATGTAACAATAGGGTTGCTAGGTGGAACCTGGGTGCCTAGGTCCCCATGTAACAATAGGGTTGCTAGGTGGAACCTGGGTGCCTAGGTCCCCATGTAACAATAGGGTTGCTAGGTGGAACCTGGGTGCCTAGGTCCCCATGTAACAATAGGGTTGCTAGGCAGGTCCAGACACCTCGGTGCCCTTTTGAGAGTAGTGGGGATACAGGGGTTCCTTTGAGTGTGTGCGCTGGGGAAGGAGCTCCAGTCCTTGCGTTTGGTTCCCCCAAATCTTCATTACTTGGTGTCCCCAGCCTGGAGAAGCGCCCTCCTGTTCAGGAGGCAGTGAGGTGGGGGCAGCTCCCTGCAGACCCTGCTCACTGCAGAGCCTCCCCTGGCAGGGTCTGTGTGCATCCCCTCTGTGAAACAGGCTGGGGGTACAGTGGGCAGCCCCACACCGCAGAGGTGACCAGCCCGTACCTGCACTGTGACGAGCATCTGCCACACAAAGCCTGGTGAGGGCGCGGGCCTCCTGCTGAGGGCTGCGCTTGAGAACGCTCTGCCCCAGAGGAGCTGCGCTGCAGTGGGCAGAAGACAAGAAGAGGGAGCAACACAGCAGTGGGAGCCGTGAAAGGCAGAAGAGGAGGAAGAGAAGGAAAAGGAGGGGAAGAACAGAGAGGAGGAGGCTTTTTGCAGGAGGAAAGCAAGCTGCTGGCCAGCCTACTGATGCAGCTGTCGACCTGGAACAAGGGCGCAACTCCAATGGCAGAAGAGCTCTTGCCGCCTCACTTGTCTCCAACAATTGAGAAGCTCAGGAGCTCTGGTGGGCCTTCAGTGCCAATTCCATGAGTGTGTCGGGTCAAGGCCATCTCTGAAAAGAGGCATGGCAACCCTGAGGGCTTTGCGGTGGCTGCTCAGGACTGGTGACTGCAAGGAGGAACCTGCTTGACCATCCCTTAGGGCTGAGGGGCTGATTTGGTAGCCAGGACTCCGGGTTCTCTTCCTGACATGGCCCCTGCCTCCTGGCGCACCCCAGGCAGAAGCCCCTGGCCCCAGAGGGCTGCTCCTTGCCTGCTGGTGGCCATTGCCCACCCTGAGCTCATGTCTGAGGGGAAGAGCTGAAGGTGCTCGTGGGCCGTGCAGCGCGTGTGCATTCAGAGATGCAACCCAGGGAAACTGGGCCTGCTGGGAGACACCAGGGCTCAGCCTGAGCCTCTGAGGCTTCCATGGAGCACAGCATTGTGCCCGCTCTGGCGGGGCCATCAACTGCCGGTTTCCTGTGGGGCTGCGTCAGGCTGAGGTGTCCTTTGGCTCCTCATGGGCTTTAGTGAGACCACCCGGAAAATGTGTGTTAGAAACGCGTGGGTCCTCGGGCAGGGGAGGGCTGAAGGGCTCTGTGCGCTGCCCCGAGGATGACATGTCTTCCCCTTCTTTTCCCAGAGTTCAGTAGGATCTGGGCCAGTGCATCAAGTTACCTCAGCCAACGGCTGGCTCTGCACCAGGTGGGACAGACCTCCTTCTCCTCCTGCCCTCACTTCCTGAGGAAGGTTGATGAAGTTCTTTGCTATGGAGCACGATTGTTCTCCCCTTGCTTTGAAAGCAGGAATGCCCCAGCTCGACGCTGCAAGGCACAGATGTGTGCAGACTACCTCCTGTGTCCATTCAGGTCTACAGTAAGGTCCAGGAGTAGCGTTAGAAAAAGGGCTGGGCTTTTTCTGGGACTTCTGGAGTCCGCACAGGCAGAGGTGCATGACAAAGCTTGGAAGACTGAGGCACGTTAGGCTTTATTCCAAGTGTGGGACAACCAAAGGATGGTTTCAGCTTGTCAACACTTCCTCTCGGTTTCTTCATGGATGAAGGGGAGCGAGAGGGAAAAGCACAGGCCCTGTTTCTCTTCTCCCAGGGTTTCCAAAGAGCCACTCTTGCTGCTTTGTACCACAGGCCTGGGCAGGACCCTAAGTACCATCACCATTCCCTTAAGAGTCTTCCCTCCATCCCTCAAAGTCGTCTTCTGATCGACCATCTCCTCTGTTTCAGGATGTTTACATTCCTGGCCTTGGGACGTTTGCGGTTGTCAGACAGCAAGTAGTTAGCAAGAAGAACCTGGTGTCAGTGGTGAGACCTGTGTTTCGTCTTGCAAAGGCTATTGTGCAAGACCATGGCCTCCGATACAGCCACACCGACATTCCTGGTAAGCAGACAGACTGGGAGCAGTGCTCGTCCTTGGGCAGAGTGGGGAGGTGTGCTCTGATGTCCAGAGCAGAGCGCCAGCCTCCTGCTGCAGTCTGAAAACAGCTCCAGCTCCACAAAACCAGCCTGCTAAGGAAAGGAGCCTGCCTACTGGTATGGCTTAAACAGTCACCAGAAGACAACACAGCATAACAGCACGTGCTCTTTGGCCTGCTTCCTCCAGTGGTTTCCTTCCCGTTCTATTGGTGCCGTGTCTTCTTGCCACGTGGTGTTTCAACCCTTGCTCCCCCTTTCTGCTTTACTAGGCCTCAAACAGGCAAATGCCAGGGCTCTTCCTCACGGCCCGAAAGCCAGGGGGGAAAGATGATTCATTCCAAATCCCAGTGACCACAGTGCCTGTTGCTATCTGGTTGCTGCAGCCATTGCAGCAGGGCCCTGTTAGCACCAAGAGCTTGGATCTGTGTTTGGGCTGGGTTTCTCTCTAATGACAAAGGGAGCAGAGAGTCTGGGCAGGGCTCTGATGGCCTGGCCGCCTGCAGCTTGCTGTGGCACCTGGGGCCTTTCTCCCCTCCTTGTCCTGCAGTCGTGGTGCTCCTTCCTACCAAGCACCAAAGACTCTTTGCCTTTCTGTATCAGACAGCCATAGGTGTCCCCTGTGCACCTCACTTCCCACTTCTGACAGAGAGGGACAGCCCAAGCTTCTCCTGGACAACTCGGTAGCAGTCTATTGCCTGAAGGCCTGGAAGCTGCAGACCTTGGACTGCAACCTGGTCAGCCGCTCTCCAAGTTTGTGGGTTCCCCTTCTCTTGCTTTGCAGGTCATCGACATGTCGAGCAACTGCCGTGTGCTCAGATAGCCTCAGACAATGCCGTCTCTGAAAGCACAGTGCGGCATTACATCGAAAGGACCATACGTCAGTTCCAAGTCTGCCTGGAGAACAAGCAGAACGTTACCCTCGTTTGGAGGGATGTGGCCATGGTGATCATCCAGGGCAAAGACGTGCACACGAAGTTTCACATGGGCTTCTTGCAACGGCTGAACGGCACTGCCAAGGTGCTGGAAGCTCTCCTGGAGGTACGATGCTCATTTCCACAGCACCACTCCTGCTGCTTCTGAAATGCGTTCTGGGGCTGGGGGGCTGCTTCCTCCTGGCCTGCCATGTCCTCTGCAGCCACTTGGGCTCCTCATGGTCCACAGAACAGCAGCTCTCTGCAGAGCGTTTCACTTGTCGGCAGTGCTCTGGCTTTGGAAGAGGTAACCCCAGAGGGGCCTCACGTTGTGACAAAAAGCTGGCATTGGTGGTGGGGAGCACTGCTTGCCCCGCTCTCAGGGCAGGGAGCAGAGGAACAGGCAGAGCAAGGCTTGCTGAGGCCAGAGCCTTTTGGCTGCTCTGGCTTTTGGCTTGTGTTGGTGTCAGGTGGACTGAGCAGCCAGCCTTTCCCAGTGTCCCCATGCCCCATCATCTGTCTCCATCCTCATTGCAGATGCCAGAGATGAGGGACTCGGTCACCTTGTGCCGTGACGCTGCTGCCTCCCAGCTCTCTTTGGGACATGTTATTGTTCTACCACGGTATGTTTGCAGCTGCAGCACTTGGCTGAGGCAGTGAGCAGCTTCTCAGCTCCTGCTGGGAGGACTGCTTTGCCAGGGGCCGAGAACTGCACTCGTGATGGTATTGAGGACGGAGCGTTTCAGAGCGTTGGCAAGGACTTCCCTGCTTGCTCTTGTTCAGGTTGACTTTGCTTGGAGGAACAGGGGACAGTGACAATACTTTATGCATCTGTCCTACTACGGACCTAGAGAGGCATTTAGGCAATATTTTCCATCAGGTTTCTCCTGCTCTTTTTCCTTCCTGTGCATGAGACTGCCGTCTGCTTGGGGGCAAGGGGTAGAGGGGTGATTTCTGGTCCAAAGAGGAGCTTGCACCTGGTGCAGTTCTGCAGAGCTCTGCCTTGCGGCCACATCACTGGGCAGTGCCATCGACAGCTGAGGGGAAGGAGGTGACTCCTTGCTGCTCATAAAGGCATTAATCTGAGAGGCTCTACAAGCAACTCTGGAGGACAAGATCAGAACTCGGAAGGGTGTTGGATAATCAGAGCACTAGGGATTAGACTCCTCTCCATGTGCCCTCTGCACTGTGAGGAAGAGAGGAATCACTTTCCCCAGAAGCAGCAAGGGGGGTTTGTGGGAGGATGCCTGTTCTCACAGAAAGGATGGAAAACCACTGGCACAGGGAGGCGGGGCCTTGCCTGCCGCTGCGGACACTGCAGTCCCTACTGTGATCCTCTGGGATGGGCTGCCCTGGGCAACAATAGAGCAAGTTTCTTCAGCCTGGTGCCTTCTTCCTTTGTCCAGGTACAAGCTTGAGACCGTGCCTAAAATGCCAAGAGGGAAAGCTGGCCTGAGAGGACATGTGAATGCCACCCCAGAAGGCAGGGGAAAAGGTTACAGTAGTGGAAAAAAAGGTGAGAGACCAGAGGGTTGCTAGCAGGGGGCTGTAGGGTTTCCTTCCTCCACATCTGGAGGAGATTAGAGCTGAGGTAACCCCAGGATGCCTGGAAGAGGGAGAGGCACCTCCTTTGGCTCTCTGCACCCATCGTGGGAAAGCTCCAGTGACACATTGCGCAACAAGGGCTGAAGACAGCCCTGCCCCACGAATAGCCACTGGGGCTGCTGAAGGGCATCTTCCCAGTGGCTTCCACTCCCCAGCCTGTGCTGCAAACAGTGTAAAGTTCTTACCCTGCTTCTTTCCATCGTATTCTCAGATGTTTTGGCAGTAATGCCTTTTGTGTGAACCTGCACCAGCAGCAAACCTGTGTGCATGGGACCAATCCAGAAATCCAAGAGCTGGCAGCTCTTGTGCTAAATGATTCCCCTCTCCAGAATGACTCCTGGAGACCACCAGCATCTCCCAGGGAGACCCCCCACCTCAGCACATGGATGAGAGAAAGCCATCAAAATAGGGTTTCCCCAGGGAATAATGGTGCACTGTAGGCAGGAGGAGCTGGATGGAAAGACAATGTTGGAAGGGGCCTAAGACCTCCTAGGAAACAGGACTTTCATCCAACGGGATGGAAAGGAGCACCTTCATCAGTGTTACCAGGGGCTTGGTAAACCTGCATGTCACCCGTGTTGGAACTGGGACATAACAGGCACGCCGGTCCCAGAACAGCACCAAGAGAACTGTCTCCTTTCCTGTTTTCTAGAGGACCTTGCCGAGAAGCACCTCCTCCATCGAGCAAAGCTTGCTCCAGATCGGTTACCTGCAATAACTGCAAAGCCAGAGCAGGCTCAGAAAGCTGAGGGGAGTGAGCCCCCTGCCAGGTGAGGCACTTGCATCCATGGCTGAGGGGACCCTGTGCTGGGAGTGAGGTGTTTCTCCTGGACACAGAGGTTAAAGAAACTCAAGAGTGGGGTTTATGCCACGTCCCACTAACTAATGCTTTCTTGGTCTATGGCAAGTGCCTTGTAGCTTCTTGGGACACTGCTGGCAACATGATGTCTTTCTTTGCTTCTGCTGTGCAGATGTGCTGAGTAACTGGCTGCAAATGCCCATTCCAGGAGCAGAAGGTCTTTCTGTCTTTCCCTTCAGAGTGGAAGGACCCTGACTTTTCTGTTTCCTGACAACACTGTTCTGTAGTGAGTTACTGCAGAGAATTCCTCTGATTAACCAGAAGCCTGTTCTATGCTAATGCCTGCCTTATGGCTGGCAAAAGAGAAGGTCCAAAGAGAGCTCAATGGCAGGATGGCTTTTCTCATGGGGTCTTGTCCTCTGTCTTTTGAGACTGTGTCTCCAGTGCCCAATCTGCCCCCACAGCCTGTGAGCACTCTGTAGTTCAGAGCACTGAGCAGACTCCAGCGCGCTGACCTGAGGGTATCTCTGGACATAGGACCCTGTTCCTCATTGCTCTGGCATGAAAAGGCCTAGACCTTGGCATCCTGAGATTTAGTGGGGCTGTTGGGCACATTGGAGCCTGAGAGCTTGGGGTCTTCTCTGTCCCTGAGGACTTGATCCCAAGAAGGCAAGTAGAGTGCATTCCGCTGCAGAAGCACAAGATGCCAGAACCAGCTCCTCCTGCACCCCTGCCTGTACACCCTGTTGTATCTTTGCAGGCAGCTGCCGGAAACCCAGGGAACCGTCTTGAAGGAAGAGAAGGAGAAAGTGTTTCCTGAGGGCCCAGTCAGAACAGTGCACTTCATTCCCAGAGCTAGGGAGAAGAGAGAACAGGTACGTGACACGGGCTGCTGCAGTGGCTGTGCTGTACCGGGCTGTAGAGAAGCATCGCTCTGGGCATATCAACTCTCACAAGATGCCTCACAGCGTGTTCTCAACTGACTAGTTGCTTTGAGGCTTGCATGAAGAGAGGCGGGTTACTGTGTCATTTGAGAATATCCTTTTCATTTTTTCACTTCCGTTAGCCTCACGAAGCATCCCAAAGACCTTCCTTGTGGATGTTTCTGTTGGCAGTGTTGCAAGGCTTGGCTGGGATAGCCAGCTGCCAGGTGGTTTCTAGCCTGCTGGTCACTTAGCTCCCTGGTCATTACAGACGGGGTCTTAGGTGGAGCCTGCAGGAACCTGGGAGAAAACCAGTGTGGACAGAAAGACAGAAGAGAAGGGGCAGAGTGGGTAGGAATGAAACCAGCTCAGATCTCTAGAGGGCAGACTAATGCTGCCCGCTGTTGCATTTTGGTCACCCTTCAGGATCAACAGTTAAAGAGGAAGCAGGAGCGTTTAAAACACATCCAGAAATACTTGTCTGAGAAGGAAAAGGGGAAAAAAGAGACGATGGAAGAGACAAACAGGAAATATCTAACCGTGCCAGCAACCGAAGGGAAGCCTGAAGGAGAAAAGGAGACACTGAAAAGCAAGGTACTTTGAATTCCTGCAGAAAAAGAGCATGTTCTCCTTCAGGGAGACTGAGATTGCACTGTACCTCTAGCACCCAAGCCATCACAGTAGCGATGCTGCAGCAGAGCTGAGCAGGTGACTGCTGCCTTTCTTGAGCAAGAGGGGTGACAGTAGTCAGTGAAACCCTGGTGACCTTCAGGCGTCACCCCAAGGGTGTGCTGAGGTTGTTCTCCTGGTGTTTCCTGTCCCACTAGTGACCTGAAGTGATCTGGGGGTCTGCATGATGGGAAGCGATACCCTGGGGCTGTGGGGCTGTTGTATGAGCGTCTTTTCCTGTGCAGGAGTTCAGTACCCCTGAGCAGTACTCAGAGAGAGTACTCCCATCAATCTCTCTGACTGCCTGGGAGATGGCGGAGTCGAGCACCGACTTCAAAGAGAAGATTATGAAGATTTGGGAAGATGCCAGGGAAGAGCCACCCACAGTCCCTGAGGAAGACCCTGTTCCTCCTAAGCGGAAGTGTACCAGGTCCAGCCGAGGCCTGGGGCAGTGGGGTGGTTGTGTGCCATAGGTGGCTGGTCAAGGAAGCCAAGCGCTGGGGCATGGGGCCGCATGGAGGGCCTGGGAATTTCTCCAGCCATGGGAATGAGCTGGGTTAAAGCCTGACGGCAGGGGCCAAAGCAGGTGCCTACGAGTCCTCGTGCCTCAAATGGGACTGTGTATGTGCGGGGCTGGGTGAAGGAAGAGGCAGGAGGCTCAGTGCTGAACGACCAGAGTGACTTTGTCCTTGCTGCTGCAGAAGCCTTTCCCCACGGACACAGCGGGCCCTGCAGGAGGTGGCAACGTGCATTCTGAGGCACGTGGCCCGCAAGCGCAGGGGGCAGAGGGATGAGCAGGCAGATCTGCAGGACAAGCTCAAATGGTAAATCTCTCCAGGCACGGGCAGTGCTTCCTCTCCTGCAGTGCCCGTCCTCCCCGTGCCCGCAGCAGCGGGGGACAGGGCACTGCTCTGGGCCTCTTGGCAGAGCCGCCTTCTGCAGCTGCGGCAGGCGCCAGCCTGGGAGCCCCGGCTGGAGCGCAGCTCCGTGTGATCACACCTCCTCCTGCCCTCCCATCCACAGCGAGCTGGCGGTGCTGCAGTGGGAGCGTTTGGGGAGAGAGGCACACAGCAGCAAACTGGGGGAAGATGGACCCCGACCTGCACCCCCTGCTTGGCCAGGGAAGAGGAGGGCAGGACCGGTACGTGCCATGGGCTTGCGCAGGGACTCTGGCGTATGCATCTCGTGTCTAACAAGGGCACTCACCATATGCTTAGCTGAAAGCTGAAGCAGTCCTCCTCACAAGTTTTCAGGTTGTTCTGCCCGTTCAGAAGACAGCCTTCACTCTTGCCACCTCCAGAAACACCCAAAGACTTGATCTGGAGGTGTCGTAACGGCAGTGGCCCTGCCAGGCTTGGCCAGGATAGCAAGCAGCTACGTTGCTTTCAGCCCCATGGTCACTTGCCTCGGGGATCATTGCAGAAAGGCTGCACTCAGGCCTCTGTGGACTAGACCTATTAGACAGCAGTGCTGCTGCTGAGAGGGACCTGGGAGTATTGGTGGATGACAAGTTGACCGTGAGCCACAGTGTGCCCTTGCAGCCAGAAGGGCCAATAGTATCCTGGGGTCTACTGGGAGCAATGTGGCCAGCAGATCGAGGGAGGAGATTGCGGGAGCTGGGCCTGTTTAGTCTGGGGAAAAGAAGGCTGAGGGTGGATCTCGTTAATTCATATCAATAGCTCAAAGGCGGATGTGCCAAGAGGATGGTGCCAGGCTCTTTTCAGTGGTGCCCAGCAACAGGACAAGGAGTGATGGCCATAAACTAAAACACAACAAGTTTCACCTCAACGCGAGGAAGAACTTCTTTCATTTGAGGGTGGCAGAGCCCTGGAACAGGCTCCCCAGGAGGGGCTGGAGTCTCCCTCTCCCGAGACATTCAAACCCCACCTGGATCTGTTCCTGTGTGACCTGCTCTGGGTGGCCCTGCCCTGGCAGGGGGGTAGGACCGGATGATCTCCAGAGCTCCCTTCCTACTCTGATGATTCTGTGCTTTTGTGACTGCAAGCAAACCAGGGCTGATGGAGAGGCTGGAAAGAAGGGGTGGGAGGGAGGGGGAGAGCTACAGTTGCCCCAGCCCTCTGCAGGGGAGACTGACAGTGCCCACTGCTGCATTACCATGGCCCTGCAGGTGCTGGTCTCCGGGTGTCGGAGACTTTATGTCGCCGCGATGCGGAGGGAACACAGCACAATCAATATGATTGATAAAGTGATCCGTTTATTCATCTGAGGTCCAGGGTATATATAGTGTTAAACTGCTATATACACACATTTGTGGAAGATTAGAAGCGAGCGGGAAAATTCTGCTTTCTGTTCCATTTGCTACTTTTAGCGTGCTTCTTGCAACTTCACTTATCCTGCTCCTACATCCTGCTAACCTTGAGCGACTTACCAAGTCTCTTTGCTTTACAACTTACTAAGACTCTTTGTTCTACTGCACGTAGCTGACCCTTAATAACCTAAGGTTAGGCCTTGCAGCCTGGGTAACTCCCGTACAAGCCTCAGAGTTCGGCTAAGACCAAACAGCTGAGATTGCTTCTTATGTCCATCGTTACAGAACTGGTCCCTTAGTCAAGGGAACATGGCCTTTGCTAACCATGCTTCCGCATCCGGGTGCGTGGAGGAGGAGGAGGAAAAACGCAAGCTCTGGGACTCGCTGCGCAGGAAGTACCGGCAGAAGGCAAGGGCGAAAGTGGCACCCCCGAAGGCTTAGGATGAAAAGCAAGAGCAATGGGAGCTCCAGATACTGCCACAGTGAAAAACAATTAGGAAAAGAGCATTCCTGTGCTCCAGGAAGCCAAGGTGGGAAGGTCCGTTACCAGCAGTGCTTCCATCTGGTCAGTAAAGACCTCTGTGCAAAGCACGGTGTCTGACACTGTGGGTCTTTCCTTGGTGGCTGTGAAATACACACTCAGCAGGGGAAGAGCTTTGGTGGGGCAGGGCAAGAACACTGCAGGACAGAGGAGTTTCGGTCCTACTGAAGGGCAGCCCTCTCCCAGGGCTTTGCTAGAGCAGCTCGGCTGCAGCCCTGCTCTTGGTGGTCCCTGCACCTTCTGGTCTCTAGCAGTGTGCCCTGCCATGGCTGCACAGCTCTGCTGGGGAGGGTGGAGAGGAGAGGATGGAACTGTCTCTGCCTGACTCAAGCCGAGCCTGACCTGCTCTCACACGGGTCCCAGCATATTCCTTTCCAAGTGCAGGTCACTCCTTGACCCTCTGGGGATCCTGCCAGCACTGCAGCTCTGCGCCTCCTTAGCCACCTGTAGGCTCTTTCAGTCCACCAGATCCCAATTCCATAACTGAAAATGTCCAGGGGCTGCTCCCACACGCATGGTGCAGGACAGAAATGGGATGCTGGCTCTCTCCTTCCCTTGGAAGACCTCTCACGGCCCCACTGACACTGGGGACCTGCACTCCCTTTCATGCTTTAAGCCCATGATGTTCTAAGGTATGGGATATCTCTTTGGCTAGTTCAGGTCAGCTGTCCTGGCTATATTCCCTGCCACCTTTTTGTGCACCTCGTTGTTGGAAGGGCTTTGAATCTGCAACGATCTTGATTTACAACAAGCACTCCTTAAACCCAGCTGCAACATGGGTGTGTTTATCAACATCATTCTCATCACAGATCCAGAAAACAGAACTGTACCATTTACTAAGAAGAAAATTAACTCTCTTGAGGCAAAACCCAGGACAGCCCAGCAACAGCTTTCAGTCCTGGCACCTTCTGTGTGGGAGCAGTCACTGGATATCTTGCATATGGGAGCTGGGCTCTGGGAAGAGTGAACAAGCTTAAAGGACCATAAATTAGCTGAGCAAGCACAGATTCCAGTGTTGCTGGGGCTGTTCCAGTGCTTGCCAAGGGAAGGTGAAGTCCAGCAACAGCTTTCTGGCACCTTCTGTGTGGAAGCAGATGGAGCCTCTATTTGGTGTGCTGGCTCCTGCATGCTTGGAGCTAAGCACTGACACTGCTCTGAAAGCCCATGAGGACCTCAGTTGGCTGCTTTGGCCAACCCACCAGTCTTTAGACACGTCCAAGTGTGCACCTGGGAAGCAGAGAAACCATGTTTGACGGCCTTGAGGGCTACTGAAAGGGCTCAGTGCTCTCTGAGTGAAGCTTTCTGTAATCTCCCCTGACAGTGTGGCTTCACATGCTGCACTCTAAACTGAGGAATGCCAACCCAAGCACAGAAAGTCTGCAGTGTGTCACTGCTTGGCAGTGTTCTGGGGGCCCAGCTCAATCATTACCAGTCAGAAAAGAACAGTTTAACATGACTAGGTCTGCTTTTCTTCAGCCTCCACCAATGCCACCACTTTGCCAGTGCTCTTTACCGGAGGGCATTTTGTCTTTGGCCTTCCTTTTCAGGCTGAGATTACCTGGAAAAGCCCATATTAATCTTTACATCCATTGCCAAGTTCAGCTTCACTGTGCCTTGGCCTTCCTATCCTCATTCCCACGCAACCAGAATGTGTTTCTGTACTCTTCCAGGATACCTGTCCCTGCTTCCACTGCCAGTACCTTTCCTTCTTGCCCTTTAGTTTGACCTGACAGGGGAACACCAAGTAATGAGGATTTGGGGGAACCAAATTCAAGGACTGGAGCTCCTTCTCCAGCCCATGCACTCAAGCGAACCCCTGTATCCCCACTACTCTCAAAAGGGCACCGAGGTGTCTGGACCTGCCTAGCAACCCTGCTGTTCCGTGGGGACCTAGGCACCCAGGTTCCGCCTTGGAACCCTGCTGTTCCCTGGGGACCCAGGCATCTGGGTGCTATGCTCTGGAGCCATGGGGTGGTGGCAGCTGCCCCTGATGCTGGTGATGGCCCCCTGGCTCCCTGGAAGCCCAGGCACGCAGGCAAGGGGACCTGGCTTGTGGCAGTGGGTGGCCCTGGTGTTCTGGCTCCCCGGGGTGCACCCCTGTCTGCTCTGCTTCTGGCCCAACGTTCGGCAGGTACGCCTCTGCCAGGACATTACTGGGGCCCCTGTGAGGGATCCCCGGCACCGCCACTGCCTTGAGGATATTGACCAGGCTGCTGCGTCGCTCGCCTCCGTCACTGTGGGTGCGTGACAAGACCCCAAGGACACCCCCCCCTCCTGACTGCCACCTCCGTCCTGCCAGGGACCCCCACCCTGGCCAGGAGCCCAGAGCCCTCTGGCTTTCCCTGCCTCAGCCAAGGCATTCCCACTGACACCGCCAGGACCCAGGGCACCTGGGGACCTCTTTCCTAAACAGGACCCCGAGGGACCCTCCCCAGACGAGCACCCTCGGAACTCCCAGCCATGCCAATGTCTCCCCAGTCCTGATCTGGACCCCAGGGACCCCTGGGAACCCCAACCCTGCCTGAGACCCTGAGAATCGGGAACACAGTGGGGACTCCTGGCCCTACCCTGAGGGTATCTGACCCTCGCCACTATCCCTAAACCCTGATCAGGACTCCAGAAGGCCCAGGAACCCCCAGCCCTTACTGGACCCTGCCATCCCTGAACTTGCAACCCCAATCATGTGCTGGTGCCAGTGTCCCTCTACTGGTCCCAACACCCCTGTACTGGTCCCAGGGTCGGGGCAGCGCAAGGCACTTCAGGAGATCGTAATGGATGCCCTGCATTTTCTGGAGAAGGAGAAGGGCAAGAGTGAGCTTGGGGCATGGGATGGGTGAGGGGTTAGGGCTGGGGCATGGGGGATGGAACATGGAGGCCTTGAAGGGGGGCTGTGGTGAAATCCAGTGTACATGGAGGTCTGTGGGCTGTAAGGGGATATTCAGGGAACCCTGAGAGTGTACGGGCTTCCAGGTATACAGCTTCTGTGGGTTTCTGAGAGGAGTACCTGGGGATATATGGGTCTCTGGGATGGATGTACAGACTTGACTTGAGCTGTACAGGGGATGTGCTGAGGGCTGGAGAAGGTTTGTGGGCATCAAAAGTGGTGGCGGGCAAGTGTCTGACCTGGTTATCTGGGACATATCCCAGAGTCTTTTGAGGTGTCTCTGCAGGAAGCCGTCAACACAATCTGGGTGAAGCTGAGCCAGCTGGAGGAAGGTATGGGGCCAGTGGGGACACCCCCCTGAGAACTGCACCGGGGGAGCCCTCGGGACCCCAGGAAAGGGACTGTCCTGGACCCACGCTGGTGGAGAAACCCCCAGGGATCCCATCAGGGCTGGACAAGGGCTGAGCCCTGACAGCTCATCACAGGGATGTGGATCCCCAGTGAGCCCCAGTCTAATGCTGCTTCCTCCCCACCAGCTCCAGCCTGCATCCCCCCCTGTGGTGAGTGTGCGTCCCTCTGTCTTGCCACCCCCTCTTCCAAGTACATCTCCCTTCCCTCCGCGACCACCAAGTCTCTGTCCCAGGATATCAGCCTGATGCCCACGTCTTCCAGTGTGCTACCTGCCGCCTCAAGGAGTGCCAGCTCCCCCTGGACTGCCCAGGTATGGGGCAGAGGACCCAGGCACCCAGGCAGAGCCCCCCGCACACATCTGGGTGCCTCCTTTCTGACATGTGGCCGTGCCTGCTTGGGCCCATGACTGCACAGGAGCGTGCCAAGCTGCTTGCCTGCCTAGCCCTGCTGCAAGCACTCAAGCATGTGCAGCTGCAGAGCAGCACCTTCTGTATGTGCATGAGCAGATGTGCCTCACGTGCCTGTCAATGCTTCCTTCCAGTGCAGGACGTGCAGGTGCACACAGATGAAGCCATCACGCTGCTCTGCGATGTACCCTTTGCCACCCCCCCCAACCTGTCCGTTACCTGGATGTTTGCCAAGGATGTGAGTTGCCCGTGCACGTACACAGACATTCATGAGGGGACTGGGCATGCACACCCTTGTTCTCTTTGGTGTGAGGAGTAGCAATAGCTACAGGTATTGCTAAACAGGAGATAGGTGGGTTCTGGGCTCAAGTGCGCGTGGCAAGGACATGGGGGGCTTCTCAGCAATGTGACCACTGGCTTCCATGTGCTGACGTGCTCTGCCTGTGCATCCGTGTGTGAAGACACACAGGGCACGGCAGGCACATGCAGAACAGGAGTTGCATGCACACTCACAAGCCAAGAGTACCGCAAGTGCGAAGGGGACATGACAAGCGGGACATGAGTGCCTTTGCATGCACGTTTCTGCCGTTTCATGTACCTGCTGGAGCAGGCTGTGCTGACGTGTTCCCCCATGCCTCAGGCGCACACACAGGAGCTGGCACTGTTTGAGGAGCTGCAGGTGGCTGTGGAGGGACTTTTCAACCTGACCGTGCAGGACCCCACTCCAGGAACCGTCGCCTGTCACCTGGGAGTCCCTTCTGAGCCCTTGGCCCGCAAGTACTTCTACCTCAACGGTGCGCCCAGACACCTGAGTGCCCTGGGCACAGGGAGCGGTGTGGGGTGGAGTGGGGCCCTGCAGAGCCGGATCCCATGGGGGGGAGTGCGTGGGGAGCATGAGCAGGGTGGATCCACGGTGGAGTGGGTGTTACCTGATGCCCGGCTGCTCTGGGGCAGTGGGACACGTGGGCTGGAGCGGACACCCCTGATGCCTGGGTCTGTGGGGCACTGAGGTCTGTGGCTGTGGGGACACGTGGGCCCTGGGGGGCAGTGCCCCATGACCCAAGGTACGTGGTCCCTGCAGTATCAGAGGGAAGCGTGGAGGCAGAGCAAGGACTCCAGGCTCAGTTCAGGGCTGTGCTGCACTGGCCCCATGGCAGGACCTCTGGGATCCACATGGTATTCCTGACACTGGGGCTGGCGCTTGGTTCCATGGTGCTTGTGCTGCTGCTGCTGCAAGTCCTGACCTGGTAAACCTCACTCTGCAAATACCCCTGCTTTTGAGTCTGTCCACAGACCACCATGGGACTGCCAAACCCTGTTGGACCCTCGGTCCCTTGCAATTCCCTACAAATTGATACTGGGGGGGGGGAAGACACGGGATGGGACACGACACACAGGGGGACCATAGCCTGCCAGGACTCCTAAACTCACAGGGCCCCGTTTCCCCCAGGACTCCCATTGTCTTCTGGCCCATTCCAGGACCGCTCCTTTGCACTCAGCACCGGGCTGCCTTGTTTCCCCCTGATTCCCCGCTTGCCCTTCAGACCCTGCCACTTTCCCCCATTTTCCCTATAACCTCCAATGTCCCTTTGGGGGCCCCAGTTACAGTCAGTTGACCCAGTTGCCTGACCCCATACCATCACCCTTCACTCCCAGGACCCCCCATTTCCCCTTGGGCCCCCCCCAGATGCTCCCTGATACTAACCCCCCCCCCCCCCGATGGGAATATTCTCCCCCCTCCTTTCTCCATTCTTCCTTCTGCTTTCCAGGTGTGCCCATCGATGCTGGAGCCCCCCCAAAGCCAGTGACCACCGGGCATCCCACAGACCTGGACAACAGGGTCCCCCAGGGGCTTCTGTATATCTGGAGTCACCCTAGGGGAGCTTGGCACACGGATACCCCCCTGAGGACCAAAGTCTGCACTTGCTCTCCTTGCACTGGGCTGGCGTGTGCAAACTGGAACAGTCTAAACCCAGAAACACAGAGGCCTAAAAATCTGGATTATCTTGGATGTGGAGCAATGGTTATTCTCAGGAGGGCCTGCACAACCCAGGGTTAGAGCCGAGTGAGACAGCCTTGAACTCTCTCTGACTCAGCTGAGCCGGGGAGGCCTGGAGTCGAAGAAATGTAAGCAGAACGCTGCAACAGGAGCTTGCTGGCCACAAGGAATGCACCGCTTATCGCAAGGCACGCACCCTGCTGCTGCAGAGATATGTGTGTAAGACTTAGCTTAGCCAATAGCAGTGTACAGACAGGCGTGTGGACAGGTTTATGTAGCCAATGAAAGATGCACAGCTGTCACGTGAACTATCACCAATGGTATAAATTAGGTGAGCCTGTGCAATAAATGGAACAAGAAGCGTAACTCACATTGGGATTCTCTTCTTGATTCGGGTCGCTCCTCCGACATTTGGAGATAAGGATCTGGGCTTCCTGGCCTTGCAAACAGGTGTCTGTGGGCTTGCAGACAGAAAACTGGGTGCTAATTATACTAATGTATAATATGTACTAATGTTCTAATTATACTGATATATAATATACTTTAATATGTCATGAGCACTACAAATGTCAAGCTACTTTCTTCTCTGATTCTTTGCCTAAAAGCATTTTATCACACATTTCTATGGATGTTTTTGCCATTATGTCTGTAATGAAATGGCTGGGCAGCAGAGAAAGAATTCTGTACTGCTCCTTGAAGAACAGATTTAAAAGAAACCCTAAACACACAAACCCATCTTGACTATGACCACTGTATCATCTCCAGTGCTCTCTGTTGCCTTTAAATGTACCTAGATTTAACTAGAATCATTCACAGAATAGTTAGGGTTGAAAAAACCAACTATATGTATGAAAAACCAGGCTGCAAACGCACAGGACACACACATCAGTGCAGCCAGTCCCAAGCAATTGGTCCACTTCTGTCCCCTGGGTTGACATTCCAGCTGTGTTTAAATCTGCAGTGCTGCCAGTGCTGGTTAGGGCTGAGGAACCTGAGCTGCAGCCTCTGGGCTGAAGCCCCAGCCTGTCCCCCCCTATCCCACAAAGCCCAGGCCTGACCGGACCTGCAGTCACCTTAGCACAGCAGAGCCACCGCGGGCTCCTGCTGGAGACAACAGCTCCCGTTTCTCATCCCAGTACTAAGAACATTTCCCATTAGGAACACACTGTGGGTTTGGGAGCTCTGCCTGCTTCTTCTGCTGCGAACGGGTGCACTGGTGGGTGCTAGGGTGGGAATCCCAGTCCTAGCAGCACAGGCTCGGCAGACGTCTATGTGAAATGAAGAGTGCCCGGGAAGGCAGTGGGGGGCTTGGGGAACACATGAGGGCTCTTGGGGGGCTCTGGCGTGAAAATGAAAGCAAATGTAAGACACTGGGATCAACTGCAAACAAAAAGGGGGGCTCTGGTTGGCACAGAGACTGTCCTCTGACCCTTCCGTTCCCCTCCATGTACTCTCTGTTCCCCCACATGCCACTGCGGTCCCTTCCATTCTTCTCTAGGCATGCTCAGGATCCCTCTGTTCCTTTCTGTGGTCTCTCAGTTACTCTCTGTTCCCTTGTGAGTGCTCTTTACCGGAGGGCATTTTGTCTTTGGCCTTCCTTTTCTGGCTGACATTACCTGTGAAAAGCCCTTATTACTCTTCACACCTTCCAAGGGAAGGCCCTGTGTTGAAGCAGCCTCAGGAAGGATGAAGTGTGTGTGAAGGGGGGGCTGTAGGGTAGGATGTTTACATCCCACCTTCTCAAACCTATTTCTCCTCCTATTTCTGCTGACCAGAGCGCTTCCCTCTTCCCAACCAGGTGCTCTCGGTAATAGCAGAGCCTTTGCCATGCTCTGCCCCCAGTTTGGCACAGGGCTAGCCCACAGGACACACGCACCCCCTCTTTGGTGTAAACAGCAGCTGCCCCAGGCTCAGTGCTCACAAGAAGGTGAAGGTGGTAGAAGGCTCTCACGGGCCTGGAGATGTCTTTTTTTCCCCAGGACTTAGTGCCTGGGCTCTCCTTCAGAGATGGGTCATGTTAGCACCGAGCTGAGCACACAGGAGAGGCTGGGAGTGCAGCAGTTAGCACAAACCTGGCCCTTGCTGTTCACTGTCTCTGATCTCAGAGGTGCCCCCAGAGCACCCCCAGGGGCTCCCTGCTGCCTGGCCCTGGGCTGGGCTGGGCTGGAGACTCCCCACGGCAAACAGTGACTCAATACAAACCCCAGTGTGCCCAAGTGACAGCCACCGGAAGGGCTCCGGCTCTCAAACTCAGGTCCTGCACTTGGAAGCCAAACTATGAATCAGGTCTCCAACTCCATCAGCTCAGCTTGGTTATCAGATGGGTCATTGCTCCTCCTTGAGCTTTGGCTCTGAAAGGAAGCTTCCTGACACCTAGGAAGCATGGTACAGCTGGTGGAAACACCAAGCAGTGCAGCACACCCACTCACGGCTTGGTCTCATTGAAGTAACCCAGCCCTGGCAGTGGGATCTAAGAGTAAAATGATAGTGAAATTACGGTTACGGTAAAAACTTTAGTTTAATTGTTACAACAACAGCGGCAGAACAAAGGTATAACAAAACCCAATAAATATAAATAACAATAAAACAACAAAACAAGTGCAGTTTAACAACAGTAGAACAAGAATATTAGAACACGCGAAGAACAAACATAGAACAATAAAATCTTCAAGGGATCTTCACAGCCGCTGACGTTTTGCTGCTGATGGCCCAAAAGGCCACTTGGCCTCGGAGCCGTCCTCCTCCTTGGGGAAGAACAAAACCCAAACAGGACAGGGTTAGTCACATCCACGTGCATCACCATTTAGAAGCAAGGAGCTGCGGTAACAGCGCAGCTATAAAACCAAAGTGTTCTTCCATTGAAGAACATTGAAATGTTTGTGGGGTTTCTGTAATTTAGACTCCCCAACACACACACTCCCACGGCTCAGAGAGTAAAGGAGCCGGCAGCAAAGCCCTCCTGAGGGTGGTGGGGACCCTGCGAGCAGGGGGGGCAGCTGCTGGGTGAGCCCTGGCTCTGGCAGCCTCTGCCCCTCTCCCACTGAACGGCCCCAGGGGAAACAGCACCGCAGCTCCTGGGAGCTGGTAAACCCCAAACAGGTGGGGATGGGCCACAGATGGAAAACAATTGGGATCTGGGGAGGATCCCCATCCTCTCTGGACTCCCCAGCTGGCTCCAGAGCACCCAAACATGGGGAGGGGCACCAGCAGAGAGGGGAAGAGAAGGGAGCAGAGGGACTGCCAGGGCTGGAGCAAAGGTTTGCACCTTAGGAAACACGGCAAAATAAAGCCAGGGAGGAAAGGCTGCAGAGCTGCAGAGACGTTCATCCAGCCTTGGTGGGGAAATCTTCCAGTAGGAAGAGCTTGGTTCACCCCACGCCACCCTGGGAGCTGCCACCCAGCACGGTTTCTTGCTGGCAGTAGAGAATGGGCCTGGCCCCATCTCTCCTGTCCCATCTCAGGGCTGCTCTGGACCAGAGCCCCACAGGTGGGGGGCCAGCAGCACTGGCCATTACTTATTATGGGAATGATGGATCCGTGCCTTTAGCCGCTTGTGAGTTCCCTGGCTCCTGGATCTTGTCTGCGTTGAAGAGGCAGGGGTGGATGAACCTGGAAGCACAAAGTTTAGCTCAGGTCTCTGCAGCCGCACTCCGAGCTGGCACCGGGGCTACCACAATCCCTATCCCCGGGGGAATGGAAGGTTTTACATCCCCAGAGCCCAGCAGCCACCACCCGAGCCGGCTCCTACAGCACAGCCTGGCCCTTCCGCCATCCCCCAGCCCAAGGGGACAACACTTGTCCAAGGGGACATCAGCTCCTCGAGGCTGAAGCACCAACTCCCTCACTACCAGGGGAAGCGATGCCTTCTCCAAGCTACAGGAGGAGACAAGTCAGGAGCAGCTCCCAGCAGGGGCGCTTGGCCTCTACCGAGGGGGTTGTCCCTTCTCACTCCTCTCTGGATGCCCGTCTTGGAGGGCAGAGCCAGGGGCACGGCCTTAAGCCGCGGACAAGGCTGCGATGCCCTGGGGCAGCAGCTGGCCACAAGAGATCCAGGGGGAAGCTCTCACAAGAGCCCGCTGGGGCTCCATGGGCCAGCGGCCCCTTCCCACCTCCACAGACGCTCCTTGCACGCTGCCCACCCAAACCACAAAGCACAATTACTCTCCGTTCCCTTGTGAGTGCTTGTAGATCCACTCTGCTCCCCTACCTGTGCCTTGGAACCCCACAGTTCCCATGTATGCATGCTCATATCTCTTCCACCCCCTTTGTGCACCCCCCAGTCCCTGCCATCCTTTCCGAGTGCCTTACATCCAAACTATGTCCCTGCTACATCTTTCAAATTCCCTTCTGGGTGCTTCTAGATGAAGTTGAACTCATTCTGTTCACTTCAACGCACTCTCAGATGCTCTCCAGTCCTATCCAGCTGCTTTCATATCCTCTCTGTTCCCCTTGTTGTTCTCTCTTGGAACTCCTCTGTTGTGCTCCCTGCACAGATAGATCCCCTCAGTTCCCGCTTACATGTTCAAGTGTCCTCTGTTTCCCTCCGTATGCACCCAGACCTCTGTTCCCTCCTCAAATACTCAGATGCCCTCTGTTCCCTTCAGTGTCTACATAGGGATGTCTTCTCCCCTATGTGCGTACTTACGTCACTCTTTTCCATTACAAGCACCACTCAGCTCCCCACCAATACCCAGATCCCTCCCATCCCTTCTGTGGGTGCTCAGTTCCTATGGGCTCCACTGTCAGATCCCTTCTGCTCCCTCTGTGCACCCTCAGTTCCCCTCCACCAGCTGCTCCAAACACAACAGTCAGTCCCTCTGGGAGCCTCGGGGCTGCTCTGACTTACCCACCAGGAGCTAGGCTGAGATTGTCAAGCACATTAAACAAGAACCAATTGACCTGGCAGCACCCATTTGTTCTCCACGCTGGTTGGTAACTGGCACTCGAGTGTTTATTGACTAAGCTGCGCTCTTCAAAGCTCCCAGATACGCTGTTCCCAGGGGAAATTCCATTCAAGGAGCTAAGCACTCACAGGAGAGACCATTCCAAGGACTCTTGCTGGCAAGGGGCTTATTTTCTTCACAGCTCAGGAAGCTGTGCACCTAGAACCACAGGTACCTTCGACTGTGCTCGTGTTTTATAAGGGCACAAAGGAAACCCAGCCTGATTTCCTCCTTCAGGACAAAGGAAGCCAGGAGTGGCCTTAGGACCCATTCACCCCACCCACCGCAGAGAGCACTACAAATGCCTCTGTGAGCCCTGCCATTCCACAGCTCTGTGCTCCAGACGGCATTCCCGCGTGGACACCATGGGTGAGTACAGGGCTGGGAAGTGGGGTGCTCCCTGCTAGCAACGGGAGGGGCACAGTTTGGGCAGCTCAGCAAGAGGGACTCCCACACGGATGGGGAGCAATGGCATTGGTGCCCTCTGAGGGCATCCTGACCTGCCACCCCTTCAAACACTAGCAGCTTGTGCCCTGCCTTCTAGCACACCCCAGGCAGTCCCATGCCTTAGGGGTCAGGAATGAAACCCGGCTCTGCCAGTTGTTGGGTTCCTTGCTCCACCCCAAACTATCTCACACTGGACCTTCTGGAAGCTGGTCAAGGGGAAGAGGCAAGGTTGTCTACTCTTTGAGCTAAAGAGTAGAGGCCTTTAAGCAAGCTTTCCAGCTTGCACAGACCAGGCCGATGCTGCCTGCCGTGCTTGGTACACTTGGTCCTGTTACATGGTGTGGTGCTGAACCATGGGATTTCCTGCCTCTCTAGAGGGAGGGTCACATCTCATCTTGTCTCTATCTTTTCCCTTTCTAGCAGTCCCGTGCCTTCTACTCCTTGCTGGCGTGCTGGTCTTGGCTGCCCCAGCCCACTCCATGCTTGCACAAACCCTGAACGTCTTCAAGAAGTCTCCCTCCAACACTTCAGCCAGTGCTCTGAAGAAAACCAGTATGTAGCGTTCTGTAGGCATAGCGATGCTCTCACCAGCCCCTTTCAGTGCCTTGGTCTGAGTCAGCCCTGGCTGGTGAAAAGCCCCAGTGCATGCTTCGGGCCAGTGGAGGCTTGATAAAGTGGAACTCCTATCTGGGAAAGGGTGTGCTATGATGCCTCAGATCCAAAAATCACCTCCATAATGTATACAAGCAGGAAGGCTGGAGAGATGTGGCATCAACCCCAGGCTTTGCTCAGCTGGAAAGAGGAGCTCTGCCTATCTGGCAGGATGATCTTAACTGCAGGGGGAGGTCCTGCAGTCAGCGAGCTGAAGGCATGGGGACACCACACCTGCAAGTACATGGGGGAACCCAGTGTTGTGTGCTCATATACAGCCAGGTCCAGGTGGGGAAGGGGCATACATCATCCCCAGCCCTGGCCCTGCTCTGGGATGGTGGATATGAGGAGGTGTACCCAATGCAGGCTGCACTGCTGTGTATGTGTGTGTGTGCACTTTGCAGACTGGTTAAGGGTGTCTGTGCTTGAGGGATGTCTCCTGTTCCCTTGATCACAGGCAGGGGCAAGGTCCTCTTCACCTTCCCCACAACATGACCCTGTTTTAGTGGCACAACCCCATTTTCAGGGGACCCAAAGCAGCCCACTAGTGTCCTGGCCTGACAGCAGCATAGCCCTGTGCATCTGGGGTCTTTCACTGGGGCTGCCTCCTGTTAGGTGTCCCAGATGGAAGAGGAACAGAGCTTAACCTCCAGTTAAGCACATTGACCTCTCTAGGCTGGGACAGCTGATTATCCGTCAGGTACACTGGCCAGATGCCCCCACATCCTGCCAGAGGGTGAAACATGGTCTTGTTTTGTTGCACAGGGTCTTCTTGTTAAATCACCCTCTCTCCTGCCCCAGGTTGGCCCAAAGACTGCAGTGAGATTCCCGCTGGGAGCCCCAGTAGTGTCTACATCATCCAGCCCACAGGACTGGACCCCATGGTAGTGTACTGTGAAATGAATGTGACACATGGGGGCTGGACGGTCATCCAGAGGAACCGGCAGAGCACGGAGATCACCTGGGCCGAGTCCTGGAGCACCTACAAGTATGGCTTTGGGGATGTGCACACCGAGTACTGGCTGGGCACTGAGTACATCCATCAGATCGCCAAGCAGAAGGTCTACCAGGTCAGGTTTGTCATCTGGGATGCCACAGACAACATCCATTTCGCAGACTACAACCTCTTCAGTGTAGAAGATGAGTCCCACGGCTACCGGCTGAGGCTGGGCTCCTATGCAGGGACAGCAGGGGATGCCATGGACTCAGATAATCCCAGAAAGGTGCACAACAACATGAAGTTCTCTACTAAAGATCGGGATCAGGACACTTACAGAGGGAACTGTGCCTCCCGCTATGGGGGTGGGTGGTGGTATTCAGCCTGTTATTCTGTACAGCTGAATGTCAAGGGGGGCATAACGTGGGGCAGCCTGTGCAAAGGGAACTGCAAAGCTTCTGCCATCCTCATCAAACCAGCTCTCTACTATTAGTACCCTTTCCCCCTCCTCTCTGCACTGGGCAGGCATGGGGGGCCATTTTGCTGGCTTGGGGTGAAAAGGCTTTTTCCTGTATATAAAAAGCTGTTTTCTTTTCCCCTTCTGTTGGAAAGTACCAAAGTTCCATGTTTTGTCTCTGGCCTGTGGTGGGTTTGTAGGGATCACTGTTAGGACAACTCTTTATAAATGCTGTGGTTTCCAAGCATGTTCCTTCTGGGGAGAAAGCTGTGCTCTGAAACCTAAAACCCTCCTGATCCAGCCAGGTTTTATCCTCTTTTTGCTTTGTGGGTACAGATAACTTCAGCAGAAAACTGTCAGTCATCACTAGCTAACCTGCTGTAGGTTGCTGTGAGCCCACGCAGGCCATGTACACACCATACCCCTGCCGTAGTCTCTGTTCATCCTGCAGAATAAAACCGCTTTCAGACCCGCACAGACGTAACAAGTGTCCTCCTCTGTTTGGCAGCTTCTCACAGGTGCTGCCAGTTCCGTGCCAGGAGCAGACCTGAGGCTCCTGCTACAATAAGACTTCCAAAGGGATATTTTTCCTGAGGCTCATGCCGCTCCCACGTGCCCTTCCCAGCACAGTCCCACCTCAGCAGGCTTGCACCATGGCCACGGTCGTGCGAACGTGGGTCCAGCTAACGGGGAAAGAGGGGCCATCCCCAAGCCCACGTGCTCCCTGGCCTCTGGCCAAAACACAGGCATGGATCACCCATGGCCAGCCAGGCCTTGGTGGGTCCTGGCTGCCCAACATCACCAGCTCCAGGGTGGGAAAGCTCTGGCCATGCAGCAATCAATGTGCGGCTGCCCCCAGGAGCCCCACAGCCCCTTGCCCCCCACTGCAGGAAGCCCAGACTGAGCTCCATCGGGCTGCCCCGAGACCCTCTCTCCCCACCCTGTGGGGTCTCAAAGCATCACATCCACCCCATGGCAGGAACCCCCCTCCTGGTGACTTGAAACCCCTCAGGGGCATCCCTGACCCCCCCACCCCCTTGCTCCAGGATGGAGCTGGGACTCCAGCTCCCCCAGCCACGGCACAGAGCAGTGCAAGGAGACAGTGAGTCTCAGAGAGGGGATGCAGCAAATAGCGTCCCCCTACCATGAACACGATGCCCCCTCAGCATCCTCCATTGCCCCAGGACCTTGACTGCTCCTGTGTGTGTGCAGTGACACTGTGGCAGGTAGGCACAAGGCAGCCAAGTCTGGCTCCAGGGTTTATTGCAGCTGACTTCTCCCATTATGGGTAGCAGAGCTGTGGGGTGTAGGAGGCCCAGGGAGGGAGCAGGGCCTGAGCAAAGCAGGGATACACTGATTGCATAGGGGAGGGAACTTGCACTGTTTCCCTCTGCCCAGGATAGGAGCGGGTGCACCCACCCCAAACCAATGCCTGCACCCCAGCACAGGCCAACACCACAGCACTGAGCGAAGCTGCTCCAGGTAATTGCTCTTGAGCCCCAGAGCCGCTTTGTTTCATCCAGTGCTGGTGCAGAGGCTATGGGAAGAGCAGGACACACACCGGGGCTGGCACAGAGCTGCTGGCAGGCACAGGAAGGGGGTGCTGAGCTGGGGACGGTGGCACTCTCCCAGACTCCCGGGAGGCTGGGCACTGCGGCACGGTCAGCACACATCTGTGGGTTTGACCAGGATGAGGGAGGATGCGCAGTCGCCTTTATCGCAGAATCCTGGCCAAAGGATGCGGTTTTTGGCATTGAGCAGGACATTCTGGCATCTGTCGTACCACCAGCCCCCATAGCTGCTGGCGCAGTTCCCACTGTACTGGTCCTGGTCCTTGTCAGTCGTGCTGAACTTCATGTTGTCATGGATGCCCCCCTTCTTGGGGTGGTAGAGGGTCAGATAGTCATCCCCTTCACCAGAATGCCGGCCCAGCCTCAGTGGGTACCCACTGGCCTCACTTTCCACCCTGAAGATGTCGTACTCAGCAAAGTGGGTGACGTTGGCTTTATTCCGCACGATGAAGCGGACCTTGTAGGTGCCCTGCTGTGTCAGCAGGTGCAGGTACTCGGTGCCCATCCAGTGATCACCCTGTACATTCCCGAAGCCGTACTTGTAGGTAGTCCAGGATTGCTTCCATGTGAGCTCAGTGTCGTGAGAGTTTCTCTGGACAACAGTCCAGCCCTTGCCTTCTGTGTCCATGTCACACCACACCACGCGTGGTGGGGACCGTGCTGGCTGGATGACGTACACCCCACTGGGGCTGCTCTTGCGGAGATGGCTGCAGTCTGCGGGGAACCCTGCGGTGGCAGCAGTAGCAAACACAGGTTGGGGTGGGAGAGAGAAGGGGCATATGAGTCTTTCAGTGTAACAAGAAGCTCCTGCAGTGAATGGGGACTCAGGACAAAAAGGGCTGGTTTATCTGTGGTCTGTTCCACAGCATAGAGTGGGCGTTGCCACTGGGCAACCAGTGGCGTTTCCATAGGGCAACCAAAGGTCTCTAAGACAACAGCCCTGGTAAGAGACCTAGGATCTATTTATCATGACTTTCTATTTCATTTGGAGCCTTCTGATGCATCTGGCCAAGAAAAAGGGAAAAACATCTTCCTGATGCCAGTGGTGTCCTCCAAGTATACCTAGCCCTCACACAAGGCCCTTGATATATTGAGCTGCAGTTCTTGCAAGGTACCATAAGTGCCCCAAAATGCTCCACTGGATGAGGATATGTAATTAAAATTGATGTTTTCTCTAGAATCATGGCATTGCAAAAGAAGGACAAGCTTCTCCTTCATAGGGACCTCTTCCATCACCTTGTTGCAGTTTATCTGCTGGCAGGGCTGATCTGGCATGACTTACTTGCCAAACTAATTTGCTGTCTAATTTGATTTTCTTTGTATCTGATGAGGGACAATTTGCTGTGGGCAGTTGCAATTCAGCCCAAGGAATCTCTGTTTCCCTTGGGCACACGGGTCTTGCAGGGAGTGTCACCCCCCCTTGCGGGGAGGAAGGGAATACTCCTAATCCCACTAAAATAAAAGATGCTGGGAGGATCTCTCCTAGAGCTGAAGTATAAAATGACACAACCATCACAGAGCAATCCTGCCAAGTTATGGTGTTTGAACGAAACCCCTTGGTTTCAGCATGAAGCCACCAAGGAGGTGAGGATGGTGTCACACTGCTTACCTTACAAACCATGGCCCAGGTGTGCATCAGCCTGGGTGCATGATGGCCTTCCTAGCACTTAGCAGACCTGAGAGTCAGTGCTGAGCTGAGGAGACACTGTCCTGCTCTACACTTTGGTGCCCAGCCAGTGTTCCCCACACACGCTCCATACTCACCACTCCGGGAGCTGGCAGTGGGTGTTGCTGGGCCACCACTTGCACCAAGGAGAAGCATCGCCACCACTGTGGGTAGGAGGAAAAGGCCCCCATGGAGCACACTTGTTCTAGCCTGGAGCCCTGGGGAGGGAAGGAAAGGGCCCAGCACCGTTAGGATCCCTGAGCAGTCCCCTCCGCCCCTGCCAACAGCCCCTGCGGAGCTGGGATGAGGGAAGGCAGAGGCATGGGGCACAGGCAGGAGCAGGGAGCTCCCAAGGGTGATGGGAGCTGCAGCTTCAGTGCAGGCTCTGCCCCTGCAGGGCTGAAGCAAGGTGAGAAATGGCTTTGTCACTTTTCCAGTCAATCCCTTCCCTGCACCATACAGTAACCTGCAGATCTGTTCTTGAAACCTACAGCCCAAGAGTACCTAAGAGGACAGTGACACAGCTGGATCTGGGGACAGTAGTTTGCTGGGAAGTAGGATTGCAAGGAAAAGTTCTGTCTGGAGTAATCATGCTTAAGCCTGTTATACAAACCACTCCAGCCCCATGACAGCCAACAGACGGGTCCTGTTGCACAGATACCAGCTCCCAAGCAGACAGGAGGAAGTCTTACAGTGACACAAGCCCAAACCCTCTGCGCTGGCCACCAGCACACTGCTACAGCTTGCACTAGCTCAGTTACTGGGGCAGATGCCATCACACCTGGGGAAGGAGCCCTGTGCAACCGCAGGTGCCACATGCATTGGTCAGAAAGGAAAAGGACCATGTGGAAATCTAGATCTCCACATTAAGCTCCCTTGACAGGGCATGAGAATACAGGGCATAGGTAGCATGGGGAAAGCATAGGCTAGCACCAAGCGTGTGTGTCATTTGGTGCTTTCGCCTTGTGTCCCTTCTGCTACCGTGGTGCCTCACAGCATGCATCACCCAGGCAAGATCATGGCTGCTGTCCTGCTTGCCACCTTGTGCCTCTGTATACTCACCCCAGTCATGCCTTGTTTGAGCCCAGCACCACACATGAATTAAGTGTGCTGTTGGGAAGATAACTCACCCATCACAACAGCCCAGCTGAGCGGAGAGCAGGAACCCAGTGGTGCACCCTCCCATGCTGAGCTATCCACAGTGGCTTTATAGGCACTGCACACACCCACTTGTGTTCACACTTGTTATTCGTAAGGGCACAAGGAGGCACTTGCAGGCTGTGCCTGGACCAGTTTGCAGATCTCATGACAGCAGCACAGCTAAACCCCTTGAGTACAGAAAGGCATGCCCTTCCAGCCGGAGTACAAAGTAATACCCTCCCTGATGAGGGGTTTCAATTATTGACTGTCCCAGTTACACAAACACTACATGTGAATTGCTCACTTGGAGCAAATTTTGGAGAGCCATGGCCACACTGAAGTGGTGAGACCCAGCTTTTTTAAGGACATACACACAGGAATTAGCAAAGAAGGAAAGACTGGGTTTCCTATGTGCTCAGTCCCAAAGGTGACCTTGGAAAGATGAGGACAGCTCCTCAAGAGACATGCCTGCTCGCTAACTGGTGCCAACTAACCACTGGCAGGTTTCAGTATCAGTAAGTTAAGTCATTGGGTTGGAACCAGGGTGCAGCAGCCAGAAGTCAGTGTCCCCTGGTACCCCAATCTGCATGCTTTGAGTAGAGGGCAAAGGCTCCAGGTAACAAGCAGGTGACTGTAGGTCCCTTCACCACTCTCCTTTCCAATCTCTGCCTTTGGCCTGGTGAGACCCTGCAGATCCCCAGACATGTTGACCAGGGGTTGCTCCCTTTGCAGGAACAAAATGCTCTCAGGATTGATTGGCTGGGAGGATTGTACAGACAGCTCCAGCACTTTGTCAAACCAGTGTCAAGAGGATAAAGATGTTTGGATAAAGATGTTTGTTCAAGAGGACAAAGATGTACTTTCTTCTCAAGTTTGGTTTCAGTAGCTTGCTGATCGGATGTCTTCTTTACGGCAAGCCAGTCTCCAGATGAGGCTCCCACCAAACCTCTGTACTGCAGGAGCCCACATCAAGCAATGCAACTTGCAGGTCTGGATGGGCAGCAGCACCCAGGCCTCTCCAAGGTAAGGGATCTGTGGATCAACTTACATCTGAATGCTTACATGACACCCCTGCCTGCTGGGTTAGAGGTTGGAGCCCTTGTCTGCAACTTCATTTATTTCTCATATTCCAGTGGATGGTCTTCAAAATTGACACAGGTTTTCTGATTCAGGCTAACACCGGACCTCTTTCTAAGAAGGCAGCTGCAAAAGGACCTCTGAGAAGATACAGGCTGGAAGCAGAGCTAAGCCCAATTACCAGTGGTTGCACTCCAGAGAGCCAGAGCAAAGGGCACCATCGGCTCAAGGGAGGAGGATGAAGGTACAAGCAAGCTCTCTGGCAGCAGCAAAGGCTGGCTGCTTCCAACAGGCACGCAAGTCAGAAGCCAAAGATGGACCCCATGGAGGCAATGCCTGCATTGGCAGAGCTCCATCCTAATGGGTCTGAGAAGAGCAAGCAGAGCTGAGTGTTGGCAACAGCTCCAGGCAAGGCAAGCGGCCAACTGGGTCTGAGATCCTGGACAAAAGGACACAATGCAAAAGGCAGAGCCGGAGATAAATCTACACCATGAATCTACCCATCCAGGAAACAAGCTATCTACAGTGTATGTCTAAGATCCATCCAGGAAACAAGGCCAGAGAGGGAACTGGAGACCAGTACTGACAGCCCAGTGCTGAGCAGGCACCAATGGGCTTAGGTGAAGGTCCAATTTGGTCTGGTCACGGGCAGTTCAGTCCTGCAGGTGCACACAGGTGATGACAGTAGCAGTTAATCATGAAAGAGCAAATCCCACCAGCCTGGCTGGCTGATCTCGTGCCCCATGGGCCCTCTGGCTTTTGCTGTAGCTCTCTGGGCTTATCAAGTGGCTTCCTAAAGCACGTTCTGGTGCAGGCAGCTCTGCGTCTAGCATAAGGCCCGGTGTCATGGCTTTGCTCCTGCAGATATACAGAGGCATAAGGGCTGGGGAGGGAGCTTGTCAAAGAAGCAGAGAAGCACAGAGACCAGGAGGATGGCCGAATGCCTCTGAGCTGATCTCAAGGCCAAAGCGGTGCCAACTTAGGGTCACGTCTGGCTCAGGAGTGAAACTGTCAAGGAATGGAGTTCCCACAACTTCTCTCTCTCCCCGCACACCCCAGTCTTTGAACACCCTTGGGCTGACTTTTTTCTGTTCTCTGATTTCCCTTCATGTCCATTGCCTCCCGTCCCATCCCTGTGCACCTCCAAGGAGAACCATGGAATCACAGGAATCACAGAGTGAGAGAATAATTTAAGCTGGGAGAAATCTCTGAGAGTTCAATCCCTGCTCAGAGGAGATCTAAAAATATAGATCCTTGTCCAGCCAACTCTTGAATACCTCTAAGGGTAAAACACCCACAGCCTCTCTCTGGGACCGCGTTCCACTATTTGCCCAACTTCATGTTAAAAAAGAAGTCCCTCATTCTAACTGGAATTTCCATGTTCCAGTTTAGACGCATTGCTTCTCATCCCATCACCATGCACATCCTTGGACAGTTTGGCTCCATGCTGCCTGCATGCTCCCATGAGGGAGAGGCAGTAAGCAGTAAGAACCTCCCTGTTGCCTGCTCTTCTTTGGGTTGAGCAAGCCCAGCTCTCCCACATTATCCTGACACATCCTGAGCTCCAAGCCCCTGACCAGTCTGGTGGCCTCCACTGGATGTGCTCCAGTATGTCAGCATGTTTCTTGAAATGAGGGGTCTAAAATGAGACACAGCGCTCTGAGAAGCTTCACTCTGCCCGCTCCCAAGGAACAAGGGATGGGACAAGAGGAACCGGCCTCAAGCTGCACCAGGGCAGGTTTAGATGGAGCTGAGGGTGCTCAGGCATTGGAACAGGCTGCCCAGGGCAGGGCTGCAGGCACCGTCCCTGCAAGTGTTCACACACTGTGGAGACGAGGCCTCAGTGCCATGGGTTAGGGGTGGCCTTGGCAGGGCTGGGAACGGTTAGACTGGATGAGTTTAAACGCCTTTTCCAGCCAAAGTGGTTCTCTGATTCTAAAGCCATGCTGCAAGCCGTCCTATAGCAGAGAAGGACTTGAAGTGAGACCATTTTACATCAGTGTCATGTCACAGTTTCCAAAACTCTCTTGTGACTGCTGCAAGGGCCATGTGCTGGGGGAGACCACACTGGGCATTGCGCAAGAGGCAGCATGGTGGTGGTCAGCCAGGCACGTCAGCAGGCACATGGAGTGGCTCTTTCTGAAGCTAGGTGCACGGTTTCCCAGGAACACCAGAGTACCTCTTCTCTGAAGGGTCTAATGGGGTCCCCGGTGGCCCCATGCCTGCTCTGGAGAGTGATCTACGCCTGATGTTTGATTTCCACCCAGGAGGGGGAATGTCATTTGGGTACTTACTCATGAGTTGAAATGTGCAGCGGGGCCTAGAGGATGCCATTCCCTGGGGAAACCTTGCCAGTGGAGGGGGCAGCCAGGCACTGTAAATCACAGGTTTGGTTTAAGGCATTTGCTTATGAGCACCAAATTATTTGCTTTGCCTCTGAAGAAAGCTCTTCACCTCTGTGAGACACAGCCTCCGTTCTCTGAGGACATACCACTTCATGATGCAGAGCAAATAAGCCTTTAAACCATCCGTTCTGTTGCCGACCAGAGGACAAGTGGTTTGCGTCTTGTGCCTCCACCCCCTCACCTGCTGAGCCCTATAACTTTCAGGCTGGACACCCGTCCAGCCAGGCCAAAGCCACTCTGCTTCCCGCTCCGCAGGGTCCGTGCAGTGACGGCATGGGTGAGTGTGGGATGGGATGGGAGGGGCAGCACTTCTGCATGTAGCATCCCTGCACTTTGTCTTCTGCAGGGCTCCCTTCCCTCCACCCCTGGCCACCCCAGCACTGAGTCCATTGCATTGTCTGGGCTCACTGTGCCCCAGTCTGGGAACTGGAGCCGGAGTCTGCATGTTCTGATGCTTTCAGGCTGTATCAGTGTATCTACATTGTCAGCCCATTTTAAAAGACTCATATTTATCAAACAGTCTTCATAATTTTCAGTTCTCCAAGGAAAGTACTGAATACTCTAGAATAGAAAACTAAGGTTTTAGATATTCTCGCTTAAGAAGCAATATTGAACAGCTATCAAGATCTGGAGGTTAGATGGTTGAAAGCATACTATTCCCAGAAGAACAACCAGGAGAGGGTGATACTCTTCCCTGCATCTTCCTGCTGCTCAGACCTTTCATGACCATTCGTGAGGGAATGGGCCAGCAGTGGAGTGTCCATTGCTTCTCTAGGGCTTAAAGAAGAGATGCTGTTAAACATGCCTCTGAACACAGGTGTATGAAGGCACTAAATGTTATGTAGAAATTGAGAAGCAAATCACTGCCAAACCTACTGCACTGCAATAGGTTTGCCTCTGGTGCTTTCTGAGCAGTGGAGAGATTTACATTGATAATCTGCCAGGGTTCTACATCTCTTATACTGTGAACAGATTTTCCCATGGGCAGCAGCTCTCTGTGGGTCAGTATAAACTTTCTGTTATCTTGCTTAGACGCAATACTTTAGAAAGCATGCTCATGTCCCTCTGAACTAGAACAAACCAGAGCATCTGGCTACATGTGGAAATTCTGAAGCAGCCTTATAACCGTATAAAAGACATGATTTGCACCAGCCAGGCAGAAATTCATGAAAGTTCGTGCTGCTCCTCTCACACAGAGCAGGGGAACGCACACAGCCCTTCCTGGGGCTTGTTGCCACCCACACATCAGGGCTCTTACTGCCCGCAAACCTGGCCTGGAGGCAGGCACGGTCCCAGCTAACACCATGTGAGTGTGTTATGAGTGCGTGATGGGAGCTGGGAGGAAAGGGGATTCCTCCCTCCGTGCTCACCGTGCTTGTTATCTCCAGCCCCAAGACTTGGGTTTATAGGGATTTCTGATTACAGTCACCTTGAGTGTGGACAAGGTTTTCACCCTTCTGTCTCAAAACTCACCAGTGGCAGATGCCATCGCTGATGACTCCTGTCAATGAGCGTGTGTTAGCTCACCTAAATAGCAAATTGGGGCTTAGAGCTCCAAGAGGGAGCTCGACACATAAAGAAGTTGATTTTCCTATTTTATTCTGCAATCAGGGAGTCAAATGGGATTCATGGCTTTCCAATGGAAAGGTTATGATCACTTTCTGACTCTTCCAATCTCTTCCCATTTCAGCTTCCCAGCACCTTTGTCCCCTGATTTTCACCTGCCTGCTGGCCCTGGCAGCATGTCTGCCTGCCTTGGACATCAGAAACTTGCATCTCCTCAATGGCACACTGGATGAAATCATGAATGTTCCCCCAGAGCCCTCCCAGTTCGGTAAGTGTACCACTTAGAAGGGAGGGGCAAACAAGGTCACATTCAGTCAGATCCTACACAGACCTCCTCACCACCCTAAGCAGACCCCTGTAACATGGAGGAAGGACTAAATACTATGTGTGTGCAATGCCAGTGTAATATAGACAGTCTTACTGGAGCAAGAGACACCTCAGAGTCCTCCTCTGCTTTCTGCTTGTCTCTTCTCCTGTCTGGTATGAAGTTCTTCTGTCCATAAGTGAGTCCAACAGCCCAAAGCCTAGAGTTCTCAGGATCCCAGGAGAAGGGACAGGTTTGGTCTCATCGGCAACAATGCCAAGCCGAGGGTGTTGTGGGCATGGGCTCTTCCTTGGAGAAGCGGTACTGAAGGTGTTAAGGCAAATAATCACTGTGTGTTTTGAGGACATGAAGAACAGTAGCTGCCTCTGGAAAACACAAGGCCAGTAGAGGACTGAATTCAAGAGAGAGTGAACACAAAGAGGAACTAAATGAATTTAATACAAAGAGTCTAAGCAGTGACACTGACACAGAGCAAGCAGCCAGACGATGGCACAAAGTAACCTACAAATACCAGGTCATACGGGGGCAATGAGGAAGCCTCCATGAAATGGTTATGCAATAAAACTGAGGGCTGTGGGTGGGACATGGCCCAACAGAAATGGCCAGTTCCTTTCCAAGAGAGGAGGAAGAATTCTTCCAGAAGAGCTCAATGTCCACGTGTTTGATGCTGGTTTCACGTCAGCCTTCGTTGCAAAGGTCAGCTGTCATGGGAATGGCCAATACAGGGAGTAGCCATGGCTGTGACAAGAGCTTGGGCTTCACCAAGAGCACCAAGTCTGAGTAGGGAAAGGGGGTGTGCTGTGGGCTCCACACTCTTCTCTCACTCAGACCGCTCCGAAAATGTGAGCAGCATAAATTCAAGATGGGTAAGGAGGGAGGCATGCAAGAGAAGACAGGCTTGACTTGGGGAGGAGCACTTCCAAATGGATGGGAAGTGAAGGCAGAAAGGAGCAGGGGCAGGCTGTCACTTACAAAACGAACAGGAGTGATTACCTTCATATAATTGTGAGTCAAAGTAAATACCACGTTACATGGGTGTTTCTTCTGCACTTTAGCAACATCTTCTCAGTTTTTTCCAGATCCCTTAAGTCTTTCCCAAACAAAGTGTGTCCAAGTCCTTCTCACCAAGGAAGCATCTGCCCCATTCGAACACATAAATCCTGCTAACTACCAACTGGCTGATATCAGAAGTGGTAAAGTCCCTATGGAATTAGGAGCAACAACAGCAAAACAGGAATATCATCTGGAGAATAACATGCTCTCCCAGCAGGTTTGAGATATGTACTCTCAGCACTCACTCCTGTCTCCTCTGCTCTTGTTAACTCAGATAACGATACCCTACATGCTCGACAGGTCAGAGACGTCGCCCCCCGCCCACCAGCAGGTCATGGTAAGTCTCTTCTCAAAGAGTACATCTGCTCAACAGGTTTCACCATTGCTGGGCTCATGAGGAGCTCTCAGCCACCTTAGTCCATGTCCTACATGCACACCGGCTTCTCCCAGGAAAAATGTGGCTTTACTGATAGACTGCAGAAGTGCCACAGCTCATCACCTTGGGGGGGACCTTAGTAGAATCACAGAATAGTTAGGGTTGGAAAGGACCTTAAGATCATCCAGTTCCAACCCCCCTGCCATGGGCAGGGACACCTCACACTAAACCAAGTCACCCAAGGCCTTGTCCAGCCTGGCCTTGAACACTGCCAGGGATGGAGCATTCACAACCTCCCTGGGCACCCATTCCAGTGCCTCACTACCCTAACAGGAAAGAATTTCCTCCTTATATCCTTATATAGTACTAACCATGTCCTGGACTCAGTAGCTGTGAGGATCTTTAGCAGGGGGAATTTGCCACCTGAAGATCCAAAATGTAAAGTGATGATTCATTACTGGCCTCTGGGAAGCTGTGATTGCTTATTTTTCTGTTTTCACTAAACAGTCGATAGAAGACTGGGTAAGACAGGGACTGACTGGGTTACTGAACTGACTGAGTCAACAGTAGCCCATAGGACCACAAGATAGGTCCTCTCTGGATAGGAATAACAGCAGTCTCCCAGTATTCCCCTGGGTACTGGGAGCAGAGCAGGTCTCTTCCCAGAAGTGTGTAGGTGCATTCAGCTGTTTGCTGCATAAGGTACTGACGCTCTGGAGCATTGAAAGGCCATAATAGAATCAAAAGTCAGGAAGTCCCTAAAGAGCTAATCAGGTAAGCCCCCAGAAAACTGATGGATTTTCCCTAATGACATCACAAGGGCTGATTGAATCATTAGCAATATGGTTGTATTGATCACACTCCAGGGTTTCTGAGACTACTATAAAGTAATATAAAGCTCTAAAGCCTTCATGCTCTAACAGCAGATGGCTTTATAATCCAGGCTTGCACTTGTCTGTGCAGTGATACATCACCTGCATGCTACAGACAAATCCCCACAGCACTGTAAGACTGAATCCAACCTGGCCTAAGTGCATTGTGTGCTGTGTGAAGGCAACATCTGCCTTGGTGTCACCAGGCCAAGATATTTTGGCAGGGTGTTCCCATCAGTTTGAATTCTGTCTTGGGGAGATATGAAGCCCAAGTCTTTTGAGGATCATTTCAAGATTTCAATTTACTCCTGCAAGCACATGGCAGGAATATAGCCAAAGAATGCGTGTGTGAAAGGACATAGGAACAAAAGAAATACCACATGCTTTCAGTGTCTCGTCGTGTGGGATTTAATAACCATCTCTGCTTCCTGCCCCAGGCTGGCCCAAAGACTGCAGTGAGGTTCCCGCTGGCAGCCGCAGCGGTGTCTACATCATCCAGCCGAAAGGGCTCCACCACATCGTGGTGTACTGCGAAATGAATGTGACACATGGGGGCTGGACGGTCATCCAGAGGAACCAGAAAGACACACCAGTCACCTGGGCCGAGTCCTGGAGCACCTACAAGTACGGCTTTGGGAACGTGCGCACCGAGTACTGGCTGGGCACTGAGTACATCCATCAGATCGCCAAGCAGAAGGTCTACCAGGTCAGGTTTGTCATCCAGGACTCCTCAGACAACATCCATTTCGCAGACTACAACCTCTTCAGTGTAGAAGATGAGTCCCACGGCTACCGGCTGAGGCTGGGCTCCTATGCAGGGACAGCAGGGGATGCCATGACCTCAGACAATCCCAAGACCATGCACGACAACATGAAGTTCTCCACAAAGGATCGAGATCAGGACACTTACAGTAAGAACTGTGCCTACAGCTATGAGGGTGGGTGGTGGTTCTCAGCCTGTTATTCTGTACGGCTGAATTTCAAGGGTGGCATGACATGGGGTAGCCTGTGCAAAGGGAACTGCAAATCCTCCCTTATCCTCCTCAAACCAGCCTCATACTGTTAGTGCTTCTTCCCCCACCTGTCCATACTGGACACTCTGCAAAGGCTCTGCATGGCCAAAGAGTTCAAGCCTTTCTGGAGTGGAGAGAGGAGCCCAGGGGTAGTAGGGTTGTAGCGAAATGTCACTTTTCAATTGCCCTCTTTGAGTGCAGGCTCCCCCTCTGCTCAGCTATTTTCCCCTACGCTTGTCAATGATTCCTTGTTCGTATGTTCATAATCAAGAATAAACAATTACTTGTGAAATGTGTGGATTCCACACGTACCTCCCCTGTGGGACGAAGACACTCAGCCCCAGAGTGACTTTTCATCAGAGTTTCTTAGCTGCCTCCATAACTCACAGCAAGCAAAACAAGCTACATGCCACAGTTTTCCATATGCTCTGTGCCTCTCTGCATTGTCTGGTAAAGCATCCCAATAAATGTGCTTCCTTGAGCTCATTCACCATTAATGAACATCTGTCCTGTACCTCTGATGTGCTCCCACTGAGACCCAAGGGTGCTAGGACCCAAGCCGGGTGCTAGGACTGAAGTCTTGGAGCTTGTGGATGGGAAAAAAGCCTTGAGTGGTTCTCACAAGAATGGATGTAAGAAAGTTAAATCTAGTCACCCTGATCTAAATCACCTGTGACCTGCACAGCACAATTATTCAGAATGAACATGGCATGGCAGAGAACTCTTCCCACATCATTACCACAGTCACAGTCCAGGGGCAAGAGCTGTGCCATTGTCCCGGTACCAAGGTTCCACTCCTGCCATGAGGCTGCATCTGTCAGGATCTGTTCCTTGCTGCCTGTTTGCATAGTCATGCCTTGATCCTGCAGAAACATGACTTCAAAGTCATCAGTAGATGTCTGCTGTGACCAAGAAGCAGTGAACTTAAATAAAAGCGAAAGAGAAGTAGGTTAGGTATTAGGAGGCACTAGAGAGGGAAGAGATCACTACAAGAATAGGTTCACCATACCCAAGTTTCCGAGACCAATTTAGATGGCCAAAGATACAAGGTGAGTTCCCAGCAGAGATGTACTGTAACGGAGCTGAGCCTTCAGGCAAGTTTCTGCTCCTTGAGTGTATCTTTTAAGGTCTCTGAATCCCTACAAACATTCAGGAACCTCAGTATTCTGCTGCAAGCAACTCCCCATCAGGAGTGGGGCAGCATATCCTGACATTACCCATCCCCCAGGGGATGAAGGTGAGCTGGCATCTCATGGCTCCTGAGCAGTTGGGCATAGCAGTGTCAGGATGTCCACAGGATGCTCGACTGCAGTGTAAGAGGTGACAGCACTGAAGTGACAAGTGGGATGCACACAGTGTGGTGCAGCACAGGGCACACACAGTGCAGTGCAGGATACTTGCATTGTGCAGCAGGGGATGCACACAGTGTGGTGCAATGCAGGATGCACACAGCAGCATGCAGGCAGAGGATGCGCAGAGCTGGGTGAAGTGCAGGATTCTTCCATTCTACTCTGCTCTGGGGAGACCCCCCCCGCAGTCCTGATCCAGCTCTGGGGCAGCAGCACAAGAGAGACCTGGAGCTGTTGGAGCGAGTGCAGAGGAGGCCACGGATCTGCTGCGAGGGCTGGAGCAGCTCTGCTCTGGAGCCAGGCTGAGAGAGCTGGGCTGGGGCAGCCTGGAGAAGAGAAGGCTCCTGAAGGGGAGACCTTAGAGCAGCTCCAGTGCCTAAAGGGGCTGCAGGAAACCTGGAGAGGGGCTTGGGACAAGGGCCTGTAGGGACAGGCCAAGGGGAATGGCTTGAACCTGCCAGAGGGGAGACTGAGCTGAGCTCTTAGGCAGAAGCTCTTCCCTGTGAGGGTGCTGAGGCGCTGGCACAGGGTGCCCAGAGAAGCTGTGGCTGCCCCATCCCTGGCAGTGCTCAAGGCCAGGTTGGACACAGGGGCTTGGAGCAAGCTGCTCCAGTGGAAGGGGTCCCTGCCCGTGGCAGGGGTTGGGGCTGGGTGAGCTTTAAGGTCCCGTCCAACCCAAACCAGTCTGGGTCTGTACTCTTCTGCGATGACTCTATTGACAATTCTATGCACACACGGGGGTGCGGTGCCAGTTTCCTCACTCCCCAGCCGGGGGCGGTGCGGTGCAGAACCGCAACACCTTCTCAGCTACGGCTCCTTTAAGACCGGCGGCGCGCGGCGAACGCGGGGCGCACCCGGCTCCCGGTGACGGGGGGGGGTCCCCGGCCCATGTCCCGGCCCATGTCCCGGCCCCCGGTGCCGCCCGGTTCCCCGCGCCGCCTCGGCGCGCTCAGCACCGCGCAGCTCCGCGCCCTGCTGCAGGACGAGCCCCGGCTGCAGCGCGCCGCCCGCCTCAGCAGGAAGGTAACGGGTGGAGGAGGCCGGGGCAAGCGCAGCGCGAGTGGGAGGGGGGCACACAGGACCCCGGCCGGGGGAGCCGTACCCTGCTGCCGGGGGGCGCTCCCGGTGCGCGGGAGGGAGCCGGCCGCAGCTCGGGCACCGGGCGCTGCGGATCCGGGCAGCCCCCGCCGCGCCCTGCGGGTCGCTGGTCCTGCCTCGATCCCTGGAACCGGCCCGGGGCTCTGGAGCGGAGCCCATCGGCTGCGCGTCCCGGGCGGCGGCTGCCTCGGGGTGGGGGGGTTCGGCGGCCATGGCCGGGCGGGCAGGCTCGGGCCGGCAGAACCGCTGCCCAGACGCCGGGCAGGCCCTGGCCCCTCGCTGTGCCCTCCCCGCCCGAGTACTCCTCGGGGCCCGCAGCCCCCCGCGGGAGCAGGGTCAGGGCTCTCGGGACCCCCCTCAGCCCCGTTCCAGCAGCTTTCCCTGGGCAAAAGCAAAGGGAATAAAATAGAAAATCCTGGCAAAGCGCAGCCCAGCTCCGCTCCTGCCCTTGCCCAAGATGAAGGTGTGTGCAGAGCCGAGGAGGTGCGCGGCCCTCTCCTAACGTCCTTGGTAGCCACCCATGGGGTTTGCCCCATTCATGGCAAGCTGCCCGGTGCCGTGCATCCCCCCAGACACAGGCTGCGGCTCTCACTGGTTCTGCCCGTTTCTCCCGATGCTGACACACAGCCCCTGCTCCCCTCCCCGCAGTTCCAGAGCCTGCAGTTGGAGCGGGAGATGTGTTTGGCTTCAAACTGCACCCAGGCCAAAGTGAACCTGTCCCTGCGCCCGCAGCTGGAAGACGGGAAGGCTGCCCTAGCCATCAAGTACCAGGAGCTGCAGGAGATACGAGAGGCATGTCGGGACAAGCAGCAGCGCCTGGGTGAGTGGAGCGCAGTTGATGGGATGAGGCAGAGCATCCCGCCCAGGTGGGCTCAGCATCCTCAAACCTGCTCCAGGGAAACAGCCCACTTGGGAGCAGCAGGGGGCGATGCTGCTTGCAATGGTACGGATGCTATGGTGGGATGCAGGTGGCTCCAGGGATGTGTTTGGGGGTGTTTCAGTTCGGGGAAGGAGGGAGCTGACACTTGGGGATGGGAAAGGCCTCAGCTCCAGAAATAGGGATGTCCTGGTGAAGGTTTATTGGCAGCCCCATCCCTTCCTGACACAGAGGCATACCTGGAGAACTGGAGCCCACAGAGTGCCTTGGGCAAGCTCCAAGCCAAGCTCGATGCCTCCGAGGCAGAGTCAGAGGTGAGTCAGGCAAGACCCCTGTGCTGCTGCCTCTTCCTCGTCTGGGCCCTGCTTACTCTTTGTGCCCTCCCACATGCCAGGCTCTGAAGAAGAGCCCAGAGCCTGGGGGTGCTCAGTCATCTGGGCTCCTTCTGTGGTCCCACAGCTCTCTTGGCTTGGTGTCCCACAGGCACAGGTAGAGCAGTTCCTGGCCCAGGACCTGCCCCTTGATTCTTTCCTGGAGTCCTTCTGCCAGAGTCGCACACGCTCCCATATCTGCCGGACGCAGCTGGAGAAACTGCAGGAGCTGCTGCAGAAGGACAGGGTGGGCAGGGATCCTGCGGGCCCCACGGGGTGCCGAGGGGCCCTACCTAGCCTAGCACCAGCCCGCCTAGCCCCATTGCAGAATGGAGTAGTCCCCAAAGCCTTCAACCTCTCCTGCGGCTTTGTGCCCACCTTTCTCATCCCCTCGGAGGCTGTCGTACCCTTTGCCGTGCCAACTGCACCTCCCAGACACCATCTCCCAGCCCTGGGACACCAGCCAGCATCTCCCTGCTCCAAAATCCCCAGCCTCGGTTCGCCCCTGCACCTCGTCGGACACATCCCCCTGCTCAGCCCTCGGCCCTCCTGCAGACAGCAAGAGCAGAAGCAGGAGCTTCCGCACCGGTAGCGGGGCAGGGATGGGGGATGTCCCTGTCAGTTCTGGGGGGCTGCAGAGCCTGTTGGGCAGGCACAGGGTGGGTGCTCACAGAAGGATGGAAGTGCTTGGCAGGGGTGGGATGGGGCGGGTGCTGTGGCTGGGCAGTGGGTTCTGCACTTGGGAAGCTGCCTGGGGGAGGTCTCTGCATCCACAAGAGGAGCAGGGACAGGAGGCGGGGGCTGGTGGCTTGTGGGGGTGTCAGTGGGCTCAGTCAGGTGGGAGGTAGCAGGGAGGAGGACCCAGGAGCACTGGGCACCATGTGCTTTCTAAATAAAGGCTCTTTTCCATGCTCTGTGTTACTCTGGCTCTGGCTAGGAACAGAGGGATGGGACAGGCAGGGGGAAGTGGTTCCAGGGGGACACTTGCCAGGCTTGCAGGGGACTGAAAACCTAGCAGGATCCTCCAGCCTGGGGAGCCCCCAGGTGCTGGACCTGCACTTGGCTCAGCCCATCAATGCCCTGCAGTGTCCCTTATGCTGTTTCTAGCTTCTGAATTCGTTTCATGTCCTTCTCATGCTTTCAGCCCATCTGGTTGTAGCATTTTTTTCCTATTTCCCACATGCCTGCCCACCCTGCAGCTTGGCATTGATATGTAGATTGCTTAGAAAACAGTTTCTCCAACCCTGGTGTTGGTCCTTATCCAGTTTGGAGCATGTACTGCCCCAGAGCAGTCGTCCTGGCAGTGAGTGTAGGTGCAGCATTAGTGCACCCAGTGCCTCTGGGGAGCCTGGCAGCATTGGGCATCTGCCTCTTCATCCCTAGTGTGCAGTCAGCACCTCACATATGGCAGCAACAGTCCCTTCAGCAGGGCCTGGGCTGTGGCCGAAGCTCTGCAAGTCGCAGACAGAAGCAGTGGATAACAGGCAGGAGCTGGAGGCAGCACAAGATGACCCCTGTGCCCCTCCTTCCTTGTACAGTGGCTCTCCCTGCCTGCACCAAGTGCTGCCTGTCCCGCAGGGCCACCTCAAGAGGAGTCAATGTGCCCCCACTCACCTCGGCGAGGAGGAGGAAGTGTTGCCTTCAAGCGTGTACCTGCATTCATTTCTGCAGGGCCCTGGCAGCAGCCTGGGGGCAGCTCAGCCCCAGTGCACAGCTAAGGCCGGGCAGGGCAAGCAGGGACCTGGCTCCCCAGCCCCTTGCTGGGCCTGGCAGCAGCCTCCAGCGCAGGAGGACCAGGCCTCCTGGGGGAGAACGGGTGTCCCAGCACGGCCAGCCTCAGGAGACCCTTTGAGCCACAGCCCCAGGGCTGTAAACCCCCGGGCTGGGCCCCCGCTGTGGCAGCACCCACAGTTAACAGAGAAAACTCTATTAACCATTAACTCCATTAACAGAAGTCCCTGCAGGGGATGCTTTCGAAAGGAGAGGGAGCTGCCTTCCCCCCCGCCCAGTGCTGCTCAGGACCCTGCTCACACAGCCTGCAGCTCACTATCCACCTGGCACCCAAAGAAACCAGGCAGGAGCCCAGCTTAACCCCTTCCTTTCCAAAGGGCAGCCCAGCTTCTCCAGATGGAGGGAAAAGAATCAAGAGAATCCCAGGTTGGAAGGGACCTCAAGGATCATCTGTCCAACCTTTCTAGGGAACGCATGGCCTAGACTAGACATCCCAGCACCCCACCCAGCCCAATCTTAAGTAAGCGTCCAACTCTGGGGAGTCACCACTTCCATGAGGAGATTATGCCAACAGCTGATTGTTTTCATTGTGAAAAATCATCCTCTTGTGTCCAGTCAGAATCTTCCCAGGGGTAACCTGTGGCTATCACCCCTCATCTTTTCATTTAGCTTGTAAAAGGGGAGGGGTCTCCATCTTCTTTGTAGCCACCCTTTAAATACTGGATGATGATGACAAGGTCTTCCCTGACCTTCCCTCTTCCAAGGCTGAACAAATCCCATTCTCTCAGGCTTTCCTCACACATGCTCGGCCCTTGGATCATTTCTGTGGCCCTTCTCTGGATCCTCTCCAGAGGGTACATCACACGTACACAGCAAGTACTGTGTCAGAGGCAGCACAGAACAGGGCTACAGCAGGCAGGATTGAAGCCCCCAGTGGCTTAGGGAGGCCATCCTACCCATTCCCCACTGACTGCAGACAGCATTCCCACCCCTCCCAGCATGACCGCAGGGAAACAGGACCCCCTCTCCCTACCCTCTTCCTCTGCCTGCTGCAGACACCATGTGGAACACCAGCTTGAACAATACCCTCCAATTTTCCAGCAAGTACAAGGAATATTTACCACCCAAGCCCACAAAAAGAAAGATGTGTCACTTTGTCACCAGTTTATGGCTGGGTATCTTTAATGCTCAAGAGAACTTACGGAGAAATGAAGAACCAGTAATAGGAACTGCTCAAAGTCACGTGGATGAGCTCACTCATGGTGCCTTGGTACTTCACCTCCCAACTTCAGACCCAAGCATCAGACACAGAGCAGCTGGCTTACTGGAGCAGCTCTTCTCTGTCCCAGTGCTATGGGGCAGAACGATTCAGGCAGTACACCACCTTGCCTGCTCCTCCTGCTCCACACTGTACCATACCAGAGCCTCTCTCTGCAAGGAAGCTGGTTCAGACTCTGCCTGTGGGAACAGCCTGAGGCTTCAGAACTACACAGATTCAGGGAAGATCAATCCAGCCTGGAAAAGAACGTTTCCTGCCAAACTTAGCCAGAGAAGCTGCCTCTGCTCCTTCAAGTGACTTGGTTTATACCATGAAAATGCACCAGCATGTGACACAGAGCCACAACACCGGAGACCTTCACTCTGTAACCAATGCTCTGACAACCAGAGAGGATCCTGGGAACCTCTCTCTGTTGCTGGGCTGAATTTGCTCCAAACACACAGCAGGCTCCACAGTCTGCAGCTGGAAGTGGTACAGTGCTTTCCAGAGAAGGCAGAAAGCTCTCCTGTACAGCACACACCCTGTACCATCAGACATTACAGTCCCTGTGAAGCTGCTGCTGCAGGCTCAGTTCCGCACCACAGAACTCCACAACTGGAGAACACAGGGCATTTGCTTTTAACATTTTGTGTTGGGAGAGCCCATAACCCAGGAGCACTGTGGTGAGGGCTTGGCTCCTGCAGACTGCTGCCAGCCAGGTCCAGCAAGTCCAGTGCAAAGTAATGCAGATGATGTCTTTGGACACTGGGAGTTCAATACCATGCAGCTTCACTAATTTCATGTAGTACCAGCATAGCACAGGTGAAGCTTTCACCTGAGGAAAGGCAGCAGCTCCGAGAGACAAAACCTTTAGTTCTTACAACACTCCAGTACTTAAAACAGGCAAATACTCTTATGTGCAAATGATGCTTAGATACATGTAAAACACAAGCAGTGCCACTCAGTGCTCAGAAGTGTACCACTCCCAACCACAAAGGCCCATGTGGGATGGGCTTGTGCAAAGTTCCTGGCAAGCCCTAGACAGGACAGGTTCTTCTGAACACAGAAGTGTTTTGAGCAGCACCTCCAGGTGATGTCACACACTGATCAGGAACATAAGCTGCCACGAGCCTGGATTTCTTTCTTCCAGGCTGCCAATGCCAAGACTTCCTTTCAGGGCAAGCCCTGAAGAGGGCCAAACAAGGGCAATGATGCAGTGTGGAAACCAACACTCCTAAAATTCTCCAAAGATATCGGTGTGACAGCACAGAGAGTTAATCTCTCCATTAACAGCAAACCACAGCGAGCCATAAATCAGCACCAGTGAGAGCACCCCCATGAACACACACCACACGCAAACACCACCAACAGCCATTTAATCTGTGCTGTGGTTTAGGAAAGGCATGTGGCTCCCAGCAAGGTCAGACAGTAGTGTCAGTGGAGGGGACACGTCACAGTTCGCAAAGCGGAGTCCAGGAACCTCATTCACTTGTCAGGCACTGTGTGTAGGCCATATCAGCAGAGGAGGCACACTGCAGCCTGTTGGTTCCCTACACCCCATCTGCAGGATCATGCTACCAGCAGAGGTACACTGCAGCCTGTGGAGCAGAGCCCCCAGATGATATCCAGTGGTCACATGCCATTGACAGGTCACGCTTGCAGAGGTCACACTCTGTGTGTACCGTGCCTGCCAGTTGCCTGCTGTGTCTGAAGGTTAGGCTGACAGAGGGGTCTGGTCACAGAGCATGGAGTAGGGCCTGCACATGGAGCCTGCTGGTCATGTACTCGGTCTGAAGGTTGTACCAGCAGAGGTGACGTGTCACAGCCTGGGCAGCAGCACGATGCCTGCCTACTGTGAGAACGCAGGCGATGCCCCCAGCTACCCTGTGTCACCTGGCAGCCCTCCAGCCCGGCGTGGCCCTGCTGTCACTTGAGGCCGTAGAGGAGAGCAATACCCAGCAGTAAGAAGAGCCCGACTGAGAGGTCAGAGAGGAGCCGAAAGCGTCCTTGGGCAGCGAAGTCCTCCCGGCGGAGGCGCAGCTGCTCCCGCCGCGCCCGCAGCACCCGCTCCCGCTCCAGCTGCTCCCCGTAGTGCGCCCGGTAGAAGGCGTCGAAGTCGAACGGCGGCGGAATGGGCCCGCGGCGGGAGGGGGCGCGGGGCGGCGGTGGGGCTGCGGCGGTCGCCGGGCGGCCCGAGGGCTGCGGGGCGCCGCGCAGGTCCTCGGCGCTGAGGAGCCCGCAGTCGTACTTGCGGCGCAGGGTGGCGCTCCCCAGCACCCGGTAGGCCTCGCTGACGGCGGCAAACCGAGCGGCGGCGGCGGCGCTACCGGCGTTGCGGTCAGGGTGATAGCGGAACGACTGCTCGTAATACGCCGTCTTGATCTGAGCCGCCGTCGCTGTGGCCGGGACTCCCAGCACCTCGTACAGGTCATGGCGCGCCCGCGGAGATCCACCGGCACCCGCCTGCGCGCCGCGGGACGGCGCCAGGGCGCGGCCGAGCCGCGGCACTCCCGGACCGGCGGGCAGGAGCCGCCACAGGCGCCCGAGCACTGCCGGCTCCATCCCGCCGAGCTGCCTCAGCGGCCTCCAGGCGCCATCTTGGGCGGAGCGGCGCCCTCCGCGCCCGGCGCGGGGCAGTGACGTCAAGAGGCAGCGACGTCACGCGGCAGCATGGCGGGCAGCGGCCGCCGGCCCGAGCACCGGGGGCCGCCTGAGCTGGTGAGCGGAGAGGGGAGAGGAGACCCGGCTGCGGGGGGAGCCGGGGCGGGTCTGGTCTCATTTCATCGGTTCCGTCTCTTTCTCCTTGCAGTTCTACGATGAGGCCGAGGCGCGGAAGTACACGCAGAAGTACGACGGGGTGATGGTTGCGGAGGCTGTGGCGGGGAGCGTGCGGGAGTGTCTTGCTCTGGGGCAGTGGGGGGACCCGCCGGGGTGGGGGGGTCCTGCCGGGAGACCCGGCTGGGGAGCGAAGCCCTGCGGGGAGGCGGCGGCTGCCCCCGGCTGCCCGCGCCCCGGCCGTGCCTTACAGCTCCCGGGTGGTGGAGATCCAGGCGCAGATGTCGGAGCGGGCCGTGGAGCTGCTGGGACTGCCGCAGGACCGGCCGTGCCTCCTCCTGGACGTCGGGTGAGCGCGGTGGCATGTGGGGCGGCTGGGACAGCGCTGGGCCTGGACACGGGGGGGGGCACCCCGGCCCGAGGGCATCGGCGTCTGTCTGTGGTGGGATGGAGAGAACCGGGCGGCCGCAGCGGTGTGGCTGCCAGCATCGCCCGCAGAGCAGGCCCATAACCGCCCTGCTGTCCCTCTGCCTCCCTTCAGCTGCGGCTCTGGGCTGAGCGGGGATTACATCTCTGAGGAGGGCCACTACTGGATTGGCATGGACATCAGTCCTGCCATGCTCGGTGAGCCGGTTCTCCCCCCCTGCCACCCTTGCCTTGCCTCAGGGCGGTCCCAAAGGTGTGAGGTGGTTGCCTGAGCTGTGCTCTGCCCTGTGCAGATGTGGCCGTGGAGAGGGAGGTGAAAGGAGACCTTCTCCTTGCAGACATGGGTGATGGCATTCCGTTCAGGCCTGGCATGTTTGACGGCTGTATCAGGTCAGTTTGTGTACTTGAGTGAATTATTTGAATACCTGGCCTAAAGGGGATGCTTGGCAATTCTTCTGTGCGTGAATAACTACGGCACCTTGCTGAGTTTTGGCATAGTGAGTCTCCAGAGGGATTTGTATAACTGCAAAACAGAAGGCAAAGCTACATGGAGAGAATTAGTGCTGGAGGTACTAATGGAGGTGATAGGCTCTGCAAAAGAATCAATGGCTGAGTGTCCCAGGAGTCTTGTTTTCTTTCCCAGTATTTCTGCAGTGCAGTGGCTTTGTAATGCTGATAAGAAATCACACAGCCCTCCAAAACGCCTTTACCAATTCTTCTCAACTCTTTATACTGCCTTGGTAAGTGTGCTGCTTTCCCAGTCAGACCTCTGCCTACTTTTACATCCTCACTGGTGCATTTTAGCAAGATATTTTAAGTCAGGGATTGTAAGTAAATGCTGCTCTGAAGTGGAGGACTGGCAGGAGCACCCATTTCCTATCTCCTTGCCTGCCTGTATGGTCTCTTGTGCTTCTCTGATCCCTGCTGTTAAGCCTGTGCCTTGTGCTGTGGAGGAACAGGCTCTGCAGTCTGAACAGCTCTCCTGGGAGACTTCTCCAGGAGGCTTTGGGGAGGAGGGTGCTCATGTCTAGGCTGGGAATGGAGTGACCAGAGGGGTTGCCTGCACTGACTCACTGACACTATTTCCTGTAGGCGCGAGGATCCCGAGCTGTCCTGCAGCTGTACCCTGAGAACTCAGAACAGGTACAGGACATCACCCAGTGGGGAAGAGGGGCAGGCAGAGCAGGGCAATGAAGCTGTGTGCTCTTTGGGGCTCTGAATTTCTCCACGTGAGAACTGTTTCTCTGTCCTTCCCACCCTTTGTAAAGCTCTTCAAGAGCCCTAAAAAGAAACCTATAAGGAGAATGCTGTTTCTGTGGCTTCACAGGTTGTTTTGAGGTGAGCCTTAAAATTAAAGAAATTGGCAGGACAGAATCTGAATCTGCTGTCCTGGATTTTCTGCTCTGTGACTGGGATTGAAGCCCGGCCTGCAGTCATCAGCACTGTCCTGTAACTCCCTAGAGCTGGGAAATCCAGCCCAATATCCTTCTCCTAGTAAGTGTGCTGTGCCAATTAACTCAGGTTAGACTGAGCAGCAGGGAGAACCAAATGAAGGCAGTGGAACTGGTGTCCTGATGGTACTGCACAGCTGGGAGTGTGGTGCAGAGTTGAACAGGAGCAGGAACAACCCATCTTCGGCACACAAAGTTAGCTGTGGCTGAGCCAAGAGGTGTCTTGGGCATTGCTGGTGGATGACTACTAAATAACTCTTGCATGTGCTTCTTTTTCCAGCTGGAGCTCATTACTGCCCAGGCCATGAGAGCTGGCTTTACTGGGGGAATGGTGGTAGATTACCCAAACAGCACCAAAGCCAAGAAGTGAGTCTTGTGCGTCTGTGTATGTGGGTGTTTGGGGGTGAGGCCTGGGTTTGGCAGTGATTTTCTTTTCCCCAGGTTATTCATAGAATCATAGAACAGTTGGGAGTTAGAAGACACCTTAAAGCTCATCCAGTTCCAAGCCTCTGCCACAGCAGGGTTGCTCAAAGTCTTGTCCAACCTGGCCTTAAACACTTCCAGTGATAGTCCAGGAGAGAGGTTACAGATTAGAGCCAACTCTGTTACAAACAAAAATCCCAGTCTTGCTTGGGGACTGGGAATTACATGCTGAATCCCAGCTTCATGCTCCTTATTCTTGTTCTTTTAGGTTCTTCCTTTGTCTCTTTGTTGGGGTATCTGGCACGTTACCAAAGGTGAGCAGCTCCACAGCACAGCAGAATTGCCTTCCTGGCTGCTGGTAATGTGGGCAAGAATGGGAGCGAGGCAGCTCTGCACATGCAGTGTGGTTTCATTTATACATTTGCTGTCAGTCTCACCAACCCCTGCTCTCCCTGACATACGGTTTCTTTGCCACAATTTCTGGAAGACCAGTTTGTTCCTGCTCTGGTCCTTTCTCTTAGAGAGCCCTGGTTTCCCCTTAATTTAGGTGACATGACTGTTAGCTCTGTTTGTTCCAGAGGAGAGCAAAACTTCTCAAATTTGCTTTTCAGGGCCTTGGTACTGAGTGTGCTGATGGAGAAGAGATGCACCAGGCAAAGTTCACCAATGAGAGGTATCGTGTAGGAGGTGTAGTATCGTGTAGTTCTCCCCAAGTACGGGGGGGCTTATAAGGGCAGAGTTTTCTAAGGGGTGGGGTGGCTTATGAGGACTGGGTTTTGCTGACTGAGGGCCACAGTGCTGCCATGTGAGAAGTGACTGAAGAGAGGGAAGACCCTTGGCAACCCACATGGGCACTACTTTTATCTTTTTGAAGGGGCCCAGACACAAGGAACAGAACAGGTTAGCTTGGAGGGCTTTGCTGTGGTTGATGCTTAGCCTAGAACTTTCTGTCCAGCTCCTGGCTCTGTAGCTCAGTGCTGTAGTGTAGGCCAGTGGTGATGTGAGGGGGGCTATTTACAGCGCTGCTGACAGCAAGCATAGAGGTTTCTGTTGGGGAGGCAGCCTGCTGTGCCTAAAGCCTGGTGTTGCCTTTCTTTTGCTGTCAAATTGTTTGCTTAACTCTGCTTAGCTGTGGCCTGGTGGGTTTCTCCTGCTGTCCAGGTCTCCTCCCATGGTAGTGGTGCAGGGAGAAGCCCCTCCTGCAGCCAGTGGGAGAGACAGAACAGAAAACAGAGGAAAGTCGTCATGGCTGCCAGGAGCCTGTGGCTGGCTTGTTTTCCTGCCTCTTACACTCCACTTCTATGCTCGCTTAGTCCACAGGGTACCTCGTGGTGGAAGGTAATAGCAGAACTGGCAGTTTGCTGGGAAGCCAGAGCTTAGTCTGCTTTCTTTGGAGTAGAGCAGACAAGGGGAAGGTGCTTGTGCTTAAGTCTGTACTCCGTCAAGGTCCCACTGCCCAGCATGTTGCTGATGTGTCAGAAATGGCACAGGGGAGTGCTGGCCTGCTGCAGCCCATGGAGGGTGGGTATCCCTCGGTTCAGAGCCAGGGCTGGAAGCAGCCTCTTCCTGAGTGCGGCTGGAGCTGGACTGTTTGACCACCTACCCCTCTTCACCCCAAGGGTCATAGGAGAGGTACTCCCTGGTTTTGTGAAGCAGAGGGCATGCCCAGTTCTGGGTGGCAACCCTCCAGGGCAGAGAACTGTGCCCCCGCATGTCAGTTCCTCTCCAGCTGCTATCTGCTTTCTCTGCAGGACACGGTTCCGAAATGCCAAGGGCAAGTCTGTGAAGAAAAGCCGGGACTGGATCCTTGAGAAGAAGGAACGTAGACGACGACAGGGCAAGTACGTTCAGCTGCTTCAGCTGAGGCTGACTCTGCTGGTCTGGCCTGCTGTCACCTGCTCGAACTCCTGCCATAAACCTGCTTTCCTTCCCCTCCCAGAACAACTGGGCTTAGTTGTTCTCATTTTCTCCACAGGGAAGTGCGACCAGACACAAAATACACGGGTCGAAAGCGCCGCCCTTGCTTCTGAATTCCTTTGGACACTGCTGACGCGGAATATAGCGTGCTGATGTCTCCAGCAAGCCTCTCATGGATGGCATAAGCGGACACTTCAGGCCTGGGACTTGCTGGGACAGATCTTTGTGCCTCTTGAAGGTGTAAACTGGCTCCAGTGCTGTCCAACAGCCAACTGTGAAGCTTCCAGCCATTTTTCCTGGTGAAGGCAGGCAGAGCTCAGGCCCCTTGGTGTCTGCAATGCCACTGTTTATGTTCCTTGAGAGTGCACTGAACCATCTGAAGCTCCAGGTGAGGCAGGACATTATGTTCACCCTCCACTAAACAGTCAATGAGGCAGAACTATCGCTGGTCTCCTGTATCTTGTGCTCATTGCAGGGGAGTACTGAGGTAGGAACATAGCACATAGTTCCTTTCCAGCTTCCCAGGCACCATAAACGTGTGTTCCACGAGGGCAAGTCTGCCTCCTGGCGGAAGTTTTATTCCTATGGCAATCAGTCCTGTGAGCGCTTTGCATCAGGCCCAGCTTGTATGCTTTAGTTCTCCCAGGGCTGTCTGCACTCCAGCCCTTGTTCCCCATCATCTCCTCCCTTCCCCTGAAACAGAGGTGCCAGCCAGAGCTTTACAGTTACAAATGTTTATTCTACATAAAAATTCCACAAAATGGGAAGCTGTTTTGCACCCAAAGCTTTGGGAGAAGGGGAGGCTAGCAGGAAGGGAAAGGGTGAAGGAGAAGAGAGGCAACATACAGTGTCATCCAGCCCAGTGAGACAGAGCAAGCCAGGGTCAAGATCCACATAGAAAACAAGGACACTTAGCTCACAGTACAGCAACAGTACAACTCCACGGGGAGAGGGGACTTGGAAAGCTTTCAAGTACATATAATTACTAAAAAAACCCCAAAATAATCCCCAGTTCGAGTGCAAGCTGTGCGTGCCCCACACTGTTTGTGGAATACTGCATCGACACGCTCCCGGTGCTGGGAGGGCAGGTGGCACTTGGAACAGAGGTGGGGTAACCCAAAGGACAAGCGGTCTGAGGTCAGGGGCTGGAAAGAAAAAGTGAAATGTCTCCCCAAAGCACAACCACACTGTTGGTGATTTGGTCTGTACATGCAACAACAGGTAGGTAAAAAGGAACTGGGCGGGGCTTCCCATAGTGCAGGGGTAATTATTGCACCAAAACACCCTCCCCTCACAGCGAGGACAGTGTGAACCTGCCTGTGGGGCAGCAGTGGCAGCCTGCTCCTCTGCCTCCCATGTTCTGGAGCCTGGCACCACCACTGCCTGCAGGATCCCAGCAAAGTGCCAGCGGCGGAGCTGCCGACTGTGGCCCCGTCCAGCTCCTGCTGCTGGCGGGCTGCTGGTGGTGGTGGTGGTGGTACCAACAATGAAGAAGCAAGTGCCAGAGCCCCCTCGTGCTGTTCTTAGCCTTGTGCCTTGATGGGGGTGGGCCAAAGCCCTGATGTCATGTGTTGTGCCACAAAAGCCGCTGCTTGGAAGATAAAAAGATCACCTTGCGCTAGCAGTGGGCATCGCTGCAGGGCGAGAGCCTGAGAGGAGCTGTTCTGCCTGCCCACCCAGGAGCAGCCCTGTCAGCAGTGTTATTGCTTCCCAGAGGAGGGGGCCCAGCGTTCTTGTGGCTCAACATAGCAGAGTATGATGACAGGGAACTGTACTGGGGCAGGAGCAGTAGGTACTTGTACATCACTTCCAGCTCCCTCCCCTTAGGTCAAGGACCCTGCCCATGCCTGCCTCCTGCCCTGGAGGGGCTCCAGAGCTGGCCTGCTCCCTCTTGCGGGGCTCCCCATGCCCCAAGCCCTTTTGTGCACACAGGCTGCAGCGCTGTAGCTCACATCTCTTGTTGTGGGGATGCGAAAGAAGGGGGCTCCAGAGGTGGCTGTTCCCATGGTCGCACCCCTGTGCTGGGCAGGGGACTGGGCTGGACATGCTTCCCAAGGGCAGCTGAATGCAACCAGGGGTTGTACAGTGGGACCTGGGGTAACAGTGGCAGGGAATGAGCCATGTCTGGGTTGCTGCTGGGCAGGGCTGTGTCTCAGGAAGGTAGTGTTGTGTCTTGGCTACAGCCCACTTCCTTGCCCCCCAGCCATGGGCACCATGCATAGGGCCAGCTCCTGTGCTACAGCACCCAGCCAGGGTGGAGGAGCACAGGGACCCTGGTCGGAACAGAGAGGTGAAACACAGCTGCAGCTGGAGTGCTCACTGACATCAGCTGCCCTTTTTCTGCTACAGCATCTGGGCTTACATCCAGACCCTGTCCCAGTGTGTGGCTCCAAGTGCCTGCCCTGCTCTGGGTTCCTCAGTGGTGCTTTGGCATGTGCATGGGCCAGCTGCAGCCCTGGAATCTACAGAGGAATGTAAGGGCAGAGCCCTGCTCCCAGCCTGAAGAAAACAGACAGTGGCATCACAGGGTTCTTCGGAGCTGCCAGTAGGCTCAGGCCACCACAGAGGCTGTGTCCACACAGTGGGTGCAGCAGAGGGTACCCAGGTGCCTCCACAACATCCTGCCATGTGTGGGTCCTCTCTGGATGGCCTGGGGGATGAACAGGCACAAGGGTGGTGTGCCAAGACTGGAAGGAGCAGGCAGGTGCCAAGAGGTGGCAGGGAGATGGAAGGGGGAGTCAGGCACTGCCCTGCTCAGGAACTGGTAGGACCAAGGGGGAGGAAGTCTGCTCCTTAGCTAGCAGGGGTGTGGATGCAACAAGGGCTGCTCCAGGGACCACAACAGGAGAAAGCTTGGCTGCCTTCAGCCCCAGCCATAGGTGCCTATGTGGAGAAGTGAGGCTGGATGAAGCCCTGATCCCAGGCAAGTGCTGCCAGGGACTGTGGGCATCAGAGCCAGCCCCAAATCCCAGCCCTTGGGCAGAAGGAGCCAGGGCCACTGTGTGCCAGGGCTGACAGAATAATGAAGCTTTGGTGCAGGCAGAGCAGCCAGCAAAGTGTGCTGCCCTTGAAGTACCTACCAGGCCAGCACCAGCATGCAGCATGTCCCCATGTGGCCTGTCCCCATCCCCAGGCAACTGATAGCCCAGAGCAGCAGCCTGTTCTACACTGCTCCATCAGGCACCCACTGTCAGCAGCAGAACATCCATCCCCTGGTACCCACACTGGGAGGAGGGCTTGCCTTGGAGGGGCAGGAGGGATAGAGCCCTGCAGCCAGGCACAGGGACAGGAACAGGCAGCGCCTGTCTGAGCACACCCCTGGGGAAGGGTCCCGTGGGAGAAGCAGCCCAAGGAAAGGTGTTTGTAAGCACAGACACAGCTGACATGAGAGCTCTGGCTGGAGGTAATGGGGAAGTTGGGGGAGGTTGACTGGGCACTGTGCTCCTGGGGGGCCCTGACACCCTGCATCCTTGGTTGTCACTAATGCAGACTGCCCAGCACAGGAGGAGCAGCAGTGCCCAAGGGCACCCCTGTCCCCAGCCAGCCATGCAGGCTGGAGCAGTGATGAGAACTCGGGTTCCCTCCCAGGGTCCCCCTCCTGCCCATCACCATCCCCTGCACCCTGCCTACGCCCCGGGGCTGGCGCTCCCTCCATACAGACGCACCGCACCGCACACACAGCGTCACAAACAACCATGCATTAGAAACTGAAATGCTGCTGGGAGGCTCCGGGGCTGCGTGGTTTGCTCCGGTGCGGCTGCGGCCCCGCGGCACACGCAGCTCCGTCCATCGCACACAAACAGTCCCGCGGGGTGAGGCTAGCCGAAAATGCCACCGAAGGTGGAGGCGATGACGATGCCCAGGATCACGCAGCAGATAATGATCATGATCTTCTTCTGCTCAGGTGTCCCAGCACCGGCAGGGAGAGAGGGGAGAGGGGACTGTGAGTTTGGGGGTCTGCAAACTGAGCGCTCAGGGCTGCGCTCTGCCCCATTCCTGTTTCCTCGTGGCAGGCTATGAGCAGCACCCTGGGAGCCAGAGGGGCAGAGATGGGCACCCCAGCTCTCCCTTCAGCCCTGGGCTGGCAAAGCTGAACTGGTGGCTCCTAGGTCCCTGAGCTGACACAGGACCAGGCAGCTGCCTCTGCACTCAGGGTCAGAGCTGGACCGTGCCTGTTTACGGTATTGTAAAGGGATGTGGCTCTCACAGCAGGCCTGGCCCACAGTATCCATTCACCCTGTCCCCTTTTCTCCCCCCCAAGCAGCACCTCTCATGGCTCATCGCCATTGTTCACACAGCTTGTGCCAGGGAGCTCTGCCTCAGTTGGTGACACCCGTGGGACCTGTGCTGCACGCAGTGGTGTCGGGTTAAGCAGAGTCCAGGCACCTGTGAGGCTGTGCCATGCTGCCCGATCCTTGGGGCAGGCAGTGGGGCAGGCAGAGGAGTCAGCCAGTGCCATGACTCACCCGTCTGGCTTTGCTCTGGTACTTCACTGCTTTTTTGGTGTCGGACACAGCTCGCTCCACGTAGTCCACTGAGTGCTCCACGTTGTACTCGATGCGGTCAATCATCTCGCCCTGCAGAACGGCGACAGAGCCCACGTGCCCGCATGCACGCAGACGTGAGCTCCTTCCTGCTCTGCTCCCCAGCACCGTGTGGACGTTGCCCTGCCCAGCAGCCCTGTGAGTTAGAGAGGAACCCTCAGCTGAAGCAGGCAGTGGGTGCCCCACGGTGCCCTGGACTGGGGGCTCTGTCCCAGAAGGGCTGGGACCTCTGTGCACATCCCAGCAGGGAGGCAAGAAAGGGTGAGGGTCAAGGGGTCTCCGGCCCTATCCAGTATCTCAGGTGACATCAAAGCCACAACAGGATCTACACTGACACCACGCTGCTGAACCAGAGGCATGGCAGGGGAGCAGGGACCGCATCAGCTGTGCCACGTGGGATGCTCACAAAACCATGCACATGCAGGGACAACCAACTGCTCTCATCTGCACCAGCACCCTGCTGAGAGTGCAGGGCCCCACAGTGAGGCTGCCAAGGACTGCAGGGCCCTGCCAGAGCTCCTGCCCTGCTCTGCCCGGCCAGCCAGCTGGCTGCAGGGCTGGGCAGGGAATGCGGACTGCTGTGGACATGGGGACACAGGCTGGTGTGAGCTCCCCATCCTGAACACACAGGGAAGCAGCCAGGTGCTGTGGCAGCTGGAGACAGCCTGACAGTTCATGTCACTGACAGGGTTGACAGCGGGTGGGTGGCTTGAAGCCCAGTGCCCTCCTGCATGGCACAAAGGGGCTGCAGAGCCGGCAGGTCCTGGCCAGCAGCTCTGCAATGCTCGTTTCTTGGCCTAATGCAGGAGAGCATTGGGTGTTACCCGCAAGGCACTGACCCCGCCAGGCTTCTGCTCCTCCCTGCCTCGCCTAAAACTGCTCCTTCTCCTTCCCACCTGTGCCATGCCTGGGGCAGAGCAGGGAGCTGCCAGCCCCGCTGCCAGCCCAGCACCCTTCTGCTCCTGGTGCCAGCCTCCCACCCCACCGGGCAGCGCAGGGTGCTGGCACAGTGTACCCCTTAGAGCGGGCCGGGGAACTGCAAACCCCCCACATCTGTCCCCCAGGGCAGACAGGACAGGCACCAACGCCACCTCACCACAACCACCCTGCCTGCCAACCACAGGCAGGCACTAGCAGCACACGAGAGCCGCAGGCATGCAGGGCATGGCCATGCACAGCAGAGCATGCAGCACCGGCAGGGGCTCAGCGCGGCTTTACCTGCCACTGATGTCTCCTCGGGCCATGGCAGCGTGGCGGGCAAGAAGTGGGGTGAGCAGAGACACCGAATATGTGCCCAGCTCAGGGGCTGAGCACTGCGGGCCAGGGCAGGGGCAGCCTGGCAGGACCACCACGTCTGGCGGCACCCCAAGCTCACCCAGCAGGGCCCAGTGCTCCAGAGGAGATGGAGACTCTCCATCTGCATGGCAGTCACCCGCTACCCTCCTCCTGAGCCCATCACAGAACCTCTCGCCCTGGGCATGCCGCAGCCCCTGACTGGGTGGTTCAGCCCTGAGGAGCCCAGCTCAGCCCCAGTGGTACCCACACCAGTCCCGGATGCAGTTTTTCCTCTCAGCACCCACCCAGGCAGCCCCATCATCCTTCAACTTCTCCAGGCGAGCCAGCCACAGGGCCGCAGTGTTTCCCTACCTGGCTCTCCACCAGCATGGCCATGTCCATGAACATGTCGTGCAGCTCTCGGATGCTGTTCTCCAGTTTGATGATTTCGCTGTGCCGTGTCTCAATCTCATTCAGTGCCTGCTTGGTAATGTTTGAATCCATGATGATCTGCAAGAAGACAGAGCCACTGAGCAGTGTGCTCAGCCCCTCAGATGCTGGGCATCAAGAGAGAGGCACCCCACTCCACCCTCTGGCCCCTGCTCAGGCAGCATCCTCAGGCAAGACCCAAGAACCCTGCTGCATAGGCTGTGCTCAACTCCACTGTGGCAGCACATCCACCCAGCCCCTCCCCAGGACGAGCCAGTGCTTACCCCAGAGGAGAAGATGGCTGGGTTGCCGCTCTCCAGCATGTCCTCCAGCTCCTCACTGGTGGTGGTCCTCCCAGCTGCAAGTGACACAACACAGGTCAGCCATGAGCCTGCTACAGCCACAAGTCCTGCAGCCTTACTGCAGGGTGCTCCTGTCTCCATGGCATCTCCCTACTGCAGCAAAGCTTCCAGCCTGGAGAGTGCACCAGGTGGTTCAGTGAGCTGCCATCCCATAGCCTGGCTCTGTACCAGCCCTGCGACCCTCTTTTTAGGGGGTCAAGCAATCAGCTTAGCCCAGCTCACCCAGAAAGCCCATCTGCCACTACCTGTTCCTGCAGGGCAGGGATCGGTGCCAAAGGATCAGCAGCCACCAGGACCCAGCTCGTGGGCTGGGAAGGAGGAGGGAGGGAGAGCAGGGATGTTGCAGATCCTGGCCTAGCTGAAGGTGAAGAGGACACCAGGCTCAGCAGGGCTTGCTGGCTGGGCAGGTACTGCTGCAGTCACTGGGCTGCCTGAGTTTTAGCACTGCAGCTGCCTACCAGAAAGCAGGCTCTGCCCTTCCCCTTGCAACACAGCCCTGCTCCTTTGGGAGCAATTCACCCATTGTACATGGTTGCCTTCCCTTCCTCATGGACACACTCCACACTCCTACAGAGCACAGGGAGATTACTCGCTCTGTGGTCACACTGATCCTCCAGCATGAATTTCAGCATGTCCTTCAGGCTAACAGCCAGGTGGGACCTGGGAAATTACAGTGCTCTGCAGAGATGGCAGCGCTGGGCAGGCTTCTGCTGGGGCTGCCCAGGGGAGTGGGAAGGGTGAGCAGAAAGGGCAGGAGACATCCCACTGGTGTGACGAGGAGCAGATGGGGGAAGACGGGCAGGAGCAGGTCCCCTGCAACACACTGCCTGCAGGCTCTGTCAGCGGTGCCATCCTGCAGGATGAGGTCAGGGCACCTCTGAAAGGGGGATGGAGGAGATGTGGCAGAGTGCAGGGACAGCCCACAGGATGGTGCTCCTGCTTCCAGTGCTACTGCACCAGGGACTCGGGGAGATGCCAGAAACCTTGACCCTGGTCCAAGCCTTCACCACAAATGCGGCAGTGCCCAGGGAGCACAGTGGAGGGACCTGCCTGCCCGGCTGTGCCTGGCCACCACCCCACAGGCATGGCACACACTGCCACCTTGCATGGGGAGCTCCTTAAACAAGGACACCTTCACACTTCACTACATGTCTCTTTCTATGCAACGTCCTGCACCTGAGGCAGGGCAATCTCCAGTACCAGCACAGACTGGGGGAGAGAAAGAGGAAGGGAGGGAGGAAGGCAAGGAGAAAGGGAGAAAGGGATGGACGGATGGATGGATGGATGGATGGATGGATGGATGGATGGATGGACGGAGAGCAGCCCTGTGAAGAAGGACTCAGGGATACTGGTGGGTGACAACCAGGACATGGCCCAGCAGTGTGTGCTTGCAGCCCAGAAAGCCAAGTGTCTCCTGGGCTGATCACCAGCAGCGTGACCAGCAGGTCGAGGCAGGGGATGCTCTGCCTCTGCTCTGCTCTCCTGAGACCCCCTGGAGCTCTGCGTCCAGCTCAGGGGTCCCCAGCACAAGACAATGGTTTTAAACTGATTAAGGGTAGGGTGAGGTTGGACATAGGGAAGAAATGTGGTATCATGAGGGTGCTGAGGCGCTGGCACAGGGTGCCCAGAGAAGCTGTGGCTGCCCCATCCCTGGCAGTGCTCAAGGCCAGGTTGGACACAGGGGCTTGGAGCAAGATGCTCCAGTGGAAGGGGTCCCTGCCCATGGCAGGGGTTGGAACTGGATGAGCTTTAAGGTCCCTTCCAACCCAAACCAATCTGTGAGTCCATGATCCTATGACATGAGTACAACAAAGATCTGAAGTCTCAGTAGAAAGGGCTGGAAACAAGTTATCTTGAACGCAGACCTGAGTCTACCTCGGGAACAAGGCCAGAGTCAGGGCTGAAGACATACCTCTGCAGCATGGCTCAGATATGGGCTGGGTGGCCGAGGCCTAATCATGTCCATGACCCATGGACAGAGGTGAATGTCCTGTGTGATGCTGGTCTAAGCAGTGAAGACCTGTTAGTGCCCCCAAAGCTGTAAGAAGATGCAGCTCTACACGCATGGGTGGCCGGGGCAGTGTTACCCAGTGCAGCTGGGACAGGTTGACACTGCCTACAGGGCGGGTGGGATGAGCTGACTGTCTGTAACAGCCCAGCCTGTCAAACTGCCACCAGCCTCCCTGTCTCTTCGGACCCTCCTGCTCAGTTGGCTGCAGGGGCCAGCTCCAGTGCTGTGCTGGCACTTCCATCCAGCGACACACTTCCAGCTCAGACAAACACTGCTCATTCCTGACATGGAAGTGTCACAGGAATCCTAATTCGCCCATCTCAGCACCATGAGCTGCCAGGGCCAGAGCAGCCCCCAGACCTTCCTGGCTGACGGGCAGCCTGGGATACAGGCACAGCTTGCCTCTCTGCACATCAGTCAGCCTGGTCTTGCAGAGGGAGGCAGAGGCTGATTAATTCTCACAGGGCCTTTGGAGACAGCAGATGCCTTATTTTTGGCTCCTTGGTCTCGCATTTACTACTGTTTGTAAAAACAAGTAGTGTCTGGGCAGCACCCCCAAGCCCACCAGAGAAAGCTCCTCTAAGCTTCAAATCCAATTTCCCCGGAACAAAACCTCATCGGATTTGTCATAATGGACAAAACAGCAAGGGAAAAAGCAAAGCAGCAACACTTCCCACCAGAGGCTTGTGCACAGCTCCCAGCAGCAGAGACCGCAGTGGGGACACCGCTGAGGGAGGCACGGTCCAGGCAGAGGACAGGCATCACCAACCCTGTGACACAGCACATCCTGGGATCCCCCCATGGCATCGTCAGGGCAGAGGCTGGGAGGGCTGGGGGGTGCCCCACAGGGTGGCTATGGCCTGGGGCAGTGACTCTACACCGCCACTTCTTCTGTGACTGTCCTACTTCTGTCCAGTTCTGGGCCCCTCAGTTTAAAAAGGACAGGGACCTGCTGGAGAGAGTCCAGCGCAGGGCAACTAAGATGATTAAGGGAGTGGAGCATCTCCCTTATGAGGAAAGAGTGAGGGAGCTGGGTCTCTATAGTTTGGAGAAGAGGAGATTGAGGGGTGACCTTATTAGTGTATATAAATATATAAAGGGGGAGTGTCACGAGGATGGAGCCATGCTCTTCTCAGTGGCAAACAATGATAGGACAAGGGGCAATGGGTACAAACTGGAACACAAGAGGTTCCACTTAAACCTGAGAAGAAACTTCTTCTCAGTGAGGCTGACGGAACACTGGAACAGGCTGCCCAGGGAGGTTGTGGAATCTCCTTCTTTGGAGACATTCAAAACCCGCCTGGACATGTTCCTGTGTGACCTTATCTAGGTGTTCCTGCTCTGGCAGGGGGATTGGACTAGATGATCTTTTGAGGTCCCTTCCAATCTCTAACATACTGTGATACTGTGATACTTCCAGAGCAAGCAGATCCCTGCAGGCTGGAGAAGCTCACCAGGTGTGGGGAAGCCTCCCCAGGGCAGCTGAGAAGTCCCTGCTCTCACACTTTCAAAGCCTGAGTGATTCGCTGGCTTCAGTGTCAGAGCTCCTGGCTCTTTCTACCTTTGGATTCATCAGCTGAAAAGAGAGCTGAGGATTTCACAGAGCTTCCTGCAGTCACCACATTCCAGCTGAGCTCCATTCCAAGTAACATGTCCAAAAGCCCCCAGAGCAGCAGGGACTGAAGGTCCCCACAGGGACACACCAGGACAAACAGAGCCCTCTGCCCAGGAAGCACTCCTGATAAAACCTCAATAATCTTGTGGCTTTTGAGGAGCCTTTTTGTCCGAAGGGATTTCTCAGTGTCCTGACAGAGGAACCCAGCTCTTGCAAAGGACTGTGCACAGGACTGGGTACCTTCCCTGCACCATCCTGCCTCTGCCTCTGCTCCACACCTCCCCGCAAAGGGGAAGCTGGTCCCTCATCATCACTAACTAGGACACCCCCCCTGCACCCAGCCACTGCACCACAGTGTGTCCTGAGCAGCCTTTTCCTTGCACCTCCTCAGACTCTGCCAGGCACTGACAGCCCCACAGGATAAACAGAGCAAAGAAAGGGATCATTTAATATAGCTCCATAAGTTAAGCAAAGCATTAGAGTCCTTCCAAAATCCAGGAGCAGAAAAACAAGAGAAAGGCTTTTTGAGGTCTGCAGGCAATAAGGACCTAAGTAAGCCCTTTCAAACTTTCTCTCTTAGAAGGGAGGTACAGGGATACCTCAATTCCTGTTTCCATTCCAAGCCATCCCTCTCGCTGGAGGGATGACAGCCTGGCATTAGCTGACGAGTGAGCCGGTCAGCTGGAGCAGTGACACACTCATCATCCTGCTTTACATGAAGGCATTGCTGAGCTTCACGTCAGCCAATCTTTCCATTCAGCCAGTGTGAATCATTTCTCTTATTATTATAGTTCATAAAGACTAATCTTAACAGGCTTGCACAGCCAAGTCTCCTTCTAGCCCTTCAAAGAAACTACCATGAGCACGCAGATTCCTGGGCATCTGCAGCTCCTGAAGGACATTCCCACAGGTGACTACCAAGAGCACCATTCTGACACAAAAATCTCCTACCTTATTATTCCCTGTGAGTTGTGAAAGGGAAGAAAACCACACATCTGCTTGTGAGAAAAAAACCAACCCTGGACTAGGATTCAGACCCTTCCATTTGAGCCCCCAAAACCATGAACACATCTGAAAATGAGATTATTTGCAAGAATCTCTTTTAATCTCCCTTGCTTGCTCGCTTATTCCCCTAATTACAGCGGTGGTGTGGTTCTTCTTTGCTGGGAGATGATTAAAACTAAACTCAGTGTCACTGATGGCCACGGAGAACCACCAGGACAGCAGGTTTTGTGGGCAGGCACAGGACCAGGCTCCTCCTGGTCTCAGTGCATGCTGGTGACATCCTTGGAGGTGTCACCTGGCATCCACCTTTAGACACAGGAAGACACCACTGCTGCTGCCAGGAGCCACCAGCGCCCTTGAGATGCCTCGAACAGGCGCTGAGGCTTGTGCTCCTTGTCCAGCAAGGGAAGCTGCTGGGAGCACTGAGTGCCCCCTTTTCGAGAGCTCTGTCCTCTGGTTTTATGTTTAGTTCAGTTCCCTGGCAATGACAATCACCCAGAGGAAAGGCAAGGCAAGACATGGGAGTCAGGAGTCCCCGCCAGCTTCTCTGGGTTCAAAATTAGCTGTAACCAAGGAAGAAATTATCCTCCCTGTGCTCTTTGCGCTCTTTACCCAGCAGTTAGGAAAACCTGAGGGGAGGTTTTTTGTGCTTTGCTGGATGCAGTCTGACACTGAAATGCAAATACCACCACATGAAGTCCCTGCTCATTGCAGGGGCATTGAAATAGATGACCTTTGAAGGTCCCTTCCAACCCAAGCCATTCTATGATTCTGTGACTATCTCCCAGCAGGAGCTGTGTCCTGGTTCCCCCATGGGTGAGAACACAGCCCCTGTGCACTGTGGGTTTCCAAGGGGGAGCTCTGCACAGCGGCAGGAGCTGCTTGGATCTGTGGGAGCCCGGGTAGGACACGAGCCCAGGGCTCGGCTGCGTTCCCCCTCCAGGTTTACTCACTGATCTCCAGCTGCCTCTGGATCCTGCCCTTGCAGCGCTCCCGGTAGTCAGTCTGCGTGGCGTTGTACTCGGACATCACCTCCACAAACTTGCGGGACAGCGTTGAGTGCTGCAGAGAGGAGAGGAAGGGAGAGTGGGGCAAGGGTCCTGCAGGAGTAGAGTCCTGCCACCCCCGAGCTGGGGCAGGCTCAGCCCTGAGCACCCCCCGCACCTCTAGCAGCCCAAAAAGCATTCTGAGCCCAAAAGCTGGTCCACGGAGTGTGATGATGTGCAAGGGGGCAGCCGGTGATGTGGCCCCAGGGGCACAGACCAGACACACTCCTCACCCAAGCCCAACCCAAGCATAACCTTCAGCCCCCAGAAGACAACCCGTGGTGGTGGCAGACCTGAGAGTCATGGCTGGTGCCACCCTCCTCGCCCATACCACAGCCTGGGGCCAAGCAGCCCGGAGCGGAGGCCACAGCGGTGCCCTGGGTCCATCCCTGCCAGCCTTGCCACACTGCCAGGATGGGCTGGACCCGGCACAGGCACAGGATGGGCACGCAGCAGTCACTCTGTGGTGCTGGGGTTGGGCAGGGAGGTCCCTGGGGGAGCCCTGTGCCCTGAGCATCAAAACCCCGACCTGTGTGCACACGGTTGGTGGGGGAAGGCCAGGGCTGGGGCACACAGGCTTGGCCAGGGCTCGTCTGGGGCAGCTGTCCTCACTCCAGAAGTGTGGTCCCACTTTTCCATCCCACACTGGAGGGCTCCCCCAGGCACCAGCCCCTCAGGGACACAGGGGATGCCCGCCTGCCCCAGGCTGAGTGAGCTGCCAGCCCTGCACCCAGGGCACACTCACCTTGTGAGGCTGCTTTCCTTCTCCAGGAGATGCACCAGAAAACCTTAGAATTACACTTGACCAGGGTGCTGCTGAGCACTGACCCCCCCCCCCCCCCGAGCTGGCTGCTGCATCTGGGGAGCACCCACACTGGGGCCCACCCTGCTGTCTGACCCAGCAGTCAGGATCAGCTCCACAGACAGCCGTGCAGATGGTCAGGAAGGGCAGGACAGCACATCACATGCATCCGCCATCCAAACACATCTCTTGAATTAGCCAGAAATCGAGTTTCACAGTACCATGGACTCAGAACAGCTGAGGTTGGAAGGGATCTTCAAAGATTCAGTCCAACGTTCCCTCTCCCCCCCAAGTAAGCAGGGGTATCTTCCACTAGATCAGCTTGTGGGAACATTAAAGCCTTTGGACTGCTCTTCAGGGCTGTGGAAGGCTTTGTTTGAAGGTAGTTTTCCTTGCAGTTAAAAAAGGGATGCATTTCTTGTTCTTGATAGTGGTTGGGCTGTTTATAAAGATGCAGAAAAACCCATCCCACCACTGGGGGCTTCATTCTGACCAATGACACTTGCACAACACGAAGACCCACCAGCAGCAGGACATGGGGCTCAGCCATGCAGCTCTGCTGGTGCTGGCTGCCCTCACATCATGCCAAGCTCCTTGCCCCCCATGGCTGCTGGCAGCAGCATTCCAAGCAGCACACTCCTGTGCCCTCAGCTGTCCCAGCAGGAGGGGCTGGCAAGGGGGTGTCACAAGTCACCCTTGGTGACAGTGATGTTCTGTCACCCTAAAACATGTAAGGGTGGCTGGAAACGGGCTGTGCACCCTTCCCACTGCTGGGGGAGAGTGGAGAGGGTGATGACCCAAGGGGATGCTGGCACTGTGCAGCTCATTAGAGCTGTGAGTGCACAGATGGCAGAGCTCAGCCCTCACCGGCAGCTGTGAGCTCACACAGGGCACAGACAGGGCTCAGGCTGTTCTCCTGCTGCAAAGCAGCAGCTCCTCAGGGCATGAGGGGTGTTCATGACAGGATCATGGACTCACAGAATCATCTGGATCGGAAGGGACCTTCAGAGATGATCCAGCTCCAACCCCTGCCACAGGCAGGGACCCCTTCCACTGGAGCAGCTTGCTCCAAGCCCCTGTGTCCAACCTGGCCTTGAGCACTGCCAGGGATGGGGCAGCCACAGCTTCTCTGGGGACCCTGTGCCAGCGCCTCAGCACCCTCATGGTACCACGTTTCTCCCCTATGTCCAACCTCATCCCACCCTCGTCCAGTTTAAACCCATCGCCCCATGTCCTGTCCCTGCAGGCCCTGGTCAAAAGTCTCCATCTTTGCTCTAAGCCCCCTTGAAGTCCTGAGCAGCCACAGGAAGGTCTCCCTGGAGCCATCTCTTCTCTGGGCTGCACAGCCCCAACTCCCTCCCCTTTCTCCACAGCAGAGCTGTCCCAGCCCTTGGACCATCTTGGAGGCTCCTCTGGATCAGGGATACCAGTGCAATGCAGCATCTCTGTAGTGCCAGACACGTCCAGGGCACACGAGCATTCCAGTGTCAGTACACCCAGAGCAGCCCCTTCTCCATGAGACAGCACTGGAGACTTCTTGAGGATACACTTGTGTTTGCTTTGCAGTTACTCCGAGCAAGCAGCAGCTTGGTTTTTACGGCAGAGACTCAGAGTCAGCTCATCGTATTCCTCCCGTGCTGGCAAACCTCACACAAAAGCCCCCAGCAGCTCCAGCTTCCACAGGCAGCCTCTGCTCTTCTCCTGCCTTCTCCACATCATCTTCCTAAAACCCAGTTCATTCTTATGAAGCTAAAGAGAATCAACATATTGTTTATCTGCAGCCAAATACAGCCTGGGTGTTACATGACAGCCCTTCCTGCTGAGCAGTATACCCCACCATGCCTCTTTTACTTAAGAAGTTATTTAATTTAGGGTTTCTTGTCAGATTGCTATTTCATGTTCCCACAGGCACCCCACATGTCTGAAAAATGGATTTGATTTTTGAAGGAACACTGAGTTTCATGCAAAATGGGCTGGAAAAAGCATTTTAAATGGCTTTCAGTCATTAAATAAAACTACCTGAATATCCAGGGTAAATAAAAAGCATATCAAAACATACCTTGCATTTGAAATAAACTCCCTAAACAGAAAATCTTAACTGAAGTTAGGAAATGGGGTTGTTGCAGCTGAGTCCAGCAACTCTTCACTTCCCAAGCATGGGAAAAGCAGCCCAACTGCTGGATATCCAAAGAGCTCACACAGCTCTGGATACCCTCACAGGGCTTTGACACCCCCATGAAGCATCCAATGAAACCTGGAACCTTGGCCTTCAAGGTTTCTAATGAAAAGAAAGCCATTTCTAAAGTGCCCATCCCATGGGGTGCCGGGGGACGCCAGCCTCCCTCCTGAGCCCACTGTGGGTCACAGCGGCAGCAGAGATCCTACCCCTGAGCTCCCACACTTGAGTCTGTTTCAGGGTTCGGCCCCACACCAGTCAGATAAACCAGGCACAAAAGCAGCTAGAGCAAAAGCTGTCCTGAGTAACAAGGACCCAAACTACTGCTGTTTGCTCTGTTACAAACTCAGGATTTGAGAACTATAGAAACATGGTAAATACTGTTGCGATGCCTGGGAACCTGCGTCACTGGCAACGCTTCTGGGCTGGGGATGCCCTTGAGAGCTGTGTCCCCAACACCCCTGCCTCCTCCCCCCCCCCCTTTCTGCTGCTGGTGAGCTGAACAAGACAGGGTGCTGTATTCAAACTGCTGCTGTGAAATGGGGACAAACAGAGCAGTTTAAATGTAATGAATTAAGAACATAATAAGAACCGGCCCTTGCTGTGCCCTGGCAGAAACTGGACAGCAAGTTCTATCTACCTGTTTGGGTGTACTGTGGGGAATGATGGACAAGTTCCACTGCCTAAAAGTAGTTAGGACCTCTGGCAATTCACTACCATATACTCCACACTGTTGCCCCCATGACAGCTACAGCCAGTGCATGGGTGCAGTCAGCCCCTCTAACCCACACTGCATGGTGACAGGCAAAGCCAGCACCAGAACCCTGAGACAACACGGCTCTTGTGCCCAGCGCAGCATCAGCCTCCATCCCATCCTGGGCACATGAGTGTGCAAACCAGGCACACAAACCGCTGGTCATGGGGTCCCAGCAAGGGGTCAGCACTCCTGAGAGAATGAGCAGCTGCAGGAGCCCAGAGCCAAACCACCCAGGCTGGAAGCCAAAGCCCCAAAGCAGAGCAGTGTGCTACATCACCCACCTCAGCCTCCCAGTACAGTGGCTCCCACCGCTGTGCAGAGGAGCTCCTCTCCCTCATTACCTGCAGAGCCTAAAGAAATGCTCAGAAATGGCCAAATTCCAAGAAAACCTCCCACTTCTTTGACTGAACAGTGCATGGCTTGGGTTGTTCAGCTGTCAGAAGAGACAGCTCTGGGGGACCTCACTGCAGCTGTTCAATATATAAGGGCAGCTTATAGGAAAGATGAAGAAAGACTTTTGACCAGGGCCTACAGGGACAGGACAAGGGGTGATGGTTTTAAACTGAATGAGGGTTGACTGAGATTGGACAGAGGGAAGAAATGTGGTACCACGAGGGTGCTGAGGCACTGGCACAGGGTGCCCAGAGAAGCTGTGGCTGCCCCATCCCTGGCAGTGCTCAAGGCCAGGTTGGACACAGGGGCTTGGAGCAAGCTGCTCTAGTGGAAGGGGTCCCTGCGTATGGCAGGGGCTGGAAATGGATCATCTCTGAAGGTCCCTTCCGACCCAAACCACTCTGGGACTCTGTGGTGGAGCAGAGCCCTGAATCCCGCTCTCCTACGTGCCAGGATGATGTCCCAACTGCAGCGTTTCAACATGGAGCAAGTATAAACCCTGCTCAAGTTCACAGCCCTAGGCTACACAGCACCAGTCTGTGGCCACCCCTACTTTCCTCAGACACTGCAGAAGTCATACCTTTCCCTGGGAAACATGGGCACACCATGGGACAGCCACCATCCACTGCCACCTCCCTGCTCTCTCCTCCTTGCCACTGCCATTCAACACCTTCATTTGAGATGGCAAACAGCTCCTGAAGGGCACAGTGGAGAACTCGGCAGAGCAGAAAGCCCAGTGGGGGTTTCACAGCACTGCTGTCAGCACACCGCAGCGTCTCCAGGGTGGTAGATGCAGAGATGCTGCTTCGCTGCGTGCTGCTGCACCATCCTTTGGTTTGCTTTTGCTGTGCCCCAGCAATTCCCCTTCCCACTTGTTTTCGAGACAAGCCTTTCTCTCACGCCCCAGTTGCAGAGGACTGGTTCTCCACAGACTTAGGCTCAGCTGTGACAGCCTCTGGTGCAGGGCCAGGAGGATGCTAGGCTCCAAGCTGGAAGCTGCCTCTGCAGAGGTGAGCGTTTACCATCACCGTGGTAATGATCCAGCACCTACTGCAGCCCAGGGCAGGTAATACAAGTGGCTTCCTGCACTCAAAAGGAGATAAACGGGAAATGCCAAAACTCCTCTGACTTCACTGCAGAGAGCCTGAAGAAAATAGGATTGTTACTGAGCTGTATTTGTGCACAAACCCTCTGCAAGAGCAGCAGCTCCATGCCCAGATCATCACCCCTGGGTGCTGAAGAGCTACACTGGCAGCTCCTGTCACCTTTAGCAGTTTAATGGTTTGCTAAAACACCATCTTTGCTGCAGAACAATGCCTTGCTGCTCTGCTCTGAGACACCTTGCTTTCATCCACATCCTCCAGTAGAACCATCAAGGACAAGACACTGTAGCCCTCCCTGCAGTGATGCAGAGCCAGATTCCACTGATGGAGCAATTGCCAGGTCTCTCTTGTCTTGCCGGGTGCTCTCTCACCAAGGGATCACCAGAAGGTTGGCCAACCCACAGTAAAAACTACACACATCAACCCTCCATGGTGAGGCACAAGACAAAACTTGAGCCCAGCAGGCCTGCACAGTGCTCTCTGAAAGGCCACCCCTCTTCTAAGGCTGGAGTGAAATTCTAGGTGAGTTACCCAGCTGCACCAGTGAGCTCTGGGCTCATTTAAGAGCTGCTCAAGCATCCTTCCAGAAACACACAAAGACTTTGGGTTTCTGAACACACTGAGGACAAACATTCTCCCCCCAAAGCTGGAACTTCAGAGGGTATATGTGCTTCAGTCAAAACCACCTTCAGTGAGATGCTTAATGTGGATGTGAAGAAGTCCACCCGTGTGTTCACCCATGCAGACATCCAGACTTGCACACAAGGACAAAGCACACTGCTCTCGCCTCCACAGCTGCCTTTCTGCATACTTGTGTCACAAGTCCCTCGGGCTGGCTTTTGCACTCACCTATTTGGCAACATGCTGCCTTCCTTTGCCCAGTATTTGCACACTATAACTTGACTGCTCTAAAGCCAAGCCCTCCTCTCCCCTCACCTCTGGGATCACAGAATCCCAGAACTGTTAGGGTTGGAAGGGACCTCTAGTGATCACCCAGTCCAACCATCCTGCCACCCAGAGCAGGTCACACAGGAACAGATCCAGGTGGGTTTGAATGTCTGGAGAGGGAGACCCCAGCCCCTCCTGGGGAGCCTGTTCCAGGGCTCTGCCACCCTCAAATGAAAGAAGTTTTTTACATTGAAGACCCCTCAAGTACTTCCAGCCGCTTCCTGTCCTCCCCATCTCAGTGCCACAGGGCAGAGACTGACCTGAGTTTTCCTTATCCGCAAGTCAGCAGATGACCTGTTCAGTCCTTCCTCTTGTTCAATGCTCTGCTCAATACCTGGTCAGGGTAGAAGGGCACAGGTTATTTCATGCCGTTTGGAGAAGGAACATGAATTGTTTGGGAAAGGGACTGTAAAAGATTGATGTGTGTGAACCGAGGAGCAGCTGGCACTGAGCAGTTCCCAGCTCCTGACCCTAGCCACCAATTTAGCCTGGACTGGCAGCAAAGCCCTGTTCCATCACTGCAAAGCACTCAGTGCCTGGCCACCAGCTGAGGCTTGGTGCTGTGGAGGGCAGCACCTTCATCCCCCAGGCTGGTAAGTGAGGATTTAAATGCAAAACTGACGGAATGCTTGGGTCTGATCTCCATACTTCACAATATACAAACAACTGGGGGGACCTGATCGCTCCCTACAACTGCCTGACAGGAGGATGGAGCCAGGAGGCGCTGGGCTCTGCTCCTAGAGTAGCAAGTGACAGGACAAGAGCAAACAGTCTCAAGCTGCACCCGGGCAGGTTTAGACTGGAGATTAGGACAACTTTCCTCCCCAGAGGGTGCTCAGGCATTGGAACAGGCTGCCCAGGGCAGGGCTGCAGTCACCATCCCTGCAAGTGTTCACACGCCATGGAGATGAGGTACTCAGGGACACAGGTTAGTGGTGGCCTTGGCAGTGCTGGGGTAAAGGTTGGATTGATGGGCAAAGGTCTTTTCCAAGCTGGCTCATTCCATGATTCTATGGACTGCTGGTCTCCCCCTGCTAGGCAGGAGGAGGAATCACAGCTAAAATGTCTCTGCAAAATACCAAAGCTCAAGACTTCTCCAGGGACCCTAAAAAGATGTCCCAGCTGCCCATTCCTGCACAGACAGGACCTAGCAGGAGGGTGAGAACGTGCTTCACCTTGCTGCGCAGTCCTCTGCAGCAAAGCATAGCTTTGCCCTTTTAATTATGCCTGGTAATGCAACTGAGATGAATTCTTCTCTTGTCCAAAACCCATAAATGACAGCAGGCAGCAGCACTGCCCTGCTCCACATCCCATCATGGTTTGGGCAGGGAGAGGGCAGGGAGAGGCAGGGCAGGAGGTCCAGCACAGAGCAAGGCAGTGCAAATCCGCTCCTTGAGGCCAGCTTGGGACACACTGATTCCAAAACTGAAATTCAGGGACTTCAAAAGCCTGTCAGCAAGCTCCCATCAGCAGGCTGGCCCAGCATGCAGAGATGCATGGCGCCATGTAGACCACCAGGTGTGAGCTGGTGGTGTCCCTTGAGTTTGGCTGATGACACCTTCCCAACACAGATGTCCCACAGCCCTCTGTCCCCAGCACCTTCCACCCTGGAGCAGGTCCCATGAGCGCAGTATGGGGCAGGTTTCACCTGAAGCAGGGACTCCTCATTCACTGGAGCTGCCCAGTATCTCCCCATCACCACCCAGAGTGGCAAGGTAGAGCTTCAGACATCACCACACGGTGGGCATCTGTTTCTGCTGTGTGTCGGTTAGGATGGGTGGCCCCACAGCAGCACCCTGTGGAGAGCAGCAGCACTGTGAGGAGGACTGTGGGCCTGGAGAACCCTTTGTGGTGCTGGAAGAGGGTGTCCAGCAGCACAGCTTGCTCTGGGGAAGGGCTGGAGAACATCAGCACAAATTCTGCACTCCCTCCTATTGTCTCTTGGAACTAGCATCTGACCTACAGCTTATGTGAGAGGCCCTGTCTCACACAGCCTGATGGCCACAGAACTGCTCTGTGCATGCTCCTGCCTGGGAGCACACTGCCTGCTGCCTGCCCAACATATTCTGTCAGCAACTGGTCTCCCTCCACGCTCGTCACAAACTGTTCCCAAGGAACAGTATTGGCAAACATTGTGCATTTATGAACATTAATAAATTCTCATTTTCCCAAGAAGCTGGTAATTAGAGTGAGCCACTGCATGAGCAACGCCTGTCCTAAAGAAGTTCATTTGTTGTCAGCAGATGGTGGTTTTGATCAGTCCTGACTGTTTTCTTTCATCAACCATGCTGGCCATAATCTGGGACAAAGCACAAGGACTAGTATCTGTTGCTCCAGGTAAAAATGGTACCAGTGAGTCTTTTCTGGAAGAAGGATAACAGGAATTGGAGCCTGTCCTGCAATCCTTCAGGCTCCCAAAGCACCCTAAAAAACACAGAACAAACACCTATGGGATGACACCTATGGAAAAGGATTTTTCTCTTGCATGGGATAAACCCTGTCTCCATCTGGACACCAGGGAGTGATCCCAGTATAGTTGGTGGAGCTCTGGGCCATGGGAAGGGGTTCCCTAGTCTACGAAATGGGTAAGCTGACCCTCAGCTCTCCTTCCTGAGTCTATGTGAGAACATGTGTCAGGAGGACAGAGGGTAGCAAGGGGACAATGGAGGTACAAGTCACCTTCTGCCATATATATGGGACATGGCCAAGCCAGTGGTGACAAACATAGCAAACAGATCTAGCTATATGTAAGTCCTTCATGATTGCAGGGCTCCCATGAAACCCTGGGATCAGGGAGAATGTTGCTGCCATGGGGGAAGCACCAGCTCCTCTCTGATCCTTCAGACACAGCCAGGTCTCCTACAACAGTCCAACCAAATCCCACGCTGATGTCCAAGGCAAGTCTGAGCTGTGCTGGGATGACCTGCCTCCTACGTGAAGATGCTGCCATTCTCACTGACCACCTGCATTCCCTGGGATCTAATCTTGAGGTTTTGGGCTCGGCCTAGTGCTGCAGCACAGCCCCAGCCACCAGCAGCCTGACAGTCATGTTGTTCTCACTGTCCACTTGTCAAAGACATTGATTGACTCCTCAATGGTGGAAACCAGCAGCCCCACTGGCCACGCTCTTTCCCTGTGCTGCCTAAGTGGAGGCATGCCAAGACAATGGGACATGCTGATGAGACAGGATAACCTTCAGCAACCCCAATGGCCTGTTTCTTCCCCACCACCTGCCCCACAGAGCCTGTGTCTGGGGCAGCAGTGCCTCCTGCCCATCCTGGCTACGCTGCGGACATACCTGGGATGAATAGGAGGCACTGCTGCCTTGGGCAGAGTCACCAACGGTGCAGCCTGCGCTGGGGACTGAAAAGCAAGACCAGCCTGGAGGAAGCAGGGTGGGGGCAGCGAGAATCCCAGGCATCAGGAGAGCATGCCCCATGCCAGCACACTGGCCAGAGCTGCACAGGGAAGGGGGACCATGGCTCTCTGCATGGGACCCCTTGGTGCTGCACCTGCCTAGGCTGCCTGTGCCAACATGGCTCACCAGGGAAGGGCCAGCTCTTCTTGGAGGCTTGCACATTCCCCAGCAGCACCTCTTCAACAACTCAGCCCTGGCAAACCAACCTTTGGCCATGCTGGGGGTTTGCTCACTGCAAGAGTCCAGTGCCTGCCAGTGCTCACAGCCCCACTCCCTCACCTCCATCTTGAGAATGGGGCACAAAGGGGCAAAATCACAAAGGGCAAATAAAAGCAGCTGGAGGATGCTAGTGGGACAGAAAGTGACATCCATCCCCAGGAGATCCTGGCAAAGTAATGGCAGATGTCTCTTCCCCACGCTCTGCAAAGGCTCCCAGCGCCAGCTCAAGCTGACACCAGAGAATGCACAGATGGGGCAGGGCTGTGGGTCTGTAACCTGCCCTTTCCCACTCAGAGCAAACCACCACAAAACTGGCTTGACCCGTGTCACAGCCCAGGTGCTTCCAGCACAGCGCTGAGATGACAGCCAGGGCCCCATGGCATTTCTGGTCACGGGGGATGAATGGTGAGTGCTGGGCAGTGGAGGCACAGGGCAGCAGTGCTCCCTGCCTGCTGCACCCCCCGCCCAGTGGAGGGCAGTGGGCAGAGCTCCACAGCAGCATCACAGGCAAATACTCACTCTTTAGCTTGGAGCGTACTTTGTTTGCCGTCTTCTTTATGTCAGACATCAGCTCTTCCAGCTCCTCCTTTGTCTCTGAAGAGAAAAAAGGAAACACAGGTGTTTTGGAGATTGCTAAAATCTGCTGCCCGGCCCCTTAGCATTAGGAAACGAGTACTGCAAGCACTACCAGCTCCACACTGGGAGCACTTCCACCCCAAGCATGCTGTTGGACTCTCCTAACGGTCCTGAGCCTGGAAATAACCAGGCTGGTTGGGCAATGAGAGAGGCAGGAAGCCATCCTGCAGGACAGCCTGTCCACACAGCCCTACCCTGCCCCGTACCCAGTGTTCTGCAGAAAGGGGAACGGAATGGATAGACAATCCACAGTGATGGTTCCTGCAGTGAAATTAAAACCACTGCTGGCCACCAAAAACCTGCTCAGCAAGGCATTCAGCCCTGTGGAGAAGGACTCGGGGATACTGGTGGGTGACAACCGGGACGTGGCCCAGCAGTGTGTGCTTGCAGCCCAGAAAGCCAAGTGTCTCCTGGGCTGATCACCAGCAGCGTGACCAGCAGGTCGAGGCAGGGGATGCTCTGCCTCTGCTCTGCTCTCCTGAGACCCCCTGGAGCTCTGCGTCCAGCTCAGGGGTCCCCAGCACAAGACATGCATGGACCTGGTGGGTCCCGAGGAGCCTCCAAGATGGTCCAAGGGCTGGGACAGCTCTGCTGTGGAGAAAGGGGAGAGAGTTGGGGCTCTGCAGCCCAGAGAAGAGACGGCTCCAGGGAGACCTTCCTGTGGCTGCTCAGGACTTCAAGGGGGCTTAGAGCAAAGATGGAGACTTTTGACCAGGGCCTGCAGGGACAGGACATGGGGCAATGGGTTTAAACTGGACAAGGGTGGGATGAGGTTGGACATAGGGGAGAAACGTGGTACCATGAGGGTGCTGAGGTGCTGGCACAGGGTGCCCAGAGAAGCTGTGGCTGCCCCATCCCTGGCAGTGCTCAAGGCCAGGGTGGACACAGGGGCTTGGCACAACCTCTCTAGTGGAAGGTGGCTCAGCACACTGGTACCCAGCTGTGCCCTGCCTGTGCAGCCCGTGATGCTGTGCACTGCAGAAAGCCTGGGTGATGGCACCAAAGGCCCTGTGCTCACACACGGGCTTGTAGCTAGCTTGCCAGGGATGTAACTGTGTCCCAACCATGGTACCAGCCTTGACACCAGTATGTTGCAATATCTCAAGATCCAGATACAAAAGAACATACAAACCACCTGCCATTCAAATATGATTTCTAGAGAAGCTGCTATCCCAATGTTCCCTCTTGATTTTGATTAGATCAACACTTACTTAATTAAACAGACTTTGTTTAATAGACTCTAGGCACATTATCTGAGTCATTCCAGTGGCTGTGGTAGCTCTGTGCCATACGCTCCCACCTGCCAGTCACAGGCATAATGAGAAAATCATGATGATGAGAACGTGCTGGGTGAAGGTCACATCCTATGGATGGCTATATTCATCTCTGACTCAGAGCTAAGAGCTTTGATGCCATTGTGAAAAGGAAAAAGGGAACACATCTGCCAATACCTTCACCCCAGGCTCCAGGTATTCTGAGCAAGCCAACAGAGCACCTTTCCAGGGAAAGCGGTACAATTACGCATGAGCCAGAGAATAAGCACAACGGCAGGGAAGGAAGAGCTCATCCCCAGCTGGAGTTCTCATTTGACTAATTATTTATTTTTTTCCCCCATTCCTGGAAGAACTTGTGTTTGATGAAGAAATAAACCAGCCCAGGCTGAGTAACTGCCTGCACCCAGACAGGCTGGGGCCAGCTCACAAGGAAGCAAAGACCCAAGAGTGCTGGGGGACAAGAGGCTGCCACGAACACAGGGTCAGGCCAAGAGCCAGGCTTGTTCACCAGCAAAGGGGAGAGCCAAAGGGGCTCCTATTGCAGCCTATGACTACCCAGCAGGAGGATGGAGAGAAGCTGGAGCTTCCTGGAATCCTTGGAGGTGACCTTCAGCTTCTTGCCAAAGCCTGGAGGAGCATAGGGACAGGATAACCAGCAATGGGCCAAGCTGGATAAGGAAAATTCAAATTAGACATTAGGAAAAGAAAATGTCATCATGAACGAGGTCAAATAGTGGACCCAGGGAGTCTGTGAGCTGTATATCCTTAGGGACATCTTAGCATGTGGCTGTGGGTGAAGGCCTGAGGAACCTGACTTACTGGTGGGTACTGGACCAGGGACCACCAGGGTTCCTTCTCACCTATATCCACCACTGATCCTAAGAAACAATTTCACATTACTCACTGCAATGTCATTTCCCTTCTTCCTGTCAATGTGGGCTGAGGGATTTGCTCTCCAGTGATGCCATCACAGAGGATGTACAGGGCAAGCGGTGAGCACAGGTGAGAATCTCCCCAAGCTGGCTGCTCAGGAAGGGGACAGGCCCACGTGGACAGATGGAGGGCACACAGGACAGGGAGCTCGGCTGCCTTTCCTCAAACCATTTCCAACTGAGCAGCAAGGAGAAAACAGTGCTGGCTGGCTTTGAGTCACGGGATGTGTGAGGATTACTTGGCGACCTGGCAGCACAGATTTCCCAGACAATTATTTTCACATCCATAGCGTCTGTTTAAGTGACTCATTCAAATCTATTTAACTGTTCACGGCGAGTAACATTCAGCAACAGGAAGCTCAAGTACCACAACACCACCACAGCTACGGTCACCCCGGCGAGCAGAGCAGCGCTGAAGGGCAAGATGTGATGGTCAAGAGGCCAGACCCCCACATCCCACCAGGGATGTCTGCTCCACTCCTGCTGACATTGAGCACAGCAGAGGAGCAGGGATGTTCCCATGGTCACCAGAACCTGTGGCCATGTCCCAGGGGTTCCCTGGGAGTGGGGAAGAGGCTTTGGTCTGGGACTGAGATCCGGGCCGTGACCTGCCCTGGAGGGAAGCTCAGGAAGCACAGGGGAGGTGGGATGCAGGCAGGGGAACAGGCAGCAGTGGAAGCTCTTTCTCCTCCTCCTGCCAACAGCAAATGGGGCACCGGCAAACGCCCAGCCCAGGCTTGTAACACCTCTCGGCTCCATCGCAGCCTCAGCTACTTGGGAAGGAGGAAAACCCAACTCGCCTGTGTCAGCTTCCCACATCTCTCCAAGTTCCCAAAAGCATCTCTCAGGCAACAGGAAAAGAGGCAAACACAAGGAACTGGCACCCAGAGCTGCCATGCAGGATGCTCCCCAGGGCAGTGAGGAGAATCCTGCCTGCAGCCCAATGCTCATCACTGATGTTCACCATTATCCACAAAGAAGGAAGGAAAAAGCCTCCAAACGGCCCAGCAGAGAGCAGGAGGGCAGCAGCAGCAGGCATCAGACCTTCACCCTTCACAGTTAATGGGAAGCAACTGATACCCCCCTGCCACAGCATGCCTGAGCATCCCGGTGACAGTGATTTTGCACACTCAATACAGTTCTTGGCTGTCAAAGCTTCCTCACTCACTTATTGTTCCCATTAATGAACTTCCACCCATTCGTGACCTGCAATTCTTTACTGCCAACAACCCACTTCCATAATCCAGAGCAGTACAATTTCAACCTCATTCATAACTGCTTTACCTGGCAAAGCTGGAAGAGGGATCTTTTGGCAAACAGTTACCTTGTTGAATTCAAAATCAAAGAAAGCCCTGACCACAGCTCCTCAAAGGAAATATAACAAAAATAAACCTTACAACTTTTCTTCTGTCTCTCCCAGGTTGCCATGGATGTGGCCGTTTACAGAATGTAGGCTATCTTCTGAAGGCGAATGCAAAGAGGAAGCACAGACCTGGCAGCCCCAAGAGCTATCTGGTCTCTGGGAATAAACTGTAAGGAATCCTTCCTAGGAATATACAGTGTGGGTTGAAATATCTTCCATGGTGTTCCATGGCCTTACAGTAATAAAAATCAAACCTGTTCTTAAAACCATCAAGGAAGAGACTGGCTAGAAGGGCTGCTGCATGCCCGGGATAGGGAGCTACTGATCAGGCAGCCTCACCTCCCAGCCTCTCCTCCTGGAAGACACGTTGAAACATACGGATGGGAGGGAGGTGATGGGAGACAGCCAATGTAGCTTCACCAAGCGCAAATCATGCCTTAGCTGGTGCCCTTCTAGAATGGAGTGACTGCAACAGTGGACAAGGGAAGAGCTACAGATGCCATTTACCTGGATTTTTATAAAGCCCTTCATATGGTTCCCCACAATCTTCTTGCCTCTTATTTGGAGATACACAGATTTCATGGGTGGTCTATACATGGATAAGGAATTGGTGGGATGGCTACATCCAAACTGTTGCAGTCAGTGGCTCAATATGCAGGTGAAAACCAGTTACAAGTGGTGTCCGTACTCTGATCAATACTATTTTGCATCTTCATCAACAACACAGACAGCACAATTGAGGGCACCCTCAGCAAATCTGTGGGTGACACTGGAGGGAAGGGTGGCATCAGAGGGACCTGGGCAGGCTGGAGGAGTGGGTCTGTGTAACCCTTGTGAAGTTCAACCAGGCCAAGGGCAAGGTCCTGCACCTGGATCAGGACAATCCCCAGTACCATCACATGGATGGATGGGTGGATGGGTGGATGGATGGATGGATGGATGGATGGATGGATGGATGGATGAATGGACAAAAGGAGAGATGAAGGGAGGGATGGATGGATAGATGGAGGGCAGCCCTGCAGAGGACTTCCCAGCCAAAGTCCCATTTGCCAAGAGATTTGGGATATCAATGACCTCCATGCAGTCCTTCAGCTCCCAAAGGCTGATGACCCTTCCTGGAAATGGAGCTCAGAGTCTGACATTGCAACTTATTTATTCAAGCTCAGTAAAATTGGACAGAGTGGGGGAGCACACAGAGGGGTGGGCAGGAGAGAGCTGAGTGACCATGAGCAGAGCCAGGATTGTCCCTTCCACACAGAAGCAACACAAGGAGCTGCAGCTGCTTGCTGAGCTGCAGAAATAGGACACACTGATGCTGTCCATCTGCCTTTGCCAGAAGAGAGGGCACAGAGGCATCCGGTGCCATCGTGGAATGCTAGCAGCCCTGGG